CGTTCCGTAGAGTCACCTGTAAAGAACGACTTTACCCATGTCGTAGACGGCTCTTTCGTATTGCTCGACTGTCTCGTTATCCAGTGAATCTAAGCTTACGCCCATCGCCGATTCTTTTGAAGTGCATGCCAAATAAGATTGACTTTAACGTTTGAAAATCACTTATACAGGTTGAGGTAGCGAATAAAGCAGCCTTCAACTTACCACAAATAATTTTTAATGTTGATTTAGAACAAAGTGGTATTAGATTTTTAACGCTTTCATTCGCTTCGTTTTGAAGAGTATTTATAATTTTTTTAGCTTCTTCGTATATTACTTGGAAATATTGTTTTAAGATGTTGTAATGGAATGCTGGTGTCAACATTTTTCGCCTGTGACGCCACTTACTTCCTACATCAATATAATTATTTCGTAAGTTGTTCAAGTAAGAGTCTCGGAATTAAACGACTTAGATTCAATAACCGAAATCGAATTACGAGTATCGGAATTGAAGATGATGTGATTGAAAGAATAATATGCTTCATATCATAATTATTTCTGTTCTCTCACCTGTACTAGTTAACAAGCCGGTTTTTAACCAAGGATGCAAATATTCGTATATGTAACCTTTATCGATGAATTTGGGATTTGAGAAAAGAATCTAGAAAAGTTTATACGACTTGAGATTATTTGAGATTTCATCGGAGAGGGATGAATAATTGTAGTGCCGGAATTTGGTAAAAATTGCTAGTAGCTTGAGAAAGAGGCACAATTATGGGCCCCCAGCCGAGGATAAAAGTAAAAAGTTTGCATTTACTTCAATGTCGTCTGGATGGCGTACGCTAATGACGGCTGTCTTGCACAACCAAAAGCGCGTTATCGGATAATATTTTTTTGTCATTTCGCGCCCTATCTGCCAGAATTCATCTGTAACAATATAAGGGATCATTGATTCTCATCAATAAATCTTACACTCTCTGAATTCCAAGGCGTACTTACGCAAACAATTGACATTGAACTTTAATAAGTTACCGACAAACGGATAGGCAGCTGGTCCAGGAATTCTATTCAGAATGCGGCCCCTCCGATTGTAGCGAGTTACAATATGAAAGGTCAAAGCGGCGCAAAGTATGGACATTAAAATATCGGTAATCATGGCTTTGTCGGATGTTTCGTGCGCTCGATTACACGTGGAGCTTGGCTAGACTCACGCGACAAGTTCCGCTTTAGCCTGCAAAACGAAAGAGACGCGAACAAGTTACAAGCTCTAACTGCAATGGTAATGCGTATTGTAATTAGAAGACAATCGACGGCTGACGGACTACCGTACGTTTGACGTGAACTCTTCTTCGTTGTTTGCTTTTATACCTCAATCTTGAAGCCATCGAAATAGCTGTCAAGGATGCTGCGACCTACATATGACGATTCTACTACCTTGCTTTCACCAAGCTTAATAAGCCTGACGTTGCGCAATAGCATATTTTTATTCTTCAATAATGCGCTTTATTAGCCAATTCATCCGTGTTACGCTCTAAACAAACGATGTAGCAACTGGCGGATGTCAGTATAGAAACAGCACCAATTTCACGAGAGTCGATGCCTTTGGAAAGACAAGTTCTTCCAAACTGTCTACCTCGTTGCAACTGAAATGCAACGATCGCGGGCTATCGTAGAGGTTCGTTTTGGGGCTGAGCTTTACAGACATCATTGGAAATACCGTGGAGCTTTTTACACGAATTAAATATAATTTCAGTCTGTTTACTCATATGGTACTGCGATGAGTCACGTCCGGCAAAATTATAGCGCGGTACAACTTTTAAATGCATATTGCGATTGAATAGATGAGCATCTTTCAGAGCGCTCCAGATTTACTTGAGAGCTATAATAACGGGATCTCGAGTCGACTGAGAGTCTTATTGCGCTTGCTCATTATGCCAGCTCGTAATTGGACTCTAGCGCGATGACTTGCGAGTGTCGCAAAAATTGTTATTATTTGCCGCGCAGACGCGAGGCGCCAAGTAAGCTTGGGTCTTGGGAAATCTCGGAAAATTGATGCCCGTTACGCGATTCAGCGCAAAGAAAGCGTGGACGTATCGACCAAGGACCATTGGCTTTGCAGGCCCTTGCTGAGCAGCATGAGCGGGTCGCCGGCAGCGCCGGCGCCGCTGGAGAGGCCCCTGCGATTCACGGACTGCCCGCAGCAGCTAGCCCGGCGCGGCTGCCAGAGCCCCGGTCGCGCGGTCGCCGCGGACTACGCGCAGCTCTTCAAGGCGCCCACCCCCAGCCCCAGACGCAAGAGCTCGCTCGGCGGCAGCCACGAGGAGACCGCCTGCTACGCGGCCGCGGGCCCGCACGCGTCTCTCCGCCTGCCGCCGCCGCCGCCGCCGCCACCGCCGCCGGACAGCAGCTCCGAGCGCGGCCCGAGGTAGGTACGCCCCGGCCGCCGGCCGCCGAGCTTCGGCCCTCTCACCCGGCGCCTTTGCCTTTCCAGCGAGCGCGGCCCGGAGGCGCTCGAGCCGGCGCCCGTCTGCGAGCGCCCGGCCCGCGGCTGGCCCGGCTTCTCGCACCGGCGCACGCCCTCCAACGTCTCGAGCGCGAGCGCCTCGTCGCAGAGCAACGTCAACCCGAGCTTCCGCCTCGAGGACGAGTCGGAGTGCTCGCCGCCGCCGCCGCCGCCGCCGCTCTACGCGCCGCTCGGCCGCCAGCAGCAGGTCTGCCTGCGCGGCTACGCCAACGCGAGCCTGGCGATGGACGACGAGCCGCCGGCCGCCGGCCTCGGCGCGCCGCTCGACCGGCCCACCTGGCTCGAGATGGCCGGCGGCTGCAGGCTGCGCTCCAGCCTGCGCAGGGCCGGGCGCTGCTGCGGCGGGCCCGCCGGCGCCGCCTCGGCCGGCCCCGGCTCCGGTGAGTAGGAATCGGTACGGTAGCCGCAGCCCGCTGAACGAGCGCTCGTTGCAGGTAGCCCCGGCGAGCCGACGCCGCCCGGCTCGCTGGCCGGCGAGGACGCGGCCCACGCGGCCCCCAGGGACGGCCTGCCGCCGGCCCGGACGCGCTTCTCGCCGCTGAGCTACGCCGCCGAGCACGAGCTTCTGGCCCGCCAGCCGGCCGAGGGCTGGGCCCGCAGGGGCCCCCCGCACGCCCCGCAGCCCCAGCGCCGGCCCAGCTCCGACCTCGAGCTCGAGCGCGAGTTCTTCTCATAGCACTGGCTCATCTAATCGGCGCACCGGCTGCGAGCCGCCGACGGGACGAAGCTTAGCCTTTGCCTTTGCCTTTGCCGAATTCACGCATGCCTTCCCCGTCTCTCCTACTCCGAGCAATCGCGCCTCTTTCCTCCTCTACCGTTCCCTCTGTGTACATACCATCGGGCGCTTATATCCCAACTTGCGTCTCATCGGGTCTCTCTTGTTTTTTTATCTCTGCAAGGGGACGCGCAAACCTTAATGGCTCGTTAAAATCCCCATCGAACCCTTTCAATGCGTAGAAAGTGATTTTCAGTGGCTTTTCGGTGATCACGGTCGTACACTTCTTTCAAATTCAAGGAGCGTCAAGCATTATATTTTCAGCGTTTTGTCTTACGTACAACCCCGTGACTCTGTTGATTTTCTGACGCAACCTACCTAGATGGCACTAGTTAGGCCCTATGATAAATCGAATAGAATGCCCACGTTTTACACGAAAAACAAATCAGTGTAAACATGTATTGCTTTTCTGGACGTAGTTTTCGATTGTCCTCGAAACTTGAGGAAATAAAATAATTCATACAGCGATCGTCCGGAGTCGTGGCTAAATGTAAGTACCATCAATATTTTTACTTACTTTCCAATTCAAGAAGAACAAAGTATTGTATTCTAGCTTGTTACATTTATTTTCGTAATTTTTTTACGTACGACACGATGGTGCTATTGATTTTGTCCTGTATCAAGTGTTGTAAGCGATAAACCCTTTATTTTTCATAATAATACCATTAGTACCATTGTATTCTGTTTTTTATCGGCCGATTGAGGTTGATTTTCCAGTTTGAGCTTATGCGTGCACACGTGCCTGCGTTGTGTGCTTGCGTGTTGTACGTGTACAGGGTGGATCATTTTAATCGACGCATCCGAATATCTATTGTCAAGCCGGGTAAAAAAATTTTCAGACAAAAATCATTCACAACGAAAACGGTCACCTGACTGCAAAAATAACTTTGACCTTGGTGTCAATTTGCGTGGTCATTTGAAGGTCAAAGCTATTTTTTTTTTAATGGAAATCCCTATTTTTGATTCAGGATCCAGTAAAAGCGGGAAATTTCAGAATAACAATTAAAACATTTTTTGAGTAACCTAATAAAAAAATCGAATCAAGGTCAAATATTGCAGTTTTATTAAATAAATTTCATTTAATATCCAAATGATCAATCATTGATCCGTAAGTCTACTAAACCAACCAGAATTTGAAAAAAATCATGTTGGGCGAATTTTTAATATTTGACCTTGTCAAGGTCACTAAAAATTTTTGAACTATCGTTCTAGAATTTTTGCTCACTTCGAATCCGATGTTAAAAATAGAGTTTTCCATTTAAAAAGATACGTTTGAACTTTAAATAATTAATTTGTTTGTTTTTTACAATTTAGCAATTCGTACAGACCTTGTTATCGTTAAGGTAAAATCACTAAAAACTGCTGATATCAACCTTCTTCGTAAAACAAGGGAAGGGTCCATTTTTAACGCCAATAATCCATTACTTCTATTCCCCTAATCTAATTTATTTTCAATCTATTTATCTAATATTATTTATTATTCACGTAAAGAAAAAAACATTCCAATGTTTATTACAAGATTCAGAATATTTTCAGAACTCAGTATTCACTTGTGATTAGACAATCAATTTTTCAGGTTCAATAACATTTTCGTATCATCATAGTCATCGGTTGTTTTCTTACGATAATTCATTATATAATACTGCATCAACAATGGTGGATTCTTACGGTTCACCGCATTTTTTTAGTTAAATTTACTCATCAGTATTTTTAAATAGCATATTAAAAAAGTAAGACATTTGTACATAATTATATTTAGGATACAATATTGTATCGTGAAAGGCTTATTTGATCTTTCAAATGTACATATTTTCTGTCACTCGTGTGAGATCAGGTACTTCAAAGTAACTGTTATGATTGTTTCCCATAAATATTGTATACTTTATCCAATGACTTGGATAGAAACATTATAAATACGTAGTTATTGATGAATTAAACGTTTTTGACATTAACTTATGTACATATAGTCGCGTGTGATTCGTCATAATTTTATTGGTGCATTGCATCTAATAATAGATATGACAAACACGTTTTTGATGTGACAAATTCGAATGTGTATCTTTTAATGACACATTATGTCTAACAATAGATATGACAAACATGTTTTCGATGCGACTAATGCGAATGTGTAACTTAAGTAATAAGGAACTTCATTCATAAAATACAACGTTTAGGTATTCTTTCGTAACGTACTTATAACTATCAACATTTTGTGAAATATAATATGGACCAATCATTAAAAGTTTTGATTGTTACAAAAAATTTGTCAATTTGTAATTTTATGGTAACGTGTAATTACTTTTGAACCATACCCAAAAGACTATTAATTTGATGTTTCTCGTATTAACAAGGTAACATACGATATTTAGATTCTTTATAAGTTGAAACATTAGGAACTTTAAATCTTTATTTACTTAATACGTTTCAAAATTGTCATTTATTATAACTCAATCATTGCTCATCGTTCCTAATCATCAAAATACAAATTAAGTATAGATGCATAATTAAAAACTGAATGCAATTATATAAGTGAAATTATAGCCTAAATATCGCATCTATCATGTTTAATTTCTACTTGCACACTATCATTCGTAATATGCACATGCTTCCATAGTGCCTTCATTTCCGCATAGCGAATCCTATTGTAAACAGAATTCAGTACTTCGATTATTGTATGAATACCCCAACCGTCAAAGCGAGTGCTATTTTGTTCTTCGTAAGAAGCAGCATCCGAACTAAAGAAAAAGATATCTCAAATAACATTTTTTATAAAAGATCTTTGTGAGGGTAGGGTTTAAACACTTGTTTTTATCGTCTCTCATATTATTATTATGACTTATTTTATTGGAATAGTGTAAAGTTTAAAAGATCACGTATTAGGTTTTCTAAACAGATTTTTTGTAAATAAATAAAGGCGAAATGTCGAAAATTTAATTACAACAATTAGACTGGCAACACAAAAATTAAAGAATTTATGAGTGTTTCTATAAACACGATTTGAATGAGCGCATATAAAAGCATTATTGCAGTACGAAAAAAATGTACATACAGTTTTATATTTTTTATTTTAAAAACTGTACAAAGTTAATAGTGAAATGATTACGTACAAATGGATAACATTTCTTTTTTGAATACCTGATTTAACAGAAGAGTGCACTAACCATTAGACTATTTGTTTCATATATATACACCTGTGGCTTCCCAGTATATCTGCTTCAAGTCACATTTTAGCAATTTCGAGATATTTCAAAGCAATGTGTGAGATCAGCAAATTACTGTCAAAATGTGACATTGGGAAAAAAACTGATGCATGATTAGGGCCTTTTTTAATGGTTTATCGCACTCTTGACTTGGGTGGTTGTGCATTTGTCCCGATAACACGCGTGCAAGAAAATATTTAAGAGCAACATACAGTGTAAAATACAATAAGCAAGACTTATTGAATAAATGATCTTTATTCAATAAGTGTTATTAAATAAACTGAGTTAGTTCTGCTATATAGATATTGACAACAATCTTTTCAATTAAATTTAATTCATCGAGCTCAAGTTTTCAGAAGCAAAATTGATAAACTACAGTTGCGTGCATAAGTATGTGGCTAGTTTATACTGAAATTACACAAAGATCAAGGTTTCGTAGCTCCATTTAGAACGATTGTGGAAAAATGCGCGGGCACTCATTTTAAAAGGTAAGGCAATACCTTTCATATCGCTTCACGTTAAAAAATAAATAAAAATTGCGTTTTTCAAAGTAAAAAAACTAAATCGCAAACAAAACGCAAAAACCACTTGGTCGATTTTTAAAAATTTAAATGGAAAAGATGCGTATTTGTGCCTTTTTTTTTAAATAAACGGAACCGGATCTATTATTATTGAGTTGATAAAAAGTTTTCATTTTTATTTCAAAAACCAGTTTTCTTCAAGTTTCATTATCTCCAAATCTATGCACTACAGAGAAAGAATTTAAGAAGAAAAGATAATTGTTTTCACATGTATAATAAGGATTTGAGATAAATATTAAATTTTAGAAAAAAAAATTTTTTTATTCCTTTTCACCATGCTATAATTAAAAGCACGTTGATAAGGTAATTAAAAGAAAAGTAATCATAGATGTAAAAACAATGCTAAAATAATTGTAGCACGTGAACTACGTGAAAAAAACTTAGTTGATACAAGTTGCAGGACTATTTCTCGCAGATTAACTGAAGTTGGATTTTTTGGGCGTTAAAGAGTCACTCATCAGTGTAAAAATAAAAAAGCAAGAATAATATTTGCTGAGACTCATAAAAATTAGACAATCCGAAATTGTAATAAAGTTTTTCTCCGATAAAACCTTAAGAAATTCGACTCTCAATATCAAATAAAATACAGTAGAGATATTAAGCTATGGGGAGAATTTTTATGAAAGGGAGTTGGTCCGATCGTGAAAATATAAGAAGAATGTAAGAACATCTTGATAGACAATATGATTCTTTATGCACGGCGTATATGCCACGACGATCCAAATTAGACATCCCATCTTCAAGATTTTTTCTAAACGGAAAAGCTTGGTAATCTTGAATAGTCAAGTCAGTCCCCTGATTAAAATCCGATCGAACATTTACGGGACTTATTAAAAGTGAAAGTAGGTGTAAATACCGTTCGAATAAAAACATTTTATAGGAAAGAATACGAAACAAATGGGAAACGATTGATTCAGGAATAAATAAATGGAAAACTAATCGCATTAATGCCTCAGCGATGTTGTGTCATGATAAAATCGAAAGGAATGCTAAAAAATATTATATTAGTTTTGTTATAACGTGCTTTCGAGGCAAAGTAATTTTTATTACGTTTTTGCGCTGATTGATTTTCATAATAAATTATTATTCACTTGACTAAAAATGATATAATGTAATTATTTTCCTTGTGAAGGTATACATTTTGATTGTATAGAATAGTATATTTTGAAAATATTTATGAAGTTGGAATGATGAGGAACATGAGGAACTTTTGAGTACATGCATTTGAATATTATGATAGATTATAAATTTATTCTGTTAGAAAAATGTCCAAATTGTAGTTTTGAATACATAATAAAATTAAAATTCAGTAGTAATCAATTTATAAGAATATTTTTCTACTTTAATATATTCTTATACAGAAAGAAATTTGTGGTAAAAATTAGCTTATTCGTGAACTTTTGGGTGTAAATCTTTTACATAAATATAATTTGAAAGTATGGATTTTTTCACTAGTAACTTGAGTTTTTCACTTATAATAAAATTTATTTTAAAAAATTGCATGGTAAACAATGAAAAGAACTTTTTTTTCAAAGTTTTAATTTTCATAATAAACTCTTATTTCACATGAAAATTCAAACGATTGTTCTATTTGGAGTTTTTCTCTACAGTGTATAGATTCGGAGATAATGAATTTTTTTAACAAAAATTAACACAACTTTTTATCGACTCAATAACAATAGATCCAGTTCCTCTGATTTTAAAGATATAAATATACATTTTTTCCATTTAAATTTTTTAAAATCGGCCAAGTGGTTTTTGCGGGTCGACGAAAACGAAAAAAAAAAAGTTTAATTTTTTTATTGTAAAAAAAGCAATTTTTAATTTGTTTTTTTAACTCAAAAAGATATGTAAGGTATAGCTTTACTCTTTAAAATGAATTATCGCACGTTTTTCCACGAGCGTGCTAAAAGGAGGTAAAAACATTGAATTTGTTGTAATTTTAATATAGGTTGGCTATATACTTATATATGTGCACGCAACTGTATTTGTGTGTGTATGTGTGTGTGTGATATAATATTGTTCAGCTGCGGCTTTAATGTTAATTCATTTAAAGTTTTGCGGACTTCGTGCATCGTCTTTTCAAAGTTTGAGTGAACTTTGGAATGTTGTACTTCGATTAATATTTATAGAGCAGTTATGCCAAGTAGCTGCAGATACGTATTTCCTTATCCTGTACAAATATTGCATATAACTGAACATACGAAGCCTTACAGTAATAACCATTATGTGATATGTAGGATGTCGAAACAGTTTTTTATATGTACAATAGATACAATGCAGTAGGTTTTATGCATTATCAAGTAATTGATCGACGTAATATGTTTGATTTTTTGATGATCGACATAACGATAAACGGCATTAACCTGACGAACTTAAGATGCATATGGGTAGATTTTAGCGATAGCATAAAATTAATTAATAAACATACTGCTGATAAGATAAATAATGTACTTGTTTGTAATTTTACCGAGATCTCATGTATTTTTTCAGACTCCAGTGTAAATATATTTATAGCCAAGTTCAAACGACGGCTGCGGGAGGGCTTGAAAATGATGTACACATAACAAAAGAAATGCTTATCAACAAATGACAAATTGTAGACTAACAGGTATTAATAAAGCATTTCAACGACATTTCCGAGTTGTTCGTCATTTGTATTTGTTCTCCTGCACTGAGCCATTGTCGATTCTCGACTCCATCGATGCGGTGAAGCAAACAATCGAAGATCTAAGCTGTTGCTAACCGATGAATCAACATTAAATATAGATATAGGTAATTTCAATTTGGAAAAATCGAGATAGATAGTTATCGGCCAAATCATGGACAGAGAAAATTGTTGCCAATGTAAAGACGTCCGGATCGTGGAGGAAGTATTCGGGCAAATCTTATCGCGCAATGAACGTGTGCTCGAAGTTGCGAACGGCAAGCCATCCGATGATGACGACGCAACATTCCCAGCTGAAGTCAAGTCCTACAGAATGAGCAATAACCATGGCACGGAAGTTGTGGTGATAAATTGGGCTGCGACTATTGTCTCGATAAAGTGTCTGGACAAGTACGGTCAGCCGGCCGACATTGCCTTGGGATTTGACGATCTAGACAGTAAGACATATTCAAACAACGGCACCGTACGACCAGCGACTAATCGACGCGCACGTACTTGCTTCGAGTGGCTCGAGCATCGCGGAAAATCTCGTTGACGTTCGTTCCGGAGTCGGCGACACAGCTCAGTTTGGTTTCTTGGATTGTCCGTCTCAAAGTCGATTGACGTTCTTTGACATCGCTGCATTTCCCGATCGCTCGCTCGGCCGCCTGCTGCGAGCTCGCGTAGTCTGGCTGACACGATCAGTTGAGCTTGCCCGCATAGGCACGAGGGCGCTGGCTCGAAGCGAGGCTGACGCGCGACCGTCGGTGCGCAGGCTACCTGGACCCGAAGCTGAGCGACGCGCTGGGCGGCACCGTGGACAGCTGCGACGACCTCGGGCGCCGGCTGTGGGAAAGCCGCGTCGAGGACGGGCGCCGCGTGGTGATGAGCTGCCTGAGCGCCGCCGGCGAGGACGGCCGGCCAGGGGCGCTGCTTGCCAGCGTCAAGTTCGAGCTGACGGGCCGCAACAGCCTGGAGGTGGCGATGCGCGCCGTCGCGTCCAGACCCAGACCAGTCAACCTGACGCACTATTGCGTGCTCAATCTCGCGGGACACGTTAGTACAGGCACCGGTCCGCCGCTCGGCGCTTGCTCACCGCCTCGTGGGCGCCGCGCGATCGCAGGCCGCCGGCTCGGAGGAGCTGCGCGCTCACGAGGTCGCGCTCAACTGCGACCGCTGGCTCAGCCGGGCGGGCGCGTGCGAGCTGCCGACGCTGCGTCCTGTCGGGGGTAGCGCGCTGGACCTGCGAGTGCCACGACCGCTTGGCCGGTTGATCGACGAGCTCGCCGACGAGGCGGCCCACCCGCACTATCTGACCCTCAGCCGATGCGGTACCGCGACCGGGCCCCAGCCGAGCATGCGCTTCGCCGCGAGGCTGCTGCATCGGAACAGCGGCAGGTCCGTGGAGGCCACGTGCTAGGCGCAGGCTACCTTGGGAGTATTTAGCGCCAATGCTGAATAACAAGCTTATTTTTATTATTTTGCTGTGATTCACCTCGTTCGGTCAATTGAATAGCTGGAAGCGATCAAATTGTTAATAACTTTTTCCGCTGCCTATTCCTTGGACTCTAGACCCCCTCGCCTTCCGCCTCCTTGATATCCATAGGCATATAGCCAATGGAAAAAGTAAAATATAAATCAAAGGTGCTTGAAAAAAGTTGCTTTACACAAATATTTATACCTAGACTACGACTAATCAATCATGGAATGTTTTGAGCAGTGGTTTCTCCATAAAAAAAAATAAAATGCCAACAGTCGTTTAAGTTTACATTCACGATAAAAAAACAAAATGTTATCGCACCTCATAATCAAACTGACCTGAGAAATATCATTAATTTTTTAATTTTTTCATGAAAAATCACCGATCAAAGCGTTTCAGGTTTGATTAATCGCAATTTCGGCAACATTTGTCGATTATAATTTTTTTGAGCAATTTTGATTTATATTTTAGATTAACGAATGGAGGAAAGAGAGAAAGCGATGAAATTTCTCCATTGACTGTATGTCTATGAATATCAATGGGAAAAAAAGCTAAAAGGACGATTGTTTCGTGGAGATGAGTCGAACTAGGAAAAGATAGTCTGCGCCTAATCTGTAGCGCTCACGATCGGTAAGCCCTGTGCGACTAGGTTTCTAGAAGTATACTCTGACCAACCGGGACTGGACTTGAGTGTCGGAGGAGAACTGTCGGACTGTCTGCCCGGCAAGTGTGGAGCGAGCTATAGGCGCTTTGGCGGTTTCGGCCTGCTGCCTCGGAACCAGCTCGCCGGAGCGGCACCGTTCCCCTCTGCAACGTTGCGCCCTGGACAAGTGTACTACAACGACCTCCTCTACCGATTTGGCGTCGACCTCGACGATTGCTGCCTGCCTTAACGCTCGACTACAAACCAGCAGTACGCCTTTTTTGTCGTTAGTCAACTGTTCATTTGAAAATGCCGCGTGTCGCCAGCAGCAGCTGTCTGCGTAGCGCACGCTGCGTCTGCCTATGCGCCCTACGCGTATCTATATAGTTAGCCGTGGCCGGAACACGCGTTTTCTTTTTATTTAATACATTCAAACAAGATTCAAGTATTCAAGAAAATCATTCCAAGCTTCTCTGTGAGTTTCGATTCTATGATAATTTTATCTCTTCTCGTCAACTCCAGTGTTACGTAGCTTTCTTTTATCGGCATGACACACAGAGTGCCTCCCAAAGTTCCATTGCATTTATTGCAACAATAGCACGTATGCATTATGCACGTATGTCTGTTTGCATTCATAAGTATACCAAGTTGCTACAGTTTCAAAACAATATCAGCTGCAATTGTGGCGAAATGAAACATGAAAACCATTGAAGGAAAAGTCGTTCTTTTAGGTTCTCAAGGTACACATTTTAATTTGCTTATGTCATCTCATTTTGGCATCTTTTAATTCAATCCGATTGCCAACATCGTGTTTCTTATCTCGACCAATTGTCGTAGATATTCCTTACAAATGTCTCTAAAAAAGCAAATAGCAAACTAGTTGGATTATTTGTCGCAAAAAACCATTTCCTCTTCCTATGTCTTATCTTCAATTTTCCTGTACCGCTCACCCTTGCATTATTATCTACAAAATATAGCAATCTGAATATTATTTATACAATTGATTATCGGTTATCATTATAGTATTTTACTTTTCAAAAATCCATGTCTTTTTACAGGAGTTGGTAAAACAAGCATAATCAACCGATATATCAATAAAGCATTTAATAATCTAAATAATCCAACTATTGGAGCTTCATTTTTTTGTTGCAAGATCAATTTGGACAATGCACGGGTCAAATTCCAAGTAAGAGCATTATCTGCTATGAAAGTAATAATGTACTTATTATTATAGATCCATCCAACATTTTCTTTTTTCAGAATACTCTCAGAATTTTACTTTAAAAACATTGTCACATAATAATAATTATACCTTAATTATTGCTTGTAGGTTTGGGATACAGCCGGTCAAGAAAGGTTCAGGTCCATGGCTCCTATGTATTATAGACATGCTAATGCAGCTTTTCTTGTATTTGACATAACTCAATATAATACTTTCACTGCCTTAAAATCATGGGTTCTAGAACTGAAGCGTAACATTGAGGAGCCTATTGTTCTGATCTTAATAGGTAATAAATTAGATTTGGTCAATATTAGAAAAGTACCCAACGAGGAGTGCAAGCAGTATGCAGAGTCTATCGGAGCTAGCTATCATGAAATATCAACCTTAAATGATGAAGGAGTTGAACAAGTATTTTTAACAGCTGCTCTTGGCCTTCTGAAACTAACAGAAAGCGACAAAGACATTACTTTGAGTTTGAAAATTTATGATTCACATAGCTCAGGACCAAGTATTTCAGATTTGCCTTTACACGAAGAAGCACTTTCCAATACAAGTATAGCCCATGGAATCAATGAAAAACCATATTTTTGTTGTTGACAAAAATTTAAAAAACCATTATAAATATCCACAATTTTGAATGTAAAAAAACGTATAGATAATTCAAGTACTTCTTTTAATGAACATTTATTGTTTTTCTATCAATAATCATTTAATTACTCAGACTTGAATCAAATAAAATTAATGAAAGTGACCTTACAAGGCACATCTGTGCAAGTAGAGAAACAAACTCTTTGAATAAATAATGAATGTATAATACGCAATGACCAACAATAATTAAACTGCTGTTGTAATGCATCTTGTGGAAAAAGTGAGTGTTAATTTTAATTAAAGTATCTTCCATCCAGCATTATGGAATGTAATAAATTAATGAAATTGATTATAGATGAAGAGGTAATTTTCAAATTTTTCTAATCATATATGTACCATTTATATTTCAAAAAAATGTTAAAGATAATGTATTAAAGAAGACTGATAATTTTCATATGTCAATTTATAAAGATAAATAAATGACAATAAATGGTTGCCATACAAAAGTTATAAAAAATGAACAATGAAAATGTGCTTGATCTTTCAGAATAAAAAATAAATGAAATCTTTCCAGCATCAATGCTCTTATTTTTTGTCATAATTTTGATTAATTATGATATGAACGATAACTTTGTGATACTGCCTAAAGTGTTAAAATAATAGAATGTTCATTGTTATTTGAAATGAGATTTTATAATTTTATATTTTTACAATTCCACAAAATCGTAACATATATGCTAAAAAACAAAATATTTTAAATGTGATTTCGATTATATAAAAATTTATCGAAAAAAACGCAGGCAACTCTAAAATTATACGTCGTTACATATTAGTAAAAAGAAATATCAATCAAGAGAAATGCTAAAATCTAAAACGTATCGAACTACATGGCGATAACAATAGAAAATCCATATTTTCAAAATTATTTATGCAATATAAAAATGCATTTATGATAGTAAATACACAAGTGTTCGATTTTTTATCAACTACAATCATTGTATAAAAATGTTTAATTCATTGCTGCAAACCGAGAATTATTAGTATAAAATTTAATACTCTAGAGTGTATAATTAATTTTAATACTTTATAACATAATAGTGCAACTATTTTCTAAATCGCTTAGTCGATGTAATATTAATCTCTTGATTTATATGTTGATCATCGGAACTAATGCGGTTTTCTTTTTCTGCGCTTGGACAGCTCCTCTTTAATTGACCAGTGGGAGACATTTGTTTCAAACATTCAACATCGTTGAATACAACCTGTGCCCCTCCGCTTCTTGTTGGTAAAATATCTCCCTGAAATAACAACGAATAATTGATTAATAATATTTTTACAAATTATTTTCGATAACGATATTGAATGTTATTTGATTTCTTTGAAATAATATAAATTGAAAAATAAAATTAGAGTAGATGATTAGTAAGAAAAAAGTTCCAACCTTGTACAATTTGGTCTCGAGCTCGCCTTCAGAATCTTGATTTTGAGCTGTGAGACAGTACCGAGAAGCTCCATCCGTGATCTCTTTAGGGCTAGATAACTTGTTAATGCTACGACGTCTTCGCATAAGTGGCTGAAGAACAGTGCCAATGGGAACGAGAGCTTCCGGACGGTGATCGACCCATCGATCGGCACTTTGTGAGCGTCTGTAGCGCGGATTCGCTACGCCTATTTTATCTTTGCGCGAACGAACGTCGAGCTTGCCTGGCGTTTTCGACGCCAATGTACCTACTCCATGAGGATGTGCCTGTAATTCTTCATTCGAGTCCTTTATTATTGGAATAGTGGCCTTATCTTCGTCCAAAATTTGTTTGACTAATCTCAACTTGTCCTCTTTTTCTTTCATTTGGTTCTGAAGTTTATAATTTTATCATTAATTTAAAGTCATCACCAAACAATTAAAGCTTTTGTAAATACCTGCAAATGCTCACGTTGAGCTTTTAGCTTCATTTCAAGTTCTCGAGTCATTTTGTCGGTTTCATGCTGTATTTTGCTAGTGTATTTCTGTTTAACTTTTTGCTTATCAATTATACGTTGATTTAATGCCATATCTCTGTCTTTGAGTTCTTGTTGTAGATTTCTAATAGTATCGTTGGCGGCATTCAATTTGCGCAATAAACTGTCAATTTGCGTTTCCGTTTTACACAAATGGCCTTCTAGCGCTGATACCTTTTTCTTTTGCTGCGTACCGGAGGCTTTCAACGTTGCATTCTCAACCTTTAAATTCACATTTTCTTGCTCCATTGCCAGTAGCATTTTTCTAAAGTCGTTCTCTGAGAACAAGCACGAAAAGATCAAAATTACCGTTGGAAGCTTCGCTTAGCAACAGCCGTAAATTATATACTTACGTTTCTTCTCCAGGTCAGCTCGCAATAAATTTCTCTTGTTGATACGCTGCTCCAAAAAGCTCATCAAATTAACAATAAGTTGATCATTGAGCGGATTCGTAATCTCCAGATCAGGAAATGGCCCGCCCAATCTTAAAGAGTTGGTAACAAATTTAACGAAGAGACAAGGGATGATAAAATAAGAAAGTAGATACACACGTATAAACTAAGCCAATATCGAGCTCCAAATCGGCAGCTTCGATTCGGCCCTCCTTCTCCAATCTACTACGAGCCTCTTTGAAAAGCTTGTTAGCTTGACGTCTGCCAGGCGTGAATCCAAGATCCAGCTTGGTTCCGGTGGGACGAGCAACTTGAACCTCCTGCGTCATTTCCGCAAACTTCATAACTTGCTGCGAACAATTGTGAAAGAGAGTAAATAAATAATCAAGTTAGCAAGCAAACATTATTAATCAAGTTCGATGAAAACGTACAATAGTCTCGTCGTAATCGTCTGCTCTGGGATTGACGCAAACGACCATGCGAACCTGGCCCTCGCCGTCAAAATAGTTCTTGAAGAGGTGCGTGAGTTTGGAGTCGCGGTAGGGTACTATTTTGTTGCTACCCTGGAGCTGATTCTCTCGCAAAATTTCCATACAGGAACGAAGAGTCATCAGAGAGTTGTTGATGTTCCCCGCTTCGCGGAGACGCTGACCCGTGTTTTTCGTACGATTAGTTCGTTCGCTACCGGCCAGATCAACCAGTGACAACTGGCTCACACACACCACTCGTTTATCTTGCATCACTTGTTCACCCTCGCTGTCCAATGGCGCCTGCATGGACAGAAGTATTGATAATCATACACTGTTAGCGAACATCGTTTGTCTAATTGACTTTAGGCGGTATTTTACCTGCACCAGCCGAATCGTGAAGACACTGTGTGAGCGGCTAGACTCGGCGTTGAGAGCCGTATGTGCGACACGCCGCCGCCGCTGCCCCCTTTGGAACACCTCGAAAGCCTCGTCAGAGCTCTTCACCTCCAGTTCCGTGACAGCGTGCACGTACATATTTTTATTGCCGTCCTCGCGCACGATTTTACTCTGTAAAGTTCTGCAAAGTGCAACAGAAAATGAGTTCAGCCACAAAATTCAGCTCTTTAAGATCAGCCGCGCAAGTTCACTCGACATTTCATACTTACCTTCCTCGAACTTCGTCTTCCTCCAGCAGATCGTACACGCTGTTGTTGTAAATTTCCACGTATGTAACGAATACAGCGTATACATAATCACTATCCACAGACACCGATCTAGAATCGTTAATTTCCCTCACGACCAAGGGATTACTATCACTATCACTATCCCCTTTTCGCCTGCAATTAATGTATAAACATTATTAGTATATCAATACCACATATCTACTGTAGCTAAACATTTACAATTTGCCAGGAGTTTTCAGATTACGTGGTGTTAAGAGCCCAGCATGAAGCTCATTTTGCCTGTCAAGCATAGCATCTGTGTCACTCTGCACATCAAATCCATTGAGCTTGTCAGGCTTAAATACAAATTTTTTGGCTTGATAGCTGGATATACTATTGAATATCACGTCTAGACTTCTTGGCATTATTCCAACGTCATTGGGTTCTCCAGTCATAGTATAAGTCTTTCCACTGCCTGTCACCCCGTAAGTGAACAACAAACCATTTTGGCCGTGAATAAGGTTTTCCACTAGAGGCAGAGCCACAATAGCAAAGACTTCTTGCTGGCTAATATTCTGAATGAATACACGACTGAAGGTAGTTTGAATCTCTTTTTGTGCACCATTTCTGAAATTCATTGCTGACTCTGGAGGAGTGATAACAATTGTGGTGTCCGATACCACTTTCATGCAAGTAATGTCACTGGGATTCTGCATGGGCCTCAAACGACAAAACACTTGAACAGGATCCTTCGATGACATATTGTTGCTGTGTTTCATCTTTGCTGGTTTGCGAGCTGATGGAGGTGCTTGTTTACGTCTACAGCAGTAAAAATGTCATCATTATTAATCAGTCCAATTTGTGCATAGGCTAATACGATGAGTGTATCAATATTATTGAAGACAATAAAGTAGCTCTCGTTGTAACGTAAACAGCACGCAATAAAAACAATATTAAACGAGTTAGGTAACGAATAAAGTTTGAAAAAATTCTTCCAACGCCATTGAGAAATTTACAAAAAAGTACTATAGTTTGCTATACTTACGCAGACTTCATTCTCAAACGTCTCGTGAAAAAACGCTGTATACGACTCAAAAAGCCAAAGTAAAGTTAGGTGTTCTTGTCAGCTATCCATCTACAAACACCTTCGATTATCAATTTTATCGTTTTTTCAACATCACTTAAAGCCGAGACGGCAAATGTCAAACATTCGATTTATGCGAGCAAAGAAGCGAACTGCACCTAATAGCGAACTTAACGAACGACGCTGTCGCTTCACGTGTAGACAAAACCGTTTCAAACTGGCTTATTTACGTTATACAAACCATTTATCCAGCCGTAGCCAATCATCATTCGCTGTTAGCGACTGCGCACTAGTCCCAGAATCTGCCCAATCGGTATCTTAGCCAGCTGTATTGACAACTATAGATAGATACAACATGATGCACATGCAGTACAGTCATACCATGGAGGCTATAAGTTTCGCATGAATACAGTATACTGTTCGCGTTGACGCTTTTGTGAGTCGTTTCATTAAGGCATTATATTTAGTAAACAATATACGTTGACATACATTTCCACTTCTTATGGTCTTGGAGATATTAATTACAAAATACTTAATAAACGCTTTTCTGGTGGCAACAAAAGCACTGAAGTGCAGTCAGTAAGTGCCTGTAGAATGTAATACTCTGATTGATTTTTGTATGTCACACGGTAAACAGGCTCTAAGTCTTTCGATGCTCTGTGATCAAACGTCTCAGCAAATCAACATCAAGATTCGTACTCGAAACTTGTCTGATATTCATCATTCAATCTTGCTGATAAATAAAACTTCGCCAAGTTTAGAAATGACGAGATTACGGCTTAGCTCAAAAACGTGTATATCCATAATATTCCCTTCATTTATCAGTTTTCCTTTTACTCGTATATACCAGACATCATTAATTTATATTATTCATTTTTCAGATCTAGTACGGTTTTTGCAGATGAATTGATCAATTTCGCTTCACTGTCAAAAGTCAGTGAGAAACTGTAGCTTAAGTAATGTTGCTTGAAATAAAAAATGATATTTAAAAATACACTGATTTAAGGTTAGGTGAGACAATCTATATACTTTTTAAAAAAACTTATAGCAGATAGATTACTTAATCTAGTTTATTTAATCTCTTAAACTATAAATATCAATTGATAACATACAGCATAATAGGCATCGTTATCGATTGTTATTGAGAAGCCATGTTAATTAATTATTAAAAATGGATCTTCATAAACCTTTGCAGCAGCAAGCATTTTGGTGATCATGAATGCACGTACGCAACTCTTTGAACTAAGTATGGAAGGCAGACAAGTCGATGAAGCTGTAGCAAGTATCTTTCATAGTGTACTCTTTCATCGTTCACTTGGCAAATTTCAATACAAACAAGAAGGTAGCTATTCAGTGGGTACTGTTGGGTATCAGGACGTCGACTGTGATTTTATTGATTTCACATATGTCTGCTGTTCCTCTATCCATTTGGATCAGACACTCAAACGTGAAATTTCCGGATTTAGTGAAGCACTTAGATCTAATGGCAGTCCAGGTTCTGGCCAGATCACATTAGAATTTTTTCAAAAAAAGAAGAACCGTTGGCCTTTTCCACCCGAATGCATACCCTGGGAAGTTTGGACTGTTAGGCTTGAACTGCTCAAGCTCACAACAGAGCATGAAAGACAGACTTATCGTGAAAAAGTAGGTGATCTTCTTACAGATAAGATTCTTTACATAACTGAAGTCATGAACCGTCACGATTACTTGCCTAAAATGCCTAATCAAGCAGAGCTTGACCTCATCTTTGATACTTCCTACCCTGACATTCAACCTTACCTTTTCAAGCTTTATTTCACGACGGCAGGCCCATCCACTAGTACCATGGGCAATACTATGAAAAAACTTATTAAAGAAACCCTTTCAATTTAGTTGCTCTTCCATTGATCCATATTACCCGTTAAATGTCAGCACTTGTCTCATTGTGAATAATAATTTTTACACATGTAATCCCTAAGTCAGTGTTCAAATTCAAATGTACAATTTTATCATCACCTTTATTAATTAATATATTAGTTAAAATCTTGAATTTGTAATGTTAACTTAAATTCAAAGAGAATTTACTAGTGATATGTGATTAACAAGATTTCAATATCTGCGAAAATTTCAGTTAAATAGATTTATCAAATGTACAGTAAATATAATATAAGCTTATCGCAAAATTTATGTCTGTCGTTCAAATATTCTACAGAACGTATAAAATATTTTTTTTTATCCTAACGTTTTACATAGCAATTTTCAAAACTCGCCATTGAATTATAGATCATTCAGAGTACAATTTGCAGAAAACATGAGCTTTCTAGTTTCATTCAGAACAAAATTAAGATTTTTTTTGCAAAAAATTACAGCAGTTTCAGAGTAACTGAGATTAACTACACGCGTTACTTGAAGTTCTCCGCGCCGGAAAAATTTACGGTTATTCAGGAACTTTTCATTCGATTGAAACATTACTTTTTAAAAAATAGCTTGGAAAAATATTAATAATTAGCAAACTAATGAAGTAAAATTATGATTGCTTAATCTTCTATGGATGATAATTTTCATTCAGGTTTTCTGTTGGTTGTAGACTTTTTTTATAATGAATAATTGCTTTGATAATCAAATGTTCACTAACATTTGAATATACATCAATAATTGTCCATTTATAAACATGTTCTAGTGTAGTAGGTACGCTAGAGTCCAATATATCGCCATTTCAAATGTCGGACTGCCGTATAGCTTGTCTCATAGTTGTCTTACAAATTCTCATTATTTTTATTTTTTGTTATCGCATATATATAAGATAAGTAAAGAGTAAAAGCGTACAATCAAGTTACAGTAAAACGGAAATGATCTAATTCTCCTCCCCCCCGCCTTCGCCCCTTACAAAGCTCGCGCAGTGACTTGAAACTGCATCAATCAATCTTACAATAAATTTTCAGTGTAAGTAAATATTTGAATTATTTCAAAATAAACAATAAGAAAATTTAATGTTAAAACTGTGGGATAATAAAAGTCCATCGCTTAATCTTAATAATTGGAAGCGCAGCGATTTTTTGTAAAAAATATCTTAACTTTGCTCTTAATGAAGCTCTAGAGCCCACCTTTTTCAAATAATACTCGGAATCATCAGTAATTCGATGGAAAACATTGGAAATTGTCATGAAAAAAATATTGGTTAAAAGAAATAATTTTATATGTAGTGCTAGAAAAAAAGACACTTAAAAGACATTAATTTTAAGATAAATAATACATAGAAATGTTTTTCGTTCAAGATTTGAAAAGAACAATTTAAAACGTATTGAGTGATATGTCAGCGACTATTGTACGATGTTTCTTTTTATCCAAAAGTTATGACTTTACAACTAAGCCTTTATTATGTAAATAACATTACTATTCATTTATTTTTTTTAAATATGCGAAATTTTAAATTGAAAAAATGTACATATTCCTACGATTGAAACGTATCGTTTGTTATGGTTTTTTTCAATTTTCTTGTATGCAAATTAAAAAAAATTATTGAAAAACGGATGTATTTTAAAGATTTTTTGATAGTAATTGATTACCTTTTTGACCAATTTTTATGAACAACATCTCAATTATCTACATATGACTTTCGCAACAGAAAAAAGTGGCTTCAATGATTTTTTGCTATTTTCTTATTTCACTGTAATAAGGTGGAAATACGAATTTTTATTTTTTTACCATTATTTAAATAATAATTCGTGACAAAATTAAATTTAGTTGTACGATAGAATTTGTTATTCTGGATCGGCAAATGCATTGTGTTTTTTAAATGAAATCTCAGCTAGGAATTAAGTCACAAAATACAACGTGCGATATCTAAATTGCCTGGACTAATTGACAACAACAGTGTAAAAAATTGCGTGAAAGTAGACTTTAATCGATTTATAAACGGTAAATAAGTATGTACATTTTACTACATCTGGTCATTTAACTCAATGATTTGTATTGCAATAAAACTAGAAAAATTAAATTTTCTAGAAAACGGCAAATATAATTTATTAAACACTACAAAATGCATATTACATCTTATGTAAACATCAGTAATAAACGAATTATACGATTTGATAATACACTCGCAATAGGATATAAAATTGAAAGCTTACGAGTAAATTATAAAGCTTATAGAATATTTTTATACTCAGCGATTAATCTATGGGTTATACATACAAATGTGGATTATCACAATTTTAAATGAGAATAAATTTTCATACGATATCTTTGTCATTATCAGTAGTTAATGTTTTAATTTATTTGGAGATTTTCTGTTCTTACATATTGGTCGATCGAGATGACAATTTTATGATACAAGAATCAGAAAATTATCTATAAGAAATTAAATACATAGATAAATTTGTAAAATAGTTAATACATTCGTTGATTTATAAGAACGATCGCGCGCGCGCTTGTGTGTGTGTGTGTGTGGGAGCGTGTATGTAATATGAATATAAATTTTCAATTTATAAAATATAAGTGAAAATAAAATGTTTCTTGTTATACACGTTGCTTTTGACTATACTTATACATACAACGACGACAGCAGAAAAGTAATATGTTTGAATGTTCTTACAAGAAAGAAAGAAAAGGAACTGAATATGAAGTAGGATGTAAACAAATTCCTGAAGTCTTGGATTTATTTAAACAATATTAAATAATAATTGGTTCAAAGATTAGATAAATTGCAATGTTTATTAACTATTGATTGATGTAAGCTTACATTTTATTTATTTGATTTGAGCATGATTAGAACATTAATTTATATATACGTATATATTGTCCTAGTTTATTTCGACCTGACGACTAATTATCAAACTTAAGGATGTAGTTAAGTAAATTCAATTATATGTAATTGTTTCTATTTATTGGAAAAATCAGTTTGTAGAAATCTTATCAGAAGCCGCCGGGTTTAGATTGATCTTTTAGTCTTTCGAGCCACGTTGCCAAGACACCCAGTGCTAGTGTATGTGCATTGACAGGTCCTTGCGAATATATGGTTATTTTTAGACGTGCGAAATTTGCATGTCGATATTACATGCTCTCATAATTAATAAGTTATTAACAATTTTAATAAATAAATGGCCATATCTCAAAAATCACACACTCAATAAAAATATATACAAAAAAGTAAATTTCATTACGTTTATCAAAATATTTTGTAGAATGGCCGTTAATTAACAATAAAATAATCATGATGACAGTGGTCAAATGAAAGCGATCAAATCGCTTATTTTGTTCGATATGTACTTTTTTTTTTATTTATTTCACGTATTAATTTCTAGCGAATTTGTCGCACACGTATCTTAGTTAAATAGAGATTGGAGTAGCAAGTATCTTACGCCAACGATTCGGCGATCAAGATTACTCTATCTCGCCAATATATTTTCGATGTTAAACTTTTTTTATGGCGCTCTGTTATTAGGTGCAAAAAATGATCAATTGGCATTTTGACCATGAGGCTTTAGCGCGGTGTTCCGTTGCCAAGTTGTACCACGCGACATATTAGAAAAAATGATTGCTACCAAATATCATATTTATTATACGTCCGTGACTTATATAAGCGGAAAGTATTCATATTTATACTTATTGTTATTATTATTACCATTGATATTTGTCTAATATATGCCCCTTTGCTAGTATTTTGAATTGAAGTATGCTACTGCTACGCCACCTCATGGCAATAATTTCACAAGACCGTCACACAACGGGTCACCGGGTCAACTATGATGAATTTGTCAATATTCTGAAGCAAGGTTTCCGATCTAAAAATCTCTCCCAGGGTCTCTACAAATTATTTCACTATTTTCTGCGGTTTCAGTCCGAGAATTTAGTTCAGTAAGCAGACGCACGCTTTGATATCAATACCTATGGAACTGGGAACTCGGACTGAATCACAAAAAATAGTGAAATAATTTTTAGGGACTCTGAGAGAGATTTTTCGATCAGAAATCCTGTTCTGAAGGCTACGAGTACGAAACGTTGATTCTACTTTTCTAGGGTTTTCCGTGCTCCGGTCAAACAACTTTTTTATTTGTTTAATACGTTGTAGGTGAGTATGTAGAACTTAACTATCTTATTATACCCAAAATAAAATTTCCTATACACCATTCAATCCATTATTTTTTACCATTTCAAAAATGCTTTTCAAAATTTATATTTATATAGTGTATGAATTAGCCAAATGACGTCTCAACGATTACTTTTACTCCATTCATCCCAATATGATTACTTGCGAAAACAATCTATAAACAATTTATAAAAATTACAAATATGTCTCTATTGTTTTAGTTTTGAATTTGTGAATACAAGAAAGAGCAAAATGGACACAAGAAAACGTGACATACGCAATAATAAGGACGTAGAATAAGGGATTTTATTTACTCTGACTGCGTGTAGATAACAAAGAATTAAATATATTATATTTAAAATAAATTTTGAATTCGATTACATTATATTTTTAAGTATCATTTCAAGGATATTTGTCCATTATTTTTAGACACTACATTCTATTTTAGTTTTCATGACTTTCCTGTGCTTTTGACTTAAAATTATTATTTTTTTTATTTTTAATTGAAAATCTGTGAGAATCCAAATTGTAATATTATTTTATTTAAATCGAAACGTAGTTTTTAAAAATTAGCGCAGTTTATATTTTTACTATAAAGTATTAAAAAAGAAACCAATGCCAATAAATTTTTATATTAAAATTAATTTTTAAGTGTCTTATATAATTTTTATCATTCAAAACTCGTTTACCAATAAGGTTATGTTGGATACACTAACTCACTTATATAAAAAAAAAGTAGTTTGCTGCAAGAAGCTATAACTCAAGACACGTGTTATCAAATTGATCGTTCGATGGCTCATTTTAAAGAGTAGGACCTGCAGGACATTATAGCTTTCAAATGAATTTTCCTACATCAAAAAATTCACTTCCGGTCAAAAGTTACGACTGTTTGCGCATAGGTAGGGCATATTAAGCAAATGTACCTTAAAATAGATATTAAAAATGTACCGAAAATAAATGTTTGAACTTTTTATCGTGGTTAAAAAAATTATTCGACTATACGGTTTCGAGATGGGATAAGAGATGCATAGCTGGTTGAAAATTATTTATTATTATTATTTATTTATTTATTTTTTGTCAGTTGCATCCTTCTTAAACACCTGAAAATAGTATATACACTATGTATAAAATATATAGATATTTTATTGAAACAAAATTCGTGAATCAATTGATAAATAAAGAGAATATAATAATTCGAATATATTTCTATGCTCATTGATATACCGTTTTTTAATGGATATTTTTTACACTTAAATTAACAATTATTTCGTTAGAATAACATTGGTTCGAAGTAGCATGCCGGTGTTAGCTAATATTGATCTAACTTGACTAGCTCAACTTCATGATTATTTGATTATTCATTAGCGGCCATATATTATTGATCAATCCATGAAAAAAATAGAAGTATTATTCATAGATTTTTAAATTTTCGGTATCTCGTGTGGGTTCTAGCATATGGTAATTTATTTATTAAAATTTGTAATACCTTTTGACCAAGCCGTCAGTGTGTGTAAGATATAAAATTAGGTTTTACCTCGGATGCAATTATCTTTAGATACGTGATCATGCGCATATGCGTATATGCACGTGAAAACGAAGAGAGAGTGAAAATACCAATGCGTTATAAAGAAGTGATAGTGGGCGAAATGGCAAACTTAAAGCTAAGATGCCTTGTGATGTGTTTGCTATATGTTAGATCGAGTACTTGGGGGTGTTTCAGCTCTTCTGTGGTTGTGGCTTTGCTGCTGATCGTATCAAAACTACGAATCGTTGATTGCTAATTAATGGAGCGTAGGTTTTGTCAATTAAATGGAATAAACAACTTTATTCGATAAATAATGTATAGTGCCTGTTTTACGACATTGTACGCGTACCCTAAAACATGGGATAGTCGAATTGCTGCAGTTCCTTTGCGTATATGCAAAGGTTCGGAACGATTCTATAGAGAGGACGCGCGACGACTGCAGCAATGACGTATGGGGTAGCGCACGCCGCGCGAGGTGCTTACAGGACAGAGAAGGAGAGGAGCCGCTCGAGGCAGAACGGGTGTACGCACCACGAAGCGCAATCATTTGTTTCGGCAGCGGTTGCTTAATCAATTACGGCCGAGCGCGAAACGGAACGAACGGCGGCGGTGAGCGAGACGGAGACGGGAGAGGAGTAGGCGCGTGCGTCGAGGCTGGAGTCGAGCCGCCGCCGCCGCCGCTGTCGCCGCCGCCGCCGCGACATCGGCGAGCGGCGTCCTCTGCGCCGGCTACACTCCGTGGTCGCACCTCAGTCGCGCCGAGACGGATCGCAGTCGACGCAGACCAGCGCGTCCAGTCGGTCGGCCAGTCGGCGCTCGACGTACCGCAGGAGGAGAGCCGCGCGAACCCGTCCGATCGGCAGCGACGCGGTCCGGAAAGGAGATGCGACCGCGGTCGGTCGGCGGCGCGTCCGCCGGGAGGTGAGCGGCCTCGGGGCGAGGGCCGCGGGCCGCCAACAGGTGGCCGGCAGCGCGCGCGCGGGACCATGCGGGGCGCGCGGCGCCGATCGCGCGCGGCCGGCTGAGCAGCGGCATGGAGGCCGGCCCGGCCGGCAACGGCTCGGCGCGCGCGCCGGAGCGCGACCTGCTGGGCTCCAGCCCGGGCCTGCAGCTGCTGATCGGCTCGCTGTACGCCGGCATCTTCCTGCTGGGCCTGCTGGGCAACGCGCTCGTGTGCTTCGTGGTGGCTCGCAGCCGGCACATGCAGACGGTGACGAACCTGTTCATCGGCAACCTGGCGCTGTCGGACATCCTGATGTGCGTGCTGGCCGTGCCGTTCACGCCGCTCTACACCTTCCTAGGTAGCTGGGTGTTCGGCGACGCGCTCTGCCACCTGGTGCCGTGCGCGCAGGGCGTGAGCGTGTACCTGAGCACGCTCACGCTGACGGGCATCGCGCTCGACCGGTTCTTCGTGATCCTGTACCCGCTGCGGGCGCGCATGCGCGTGCGCAGCTGCCTGCTGGCCATCCTGCTGATCTGGTGCGCGGCGCTGCTGCTCACGCTGCCCTACGGGCTGTACATGCGGCCGCTGCGCGGCGACGACGGCCGGCCCTTCTGCGAGGAGGCCTGGCCCGACGAGCCGCTGCGCCGCGCCTTCAGCACGCTCACCGCCGTGCTGCAGTTCGGCCTGCCCTTCCTGGCGATCGCGCTCTGCTACGTGTGCGTGGCGCTGCGGCTGCGCGACCGCGCGCGCGCCAAGCCCGGCAGCAAGACCGGCCGCCGCGAGGAGGCGGAACGCGAGCGCAAGCGCCGCACCAACCGCATGCTCGTCGCCATGGTGCTCGTCTTCGGCGTCAGCTGGCTGCCGCTCAACCTCGTCAACGTCCTCGAGGACTTCTACCCGGCGGTCAGCCAGCGGTCCTACCACAAGCTGCTCTTCTTCCTCGCGCACTGCCTGGCCATGAGCAGCGCCTGCTACAACCCCTTCCTCTACGCCTGGCTCAACGACAACTTTCGCAAGGAGTTCAAGCAGGTAGGCGCCGCCACTGCGCGACCGGTCGACGCCCGATCCTCTCGCATCAGACCCTAGCGCACCAGCCGATTTTACTTTACCCGCATTGCACGTTAGCCGACTACCGCGGGAAAGCAGATGCGTGTCTCGTCTGAGCTTTGCGGCCAAGTGAAGCGACCACTTTTTTTTTTGGAAGCTCCACTTCGACGCAACCTCACTTTTTGGCCCGCTTTAAAATGTTATATTTTCGCATAAATCTCATCGATTTGCCTTGCGATGCCCATTTCAAAGCTACTTTCGAAAATAACTCGTCACGCTCTTAACATTGCAGCGTTCTCAATCAAATGTTGCCATACTTTGCGCACGATAGTTCCAGATCGGCCAGTTGCTTTAATCGTTTTTTTTAATGAATAATTGTAAGACCGTTCATTGGTATAGTCATGGTGCATACTTGTTGACACCTGGATCGAAGTGTTTGAAACAAACGATCTGCATGAGAGTATTAGTATCCAAGTATTAATTAAGTAGTGTGTACCTAAAAAGTCAATTGGGTGGGCAATAATTCTTTCAATTTATTTTTGCATGGTGCGTATAATTTGCAGTTATCAATCACACGAGATATATCTGCCAGTATCATAAAACTGCACACATTGATTGACAATATTTGAAGCTTTCTATTGCTTTAATTTTAAATATCTTACATTACTATTCAAGTTCAAGAAAGAATTCATTTTTCGAAACCATAATTTTAATTTCGAACAATTGTATCGATCGAGAAAGACAGCTAGTTTTACTTTCAATAGCATTTAGAAAATGAGAAAAGATTCCTGGCTACACTGCCTGATATAGAAAAAATTGACACTGGGATTGCTTGATCGACTTGAGCAGATCCAAATAATTTAATTTGATATGCGTAGGTTTTGCTTTCGAAAAATAATTCCGAAATGAATATCTTGGAGGTTTGGTGATATATGTAACGAGCTAAAACTCGTAATGACGATGAAAAGGGAAATGAATGAAGCAGTGAATATCGTTGCAGTTGTTAGTAATATGACTTATTGCGCAGGTTTTGCCGTGTTTTGGCGCAATGTCAAATCAACGGTTTGTAGATAGAGGAGAAGAAGCCGGCGGTTTCAATCGCAGCGAGCGTACCTGCTGCAATGGAGCAGAGCAAACGACCGTCCAAGAGTGTCTACTGCCACCTCAACTGGCCGCGAACAAGCAATACTCAGTATGCGAAATGATCTCCCTTGAACCTACAACTAACACGACCAAGGATGTCAACTAACACTATCAGGACGATTCAAGGTACGTTTAATGATTATTAATCAACGATCTCAACGCAAGTACCATCAAACATTTATAACAGAAATAAGTTTTGGAAAATGAACTTTCAATGATTTCGTAATTATTTCCTTTAATTAATTATGTGTGTGTGCGTGTGTCGTTTTCTCACCCTTCTGATTTATATTCAAGACTAAATCTTCGAGCAAAGATTAGCCATTATTTGGATAGTTTTAAATATAGACACTAGTTGAAGCAACGGCAAACCTAAATAAACTCTTCGTATTAAGAACGCACGGCATTTAATAGAAGTCTATCGAGACAATCTGGGAATTATATTCCATAGACGCCTTACCTCAATCGTAATCAAATTTTATTTAACGTTTCGCATTTACATATTCCAAATTCACAATGATTAAAGAACTCATTAACCAACTCATTTGAAATTACATGTTTTGAAAGACAGCATATCATTTATCAGATAAATTGATGTGATTGAATGCACATTGAAATCTGTAGCTAATTTCACCAGAGATTAGGCATTTAAAACTAATATAAATTTTTATGCCAGATATATAATAATTTGATGTTTAACTTTTTTGAGAAAATAATATTTGAATAAGTTCGTTATCTGTGAAGGGTTTTGACATTTTGTACCGTATTCTATATTCATAATACATCATTTTTCTGAAATGCTTAAAAATTTTGGTATTTTTGCGAATACTAGGTCCAGGTATATCGATAAGTAATATAATTTGTCAGGCGATTACTTGGCAGACGAATGCATATTACGAGTCAATTTTGATCAAACTATCAAAATCGAGGAATTTGTTGTCCTATGCTAACTGATAGAACAATTTTACTCTCGAAGGTGATTGACAATTTATTCGATCATTGATTAATAATTAAACCAAAGTAGCGACTTAGTCAATCATGCTAATAATGGAAAAATACTTTCTATAAAGTCATATTTATTGTTGTAATTGTTGTTAACGAAGATTTTTATTAATCTATTTTAAGGTAGTATATTTGAATATTTAGAAAAGAAAGATAGTTGCGTTGAATTATTGAAAAAATCCAATATTATCAAAAGTATCCATAGACAGTCCATTTGAAGCATTTGTACGTGGCTTAGTGATTTATAAAATTCGAAAAATTTATTTGGCTCTAAACGTAATTGTGAAATGGACCATGCTATGTTTTGTGAATAGTCATTAAAATAGTATATTTAACTATTGATGCATTAACGTTTTAGAAAATGTGCTTTCATGTTTACATTTCATGTATTAGACATTGCTTATAAATAATATTATTTTTGATCATCAGCGTCAAAGTTGTTCGTTTTGGATGTTCTCTCTCTCTCTCTCTCTCTCTCTCTCTCTCTCTCTATCTCTCTCTCTCTCTCTTTATACATATATATATATATATATATATATATATATATATATATATATATATATATATATATATATATATAAATCGATAATAAGTACTTAAACCTCTTGAAATCGATTTAACATATTTTGAAATATTACATACAAAATTACATAAATTACGTTGAACTTGATTTTTTTATATAGTGGAACATATAATAAATTTTATTGAAATGATTGAAATAATCTTTGAAACTTTAAATAATTCTCTATAGTAACTTATTTATTCATTTACTTGTTTGATTTGTTTCTCATTTTAAACAGGCGAAGCCCACGTATATAATATAGAATAGGAAATAACATTATAAATAGCTATAGAGAAGCCGAATGAATAACGCACAAATTATTTATCCTATTGTTCAAATTATATTGAGTAGATGATATTTTGTAAATGAATGGGTATTATTTGTTAATAATAAATTCGATTATGTGTTGGTAATTTATAACTTTTTAACACGTAAAATTGAAATGAGAAATATTGCAAACGATGCGGACCGGAAAATATCCTTATTTGTAAAGAATAATTATTAGACAATTTAATTCTTTATTTATTTCTCAATACTATTACAATACTGAACAACGTTTAGACATGACATTTTCTATATATTTCGAAAAATTATTAAAAGTAATTTTAATGAAATACACACCTTCATTACAAGTCACTTTTACTTGAGTAAACTTATTTCTAGTAAGAAAGGGTAATAAATGTGTAGACAACTATATATTCTTGTTATTGAAATAAATAAATAGGTAAACGAAATATTCACGTCGATTTACTGCCAGCTATGTATAATTGTCATTAATAATAATCTTTCTAGCAAATATTAGGTAAATGTATGTATCGCTTATAATCGTCGAACTTATATCCCACGATGTCATTTAGATGCCGATGCTTCAACGTAAAAATGTTACATGAAAATATAATAAAAATGGCGAATTGGCGAATATGAAAATTTTTGAAAAAGCTTACTGAATTTTACTTTTTTATTTCTAAATAATCTTAAATAATATCACGATAAAAATAACAGATGTTCGAAGCAAGCTATACCATAATCATTGAATTAATCGGTATAAAAACCAATGATAAAACTGAGAAAAGGGCTCTTACCAGAAAAAGGTTTCTCCCTATTACAAGACGAATTCGTCAAAGTCAATGCTCTCGCGTTACAAGAACAATATTATCAATGTATATTTGAGAATATCCAGTGAAGCCATGCTTACTACTAAAGTTGTAAATGAGCATACTTTGTTTATCAGCTGGTGTTTGTATGCGTTATTCAAAAATCAAAATTCAAGAGAAAAAAAATATTATTTTTGCTCTTTCAAAATTACATTATTATTTGTACGTATTATCATATTTTCAAATTTGTAATTGGACAAAATTGTAGAATTTTTGAACTCGGTTTCTGAATTTAAGAAATAATTAAAAATGGTTTGTGAACTTGTGAATTAATCGTGTGTACATTGTTCAGTTTAGCTACAAAATCTTATCATCAGGCTAATCCTTGATAAATATTAAATCTTTTTTTAAGTTATCACAATGTAAATGAATAAATGAATAGTATATTGTTATATGATAAACATGTGAAAATAAGCAACGAGTAACCATTGCTGTACGTAAATTAATCATTGTGACTTCATAGCCAAGTAAAATGTATACGAAATCCAACTATTTATGTATATTCAAAATTTTATGACATTAAAAAATATATGTATATCTGGAAGAACTTGGTTGGCAGATTATTATGTCATCGTCACATAGTTTGGCGTTTTATTGAATAATAATTATGCCAGCAGGAGAAAACTGTAATCAGTTTTTCAATAAAAATTAAGAAAAATAGATTTTTAAGATAATAAATACCTATTCAGTTCATTCCGTTTGTAGTCTTTTGTTCAACCTGCGTTTGCCGTTTTTACTACTACGCCAATACAAGTAGAGTGATTATTATTATCATTATTATTATTATTGTGTTGTGTGTGTATTGATGTTAGAGTACCCCTTCTCACTGTGCTCATCAACCACGAAAACTAAATAACAATTTCTATTTAATTTTATTTATTCAATTTTGATTAAAAAAATAAAGATATTATGTGATTAAGTCTATCGGAAATACAACTATAACAAATGCGCTATGATATTTACCTGCAATGGTAATGTGGAAATAATATCATTTATGGAATTCTCGTGAAATATCTTTATATTTTCTTATCAAAATAATTAAAGAAGATTGAAATGTAATAAATTGAAACATAGCAAGAAAAATTACTACATGATAAAAAACTCATGAATGCAAAATGTTCCAAACTCATAATAACTAATCGTAAAGATAATAAAGTGATACAATACCATACATATGCACTACTAATAAATTAATCATTATCGTCAATTATATTAATTGTAGAAAAATAAAATAGAATATCAATGATATCATATTTCGCTAAAATTTTCAAGAATTTACACTGAAAGTACAAAAATCTCTGATATAAGTGTGCGGGTAAAAATATATGTAAATAAATTTTTTAGGATGATAAAAAATCAGGCGAATCCTCTATGAACTATGTAACGGAGTGATTGGTATCTTCAGGCTGGGCTATTATGACGGCTGAGTCATCATAGCCGAACTGACCGTCTAGTCTAGGCCTGTTTCACTGTACTCACACGGCAGCGAATTGCCGTGGTAAGAGGAAGTAATATCCACCATTGTTTGCTCTCTGGTAGTGGATCACGTTACTTCTGATTCTGTGTCTCGTGTTGTTCATTTCGATCGTATATTTCATTCACGCAACCTTTCATACTCACTTCATGCATTCACTCGACTTCCCGACATCCATCCACCTTTTTCCCTCGCAGGATGGACTCGGCGTACAGCTACTTTTGTCTTGCAGCATCTTTCCTAGTTTTCAGGCGCGATACTGCTTGCGATACCATCGTCTCCAGTCGACGATTCTCCACGCACCAGTGGCTGCACTCGAAAAATGTGTGCTTTACGTTGTTTCGTTCGCGTCCGCAATATTTACAGTCTGGGCTCTTTACTTCCCCTTGTGCAATAAGTATCTCTTGAAGTATCCATGGCTAGTAAGGGAATTAGGTCAAGATTAAGTCAAGTTTACTTGTTTGAGTTTACGTTCCATCCACAATCTCAGATCGTCTGATTACCGGTTCCTACGTCGTCTCGTATTCTTGCACGCCTCCGGAATGCAACGCAGAACTTTTGAACCCATTGCTCTTAAGAGCTACTGTTCGTACTTTAAAAACTAGTTGCAATAACTGCTATTAGAAAAAAACCTAAGCTGCAGAGAGCAGTGCAATCAGATCTATGAGCTTGTCGAGTAGTTGAGGATTTTTTGATAAATCAATTAATGACACAGGCTGACAAGTTAATGGATGCAGTTTGCCGTATGAAATACGTGTCTAGAGCGACGAAAACGGTGAACGCTACCACATAGCCATTAGAGGTTGTCTTCGCAGGTGTCCAGCAGGATGTGGCTATTGGCAAGGATTATAGAGATATTTTATAGGAACGAAGAGCGGCTTGCTTGAGACGATTCAGCCGGCAATGGTGGTGACTGATCGCGCAAAGGATAGCTGGGAGTGCCGAGGAACGTCAAATTGAGTTTACTATCGGGTCATAGCTTGGGGTAGGGGCGGCACCCAGCTGTAGCAGTAACGCGGGCCATCGGCTAAAGGCTCCACATCAAAACTTGTCTTGACGGCCAGCCACAAAAGTCCCTCTAATAAAGATGCCCGCGCGCGTAGGTGTGTGCTCGTCAAATTGCCGTGGTCTCGAGTGTCCTGCTAGGCCTCATAAGTCTATTGCCGGTAGCGAAGATACGAGACGCGTATCCAAGTTACGCAGTTAACGACTGGCGCTGGAGCGAGCGTAGGCCAGTGGTACGGTAAGCAGTACGGTGAGCGGTAATTACGACCAGCCAGACACGACGCTGCGTACGAGCTCGGGAGTAACGATCGCGAGAAAGGGCGCCGACGCTCGCCGCTCGCGTCAAGCTGTCTCGAGTGCAGTCGTCGACAACGTGCCCAACTAGCGTCCAGTCGGCGAGTGCGCGCGTGCCAAGGTGAACGGGGGCGGCAATGGGCGATGAGCCAGAGGCCACGGCACGCCGGCGCACGTGCGTACGTGCTAGACCTGGGCCGCCGCTCGCTCCGGCAGGACCGGCAGCCGAGCGGCTAGCAGATTGCCGACGGAAGCCACTGAGCGATAATAATGGCGGCTCTCGCTGCCAAGACAAATCCGGATGGAACGAGTCAAGATGGGAGCGCCAGATAAGTGGCCGCAATAAGGGCGACGGGCGGCGGACGTGAAAGTGAAGGGGCGAGCGAATAAAGAGGAGACGGCCGGTGGGATTCGTCCCCCGAGAAAAGCTAGTATAGTCTTGTCGGAGGAGAAACGTAGGTGGCGTGCAGTTATTGCCTGGTGGGCTCGAGATATTCGATAAATCATTGGCAATGGCCGAAACGAGATGCGCGACGGGAAGATCGGGAAGATCGGAAAGATCGCCTGGATCGAACTCGACTGCAGCGAGCGACGAGAGAGCGCGACGACAAGCCGACGCCGGTAGCCCCCTCGCTGAGCCAAAGGCGAGCCTCCCGTAATAACGTCGTTACACTGCGAACTGGGGCGGCTCCGGAGTTGTTGACGTAGAGCGATAACAATTATTAGAGGCGGACGCACGTGTTTGCGCCAAATCGCGATGCTCGTCCTCTCGCTGTCCGCTCGCCGTCGTTGCCCTCGCCAAAATCACTGCGCGCAGACCAAGTCGCTCGCGCGCGTTCGCTGCGACGCTCAAGCGGATCGGACTCTCAGTGGGTCAGCTCCGCGGCTAATTTGGTTGCTGCTGTAGATACGCGGCTCATATCTGCACCCGGGCTCTATTTCGATCTCGCGAGTGCGCCTGCGCAGCCCACCGCAGGCTCGTACGCCCGTCCGTCCTTCCTCTTTTTCATTCCTCTCTTTTCTTTCTTTTTCTCTTTTTTATCCTCCCAACTCCATCAGACTGGCCCTCTGTCTCTCGATCAACCTGCTACACTTATCACTTGATTGCATTGCTTCTTGCCAGAGCACAAGTCAGCAAAAGCGCGGCAGGCGATCAAGCCTACGGGAGAATCAGTGTCGCGGAGCGTAGTGCGATGTACGATTATCGCAAATGTCATTCCAACTTCATTGCTCTCTTATCTTTTCTTCGATTATATCGTCCTTATATTCAATTAGCTTCAAGAAATTTTATTTTATTCTGTCTGTTAAACTGGTCGTCTCTAAAATAACGACAATTCACGCGATAAGTACATCAAGGCTCATTGATGCAGTCGCAGCAGCCTCCAGTTCGGACAGTTCCAACCGCATCACAATTTTCAATCCCGAGGTCTGCGTACCGCTCACGAGACGCGGGAGTTGGCGTAGGAGCAATCGAGCAGCTCGATCGCAATGGTCGCTTATCGCGGAGACGCAGCCTCGGACTCGCAACGGGGCCGAACAAGTAGATCGGCACGGCGGCGGCGCGCGCGTGCAGGGGCAAGGCCACGTCGGTCGACAAGCGGCCGGGCGGCTGATCGAAACGGCCAAGTGCGAAGCCCCATCCACTCGCTCGCAGCATTCGCGCGCGCTCGAGTGTCGGAAGTTGCGCGCCGAGTGAAAAGCTCGAATGTGCTTTGTGAAATGACGGCGGTGCGGAAGAACGAGCGAGTCTCGGTCGAGGGTATAGGCAGGCTATGGCTGCTTCCGGGCAAACTAATTAGGCGCCCAGCGAGGACTGCGCGTGGACATCCACGGCTCCAAACTAGCGATCGGCTTGAACGTGCATCGACCGCCAGTCGGCTCGGCCTCTTGCAAAACAAACGAGCAGCTGTTCAACGTACCCGGATGGACGTTCGGCGTTGATTGTTACCGAGCTCGTTCTTTCCCATCGGCTCGGCAGCCTCGGCGCATTGAAGAGGCTTGGGCCCGCAAATTGCGATCGTAGCTCGCAATTTGCGGCCGAGCTCCGAAAAATGAATGGTTTAGAGAGGAGCGAAGTTGCGCTGCGCGAGCTGAATGCCAAGTAGGCTATCGGGGCCGACAGCTTTCCGGCCGGGCAATTAAGGTGGCGCATCCGGAATTCGACTGGTCGCTTTCGCCGGCTTAGCGAGCCCGGCGCGGAGCCTCCTCTTCCAGCCGAGCGATTACGACGGCGTGACGTAGATCCAGTCGAGCCAGCGCGCACGCTCGCACGCACGGGGGGTCTTTGCGGAGAGACGCAGAGAGCCTCGTGAATCTCTTAGCGGACGTGCAGCGTTTGACAATGGCACGCGCTGGAGCCGAATGTGCCCCGTATGATTCATCTCGCGAGAGTACATTCCGACGCGACCGATGATGTCGCCGACGCTCGCCGCTAGCCGCGGACTCCAAACTTGCGAGGAGCGGACGCGTTCGGCTGCTCTGCGAACGAGACGCCCAGCTACGACTAGCGCTGTTGTCGACGTTCCGCGTGCGTGCGGCTGCCCGAGTGCTTCTTTCGGCGTCGTTACAATCGATAATTCGCATGCCGTATTAGTTCGCCCTCTCGACCCGTCGATAACTCCTGACAGATGACTCTTTGCCACGGCTCGCGCATACCTAAGCTATTTTCATCGATATGCATGCCTACCTACGGCTGACGCAGCTGACGTATCCGACAATTTATTCGTTCTCATTGGAAACGGAAGAGCAGAGTGGGGGAGTAAGTCGCGGTCGCGCGAGCCCAGGGCCACGGAGAGGACGAGAGGACGGGGGACGGCGCTACCGCGGAAGCTGCTGGGGCTGCGGGCACGCGCGCAGCGGCGACTAATTACGAGCTGGATTCGCAGCTCGTCGTCCACGGTATTGGAAAAAATAGCACACCTAAAATAGGTGGAACGAGCGAAAGGGAGAGGCGCAGCGAGGCTCCGAGCGGCGCCCGGCCTCTTGACAAATATATATCGGTGCATCTGTTCCGCATCGAGTGCAGTTCTGATTGGAGGCTTTGACGAGAGCGCCGACGCAATCTCTGACGTGAGCGAGCTCGAAAATCGGGGAACTGGCGGCGCCCACGGCCGAAGCCCCAGCGGCGACCCGTTGGAAAAACGAGGTGCGAACAAGAGAGCGGCTGGATCGGTGTCGTGATATCGCGCTGCCAAAGCTGTCGCGATACTCGTGATATCGTCGGCGGAGAACGGGCCTGCAATCCCCTCGCTCGGTCTCGGGGTTTGCCTGCTCGTTTCTCCGCGGCCGCAGCCGATCTGTCGGCGGGCGTCCGCGCTGTTGCACATCGAAGGCCAGTGAGAACGACAGTCGGCAGCGGCGCCCGGCGCGTGCTTACGCAATTTTATCGTGCCCCAGATTCGATATGCACCGCGCGAGCCGAGCCAGTCAATTTCTCCCGGCCGATGGAATTGGACGAGCGGCCAGCCGCTAGACGTTCGAGCGGAGCGTCGACTCGGCGCACTGCATTCGAGTCCGAGCCGAGAATCGATCGCGCGCCCGACGGAACGCAATTGGCGGTGAAATTCTCTGCAGCCGATTATTGCCGCGTGGCTGCACAGCGCTCGAGCGGTGCCAGCTTACCTGATCGTCGAGTGGTTTGCGATATTCCGCCGCGGCCCCAGCGAAACCGTCGAACGCGGCGTGGACCGGCACGGACCGGCGCGAAACGGCGCTGCTCCGGACCTCGAGACCACCACGGCGTAACCACTTATTCCGTCTTATTCTTCGTCTTTTTTGCGTTTCCGGTTTTTCGCCAGCCGAGCGAACTTGAATTCGAGCGCGAGTGTACAGAGCGTAACAGGCTGTCAGAGCTGATGGGTCGAGGCCTGCGACGTTCGCGAGCCGTGGGGGCAACGGCCGAGCGGTCCGAGATAAAAAATAACGGCGTTGGCCCGAGCGCACATCCAGAAGTGCGCCACTGGACGATCATCGAGGAGAGCTGCGTCCAAGCGGACGGACGGAACGGGGGCGGAGGAAAAGCTCGGCTAGTAGCGAACAGAGGGGGGGAGTGCGAGAGCGAGCACCGCGGCGCCTGAAAAAACAAGCGCTGCCGGCGGCAAGAGCGCCCACGTAGGTCCTCGATTGGCGCCACTCGAAAGCCATTGCGGGACCCGGCGCAGCGTACAGCGAGCTCGCCTGCCCTCGTTAACGCCGCTCAAAGCCGCAGATGCGTGCGCGAGGCGCGCTTTGTCCTCTTTCCGTCTGCTTTGCCTCGGCCGTGCGTCATTAGCGCGTCCGAGTCGCGCGGGAACTCGGTTTGTTCGAGCTTGGCCGAGAGCCGCTGTTTCTTCGCCATTGCGAGAGCGCAGCCTGCCGAAGCCGCCGGGCGCGCTGAATCTCGACGGAGCCGCTCGGCTGAGTCGCGGCGAGAGCGCGCCGATTGGCAGTCCGCGGGGGCCTCCGTTATTTACCGAGGATCGAGACGAGGGGCGTTCGAGCCGGGGCTTCGTCCGTGAAAGTGAAATCCCTGCGCGACGTCGCGCGAGGAAACTGCGCGAGAGCAGAGCTCGCGGCTGATGACTCTCCGCGGTATTTATGCCGGGCACACTGCGAATTAAAGCCAAACAATCGAAGCAACTTGCCGCTCCGCGCCCTGCCTTTGCTCGCGCGGGCTTTTACAACTTTGTACGCGCGCAGTGCGTAAATATAATACGCAGCGGTAGCGACAGCGATAGCAGCAGCAGCAGCGAGCTCGGCGGGTAAATGTTTGATTTTCATCCTGGGATTGCGAGGCTGGGATTGGCTGGATCGCGGAGAGACGCGAGCACACTGCAGACAAAAAGAAGCAGCAGGGCGGCTAATAGGCGCCGGCAAGTAGCGAGGCTCCGGCAGCGGTCAGGCGGAGTCGCTCGCGCCGGACTGTTTGCAGGTGCAGCGCGCGGCACTCGATATCCGGCTTTCGTGCCTGGATGTTCGCCCCCCCCCCCCTTCACTCGTGCAGCTCGACACACGAGCATGGCATTTCATCGGTACTTGCTTTGCGACTCAGCTCGAGAACAAGCGCAAGAAGGACCTAGGATGCACTCGCGGATCGGAGCTGGCAGCGCGCAGTCATGGTGCGGCACAGCGATCGGCATTCGTAATTCTTTCGGAGCACGAGAGCCAGGCGATTGTCGGGATTGACCTATCGCACGGCATCGACAGCTCGCCAGTTAGCGCGCTGCCCACTTGTTGCGGCCCGCGCGACGCCTCGAGCGCTCCTCCATCCGGCCGACCAGTCACCGCGGCAGCGGCGCCGACGCTGACGTAGGCGGGCGACGGGCGATCGATAGCGCAGCGCGCGTCGAGCAGCCGCCATGCGAGCTCCGGTTCGACGCTCGCGAAGGTCGACCTGCCTGCCGCCCGTCCGCGCGGCCGCTTGGCGCCCAAGGTCGAGCGGTCGGGCGTCACGGCCGAGTGCACACCGCCGCTCCGGCCGCTCGGACGCTCCGACGACGGCTTATCGCCCGCGCGCGCACGAGCGGCACGAGCGTCCAGCCCGAGCGTCCGCCGGGCGTCTCCGCCCGGACGGGGCGGCCGGCGCGGGTGCTGCTACCTCGAGTCGAGCGCGCGCGCCCGCTTACCGACGCGGCGGCGCGCTCGGACGCGCGCGGCTCGCCGGGGCGGCCAGCGGTGAGCGGGCGTCGGAACTGGGTCGATCAATACGGGGGGCGCGCGCGCGCGGCGCCCGTCGGCCCGTCGCGACGGCTCGGCCGGGCGCCTGTTGAATGCGGCGGCGAAGGGCGGGCAGGGCGCCAGTGCGCGGGCCGCAGCCGCCGAGGGAGCAGCACAGCCAGAGCATGTCCGCGGCGACGGCGAGCGGCGGCGCGGCGCTGCGCTGCGTGCCCGTGCCCCCCGAGCGCCACCAGGAGCTGATCGAGCATCTGCGCCAGAGCTTCTTCGCGGACGAGCCGCTGAACCGCGCCGTGGGGCTGTGCCGGCGCGGCGAGCCACACCCCGAGCTCGAGCGCCACTGCCTGCAGACCCTCGGCCAGTCGCTGTCCTGCATGGTCGTCGACGCCCAGCACAAGGTCGGGCGGTCGCGCGGCCCGCCGCGCCGCGCCGCGCTGATCACCGCTGACCGGCCGCCGCTTGCTTGCAGATCGCCGGCGCGGCGCTCAACGGCCTCATCCGCCGCGGCGAGCGCGAGGAGTGCGAGCGCCGCCTGGGCGAGCTGCGCGACGACAACTTCAAGCGCATCTTCGAGCTGCTCTACCGGCTGAACGACCGCGTGGACCTGTTCGAGGAGAACGGCGTGGAGGAGCTGTTCGAGGTGCGCATCCTCAGCGTGGACGAGGCGCACCGCGGCCGAGGCCTGGCCCAGCTGCTGCTCGACGGCAGCCTCGGCACCGCCAGCAGCCGCGGCTTCAAGGTACGCCCGTCCCCGCCGCCCCCGCACCGGCTGGCCGAGCCTCGCTCACCGCCCCTCTCGAGCGATCCGCAGGTGGTGAAGGCCGACGCCACGGGCGTCTTCTCGCAGCGGGTCTTCCTGAAGCGCGGCTTCGAGGTGCGCACCGAGATCGCCTACTCCGAGGTGGAGGCGCGCCTGCGCCCGGGCCCGCCGCACCAGGCCCTCAAGCTCATGGTCAAACTGCTCGACTAGCCGCGGCGCCCGCTTGCTGGTCCAGCGCGGACGGCGCTCACAGCGCTCTACGTCTGCACTGTCCGCAACGAGCAGGGGACGTTCCGTCGGGCGTTGGACGTCGCGCTCACCAGGCGCACCTTGGCGCTACGTCCATTGGCGCGCTTCGATGCTAGTCTGGTCGATATCGATGTGTGCATCGACCCGTTATTGCCCATCCACCGCATGCCGCTGCTCGCCCAAACGAGCAGCCTGCAGGTTTTCCCTTGACACGGGGCTTTGCCCATTTTTCGTCCCCGCCGCGCTGCTAATGTATCCCACGGAGACCAGCTGCGGAGCCAAAAACGCGAACGAACAGTACAATGTCGAGACCAAGTGAAACCAAGTCATGGCTGCAATGTCGTTTTTTATGATTGTGATACAAGTTGTTGAATGTTCTATTCTATGAAATAACGTACAAGTGAGAGCGACTGTGAGCAGAGCTAGAGAGCGCGCGCATTAAAACAGTCGAATAGCTAGCGTTCAGAAGTCGGTGCGCAAGCATGCTCGCACACATTCGAGTGATTGATCAAGGCGCTTGTCGCGTACTATACGCCACGAGCTCGGACAATCCTTCTAGTTTTGCTCGTTGCTCTTCGTTTTATCGATATGCTCCAAGTTCGTACGCACAAAATAAAGCTGCGCAATAAAATTACTGATTTACCTCGGCACCACCTTGTCCAAATATCTTATTTTAGATTTCATAACTACCGTTGCTCTATGCTACTTTTACGAAATGTTGTGTAAAGGTCGAGTCAGCGATTCGTGCCATTCGATGAGGGCCAGATTTGACCGTTAATGAGGATAACGAGCAATCGACTTGGTAACCTTTCTTCATTCGATTACATTATTGACATATATGACTTTTGCGAGAAAAATCACTTGCATAGCTTACCAGCGAACGAACAAATCTTGCTCTCGTCAAATCGATAAATCGTTCGATCGATTTCCCGGAACTTTTATGCTGAGCTGGCGCAATATTTCATGATTTTCCGTTGCTATTCGTTACTCTTTCTTGGCCACAAAACACAAGGATTAATTGTTAAATGTTATTGGCATTTCACGACAACTACCTCAATTTTTCAAGACATTTGTTCATTCAAGTTGCAATAACATATAAGGTGATTAGTGCAGTCGTATTGATCTACATATAGTTGTTGAATATAAATCAAGTAAATCGCACACATAAATATACACATATATATACACACATGTATGTGTGTACATGTACAATGTACATTCATTAAGGTGACGTTCGAGATAGCCCTTATTTAATTCCCGACTTGCTTATGACCTCGCAATTCCAATTCTTGAATCAGTTGATTATCGCAAGAATTAAGATGGCTCAGCAGACAACTGGAAAACAGAGGAAACGCGTCATGCATGTTTTTCACATATTTTTCGATGAAGAATACGATCATCGTGCTTAATGGCTTTATCTGAGACCTCGGCTAGAAAGTGCTAAAGGCAACAGATCATCGGTAGTATTTTGCTTCTAGCAAGTTCCAAGCAACTCCTTTCATGATGAAAATCAGTAGCATCATGATCGTATCTTACGTCAAACTGTGTACGGAAAATATGCATGCCGCGTTTAGGTATAATGCTTAATTCTTTTTCTATGAATATATGATCACTCAAAAAGCCATTGAAAACATCATCTTACAAATAGAAACGGTTCAACGAGCTTTTTCACGGAGCTTTTTCAAAATTGACTTCTTTGTTTTTAACGATTAACAAACCGATCAAATTGCAAGCGAATAGGGAAACGCGCTCCGCGTCATTAATATACAGATGTATACAACCAAATTATACCTCTTGGTCAACGAATCAGACATGGAATAAAATATTTATTATAATAGAAGATAGTTATATGAAACTGAATGGTGAACAAAATAAAATTTTAATATAATCTCTCAGAAACAGTAATACACTGGAGAAGCGCCAAATTGAATGTCAGACGATTAAATTGACCAAAATTGTGCAAATACTCCAACGTATTTACCAATGTACCTATAAATTTCGAAGAAAGTGTTATATATCTTATATATTATTTTAAAAATAATGTCTACTAATACATATTATTATTAAGTCGACGAAACTGTTGATAAATAAAATATGTAATCAGTTACCAATCGACTCATTCTACATTATTAAACCTCTTTATTTTCTATTGTGAGGCTACCAATCCAAAAGCTTACAATTTTGCTTATTCATAACATTCAATAAGTAACATTGTTATTTACCAATGAAATAATACAGAGTATTAGCTTTTAGCATAAAAATGTATTTCATATAAATCTGTACAGACTTCTGTCTCTCTAACCTTGACGCTACGAAGTTTGCATATTGTTATATTATTGAAAACTTTTTTCTCAAAATTCTTAAATTTATATGTACATGTGATTAAAAATATGCTTTTTGTTATAGCTATTCAGTAATGCAAATTTCTTCTGTTTATAATAAACTATTATAAAAGGTAAATTATAATTGTACATAAATACATTTATGGAGCTTTTCAAAGCTTATTTACTGCTCATTTTTTTTACATATAAAAAACACATAAAAGTATGATTGATTTTAAAAGTTAACTTGCTGTCTAAAATGGCTTTGCAATTTGTTTGCTTTGCAACCTAATTTAGATGAATACTTTTGTTGCAGCCTCTGCATATATTTAATATCCAATGCCTTTTGTTTAGCAGCTTCTACTTGAGTCTCTTTCCAACCAAGTGCTCGATACATAGATAAAACTTTTTTTAATTTTTCATTCTTGGGAACAGCTAAAGCACGTTGAGGATTTAAGCTTTGCTTATAATATCGCATAAGAGATCTATGGCCGATAATTGAACCTGATGGAAGCACAAGTTGATAATCACTGTCATCTAGCTCTGGGATTTCCACTTCTGCATTGGGATCAGCTGATTCGCTATCAGGATAGCTAGAAGAATAGTCATAAAAACTTGCATACTCTGCAAGTGCTTCTCCTTCATGTAACATTTTACAATGCCCCTTATCAAGCATGTGAGTCCTTGCTGCTTCAGCACTTCTGAAGGCCTTGCCTGTTATACACATTGCGATAAATAGTTATCAAGAAAATAAAAGTGTGCTAATCAAAATGTATCTTACCTTTGTCATTGCACCATACACACATATATCCAGCAAAAACTTTTTCTCCTAAGTAAATAAGTAAACCCTTTATATCTATGCAAAATTCTGGATCAGGTATGAAAAATGAATGAACAGTTGTCATATGTTTCAAATTCTTCACCCAGCTCTTGCTATGATGATGACAAAATAGACAATCATTTCTGACAACTGGATTGTCTGTATCTTCTAACCATTCATCTGAATCTACAGATTCAACATCTGAATCAACTTCCATATCATTTTTAGTTTCATTGATTTCTATACTATTTTTTAATTTTTTAATAGGTCCACTACTGGTTGATTCTTCATTGCTTTCTCTCATTACTTCATCGTTTTCCAAAGAAATAGAACTATCTGATTTTAAAGTCTTCTCTTTGTGCTTTTTAGACAATAAATGATTATCATACTGATTTTTAGTATTGAAATTCTTTTTACAAGCTTTACAAATCAAACTTTGACTCTGACTTTCTTCATCAACTTTACTTCGCTGTGCAATAACTCGTCTTTGAAATTCCTCAACCGTAATGGGTGGTAACTCAGCTACTTTTCTCTTCAAGTTATATCTGTGCCAATCTGATTTGTAATGTTGCCTTTGTACTTCCAAATCACGGAAAGCGACACGGCAAGTTATACAAGTATAAGTTGAAGTCATAGTATCCAGATATGTTTAACTTTATAACCTCGATTAACAGAATATTATTGATGTATTTGCTACAGCTGTAAACATATTTTAAAATTATTAATCTATATATAAATTTATATAATTATTACATTGACATTATAATTATTATAAGAGCCCAAAATATCTATGTATCAATTGGTAATCACAAAAAAATGTTTAAGTCATTTTAATTGTTGAATGTAAAAAGTTAACAATGTCAAAGAACATACAAGGTAATAATCAAAGACAATCAGCTATTCAATAACCCATCAAGAAAATGTTAAGGTTAGAACATCTATTTTACCTCTCACTTATCCAGCACTTGTGTCACTGTTCTGTTGTAGAAATGCAACCTGTCTATTAAATGTTGGAAACCAATTATTAATAAATTAATTTGTAGCATGTTGAAATTACCAAGTTACTTATACCAAAATGTCGAAAAATAATCGTTTTCTGGGTATTAATTTGCGCCCGTCTGCAATCTTCAAAGCTCACTAACTAAAATTTAACTCTTTAGTTTTAAGCCTATAATCCATATACTGTTTCACTACGAATAATGGTGCTGTTCTCAGCATGTATAGTTATATATGCATATATATGTGTGTATACTAAGTTATTAAATGTTTTTGCACATTGTTATACATATTATATTAATAACTTGATTTATTCCATAACATGAATATAAATGCGTACTTTAAAAAGATTTTAAAATTAGATTCACCAATAACGAAAAGTAGATTTCGTACGTTTATTTATATAAATATTTACCTTCATATAAATACTATTATTGATGTCTAAGACGCGTTTCGCGCGTTCATTTTTTTTGTCTTTTTTCGCATTCATTTGAAGTAATATTGGAATATAGATTAAAACTTTTTTTAGCGAAATTAAAAATTCGATAATTTAGTATGCATTAATATTCCCGCGATTTGATATGAGATATAGCCGTCGATATTATTGGTAATTAAATATGCAGTTATATACTCATGATTTTTAAATGTTATCAATAAAATTTTAATTTTTTATATCGTACTGTAATTATCTACTTTGTTTATTCAAAGTGAAACTTTCAAATAGAGTAAGATTCAATTCATTTCTCTATTGGAGTATAGGTCAGTTTTTATTTGGAGGTTCTTATGATTCATTCATATTAATTGATTAATTTATATTAATTAATTTATGCCAACTGTACTGATACACTTTTCCAACGTTTAATCATCTATGAAAATCAAGAATAAATCTTTCATGAGCGTACACAAATATATATATATTCACATGACTATCTTATTCTTATAGCCAAACAGATCATGAATAAATTTGTTGCACTTTGTCAGGTTCCCTTTTTTTTATAAAAAGGAAAGAGAATGGAAGATTAAAAAATTTTTTAATTATATTAAATTTGACCTAATATCAAGAAATAAATATATTAATAAAACTAAATATCTAAAGCGAGCAGTAAAAAAAATTTTTTAATATTTAAACTTATTTTATATATGAATATAAAAGTAGTTAAAAAATTGTAATGTGAGAAAAAATTTTGGGTAAAAAAGACGATTACTTTTGGATCGACTAGGGGTAAACGGCCCAGTTTTTGATCAGTAATTGACCACTTTCTAGAAAAAAACTATATTTTGAATATAAAAAAGAATATATGATCATAAAATATTTTTCTTATATTCTGTATTCTTTAATAAACCACATTTTAGTTTGTATGAAAAAAAAATATTATAGATGCAGCCCTCCCATAATTATTGGAATTTATCGATATTTTACGTAACGGAGCGAAAAGTACGTAAGTACGTATAATTATAAAACGAAATCACATTTTTGATGAAAAGTTTGATACGGGGCAAAGATAAAAAATTTGTAATGTAAATTGATGATTCTTACGCGTTAAAATTTGATAGCAATTCGATTTTTCAGGGTTGCAATGTGCAACGGAACGAGAGATTGAAAAAGTTGTACAAGTGCGAGCTTAAGCCAGGCTCACACTTGTGAGATGGGAAGAAGAGTGAGGTTGGTAAGGTAGAAGCGTTTCGTCCCGGTTTTACCAGCTGGACTCGTCAGTGAGGCTCAATGGCCGGTAACACCCCTTATACACTCAGAGTATTCGGGCCGCTATGCGGGATTATATATTCACCACCCCCAGATCAGCCCCGAAAAATAGTCAAAATAAAAAAAATAATTTTTAATAGAGTCGAACCTGCTATAACAAGAAATTTTCCCCGTTATAATATATTTGAAAAGTACATTATGTTTCATAAAGAAATTTGAGTAATGTAATTTGTATCGTAAGCAATTCAAACGTTCGTCTTGCGCATGCGTCAGCTTACGGAGTGGTTGCGGCTGCTGATTAGTGTATGTATATTATTTAAATTTATTTATAAAAAATAATATACATTTCATTTAGACGTGTCCATATTCGTTGCTATCAGCCATAAAGCCCCGGTCCCATAGGTACATACGTATGGATGCGGACGGATACGGACGTGAATCGCAACTGTAGTAACATCACTAAAAATATCTAGTTCGATTATTTAGTACCAACACTACCGGTAGTGAGTAAAAGTGACTGTTGTTTAAAACTGTAGCGCCGAACGTACCACATTTAATGTTCAAATGTCAGGTCTACAATTTACTTTTCAAATTTTCATGAATATTGCTTATTGATGAGTATGCTAATGTAAAAAAAGTTTTTGGGATGATTAATACATATCATTTATATATATTTTCTTCTTCTTTTCATATATTCAAGTACTTCCATAAAATTAAGGCCTAATTCCACTAATTGTAGTTGAAAGTCTATCAATTCTCTATCATTTGCCATCTTATAGACTGCAATAATGTAAAGGTTACATAGGCGTTACATTACATGTGGTACGTTCGGCGCTACAGTTTTAAACAGTCACTTTTGCTCACTACCGATAGTGTTGGTACTAAATAATCGAACTAGATATTTTTAGTGATGTTACTAGAGTTGCGATTCGCGTCCATATCCGTCCGCATCCGTACGTATGTAACCTATGGAACCGGGGCCTAAGGAAGTGTCCACACGGGGTCCCTCTTCCTTCCTGACTCCGGAGCCGTCCCCGTCCGAGATTTTATATGCACACGCCATCTCTATAACTTCGAGCTCAGTGATAAGTTTCATAATAAATGCGAGATACGTGTCTTAATATATGAACTCGAAATTATAGAGATGGAGTGCGCATGCAAAAACTCGGACGGGGATCGCCCCGGGGCTTGGAAGCAAGAGGGATCCCGAATTCCGTGTGGACATTTCCTATAACAGGACCAGTGTACACTACGCAGCCATTTGTGCGTCGATCTATAGAGACTTTGAGAGAGCGCGCATTTTGAAATAAAGAAAATAAAAAATGATTGCTATACATGAGTTATTAATAGTAATTACAATATGAGTTCTCTTTACAAAACAGTCATGACCGGATATTGTGAAGTCAAGCTAAACGATATATCTGATTGAGTTTTATCATTTTTTATTTTCTTTATTTCAAAATGCACGCCTCCTCAAAGTTCTTATAGATCGGCGCATAAATACGGTTGTGGTGTGCACACTGGTCTTATTATGTCTGATAGTGTCAGACTTGATGTCTCGTTGAATGTGTCAGAAACATTCTGTGAACCTTTAGGGTCTTTCCACACTGAGAGAATATTCCTTTGATGTTCTCGTTCCGTGATTTTGTATTTTCCGGAACATTAGTATAGTTCACCATCTACTTCCCTATACGTATTGAGTGGTTTAAGAAATGCAGAAGGCGCAAAATACGCCGGTCTTCTTACCTTTTGAGGGACTTTCCATAGCTATCCCATACCAATCTGTAATCACGGGAGAGTTCAGTAACCAATGCGTGTAACGCGGAAGTAATTATTCCATAGATTATACATATAGATACACTACTTACATTGATTACTGAACTATCCCATGACCATAGAATTGAAAAGATGGCGTACGCATAGAAAATTTGGATGGGGTTCAGCCCCAAACTAGAGAGTATGTACAAGACGAAAATAATGAACTGTACAAATGTTCCGGGAGGTAAAAAATCACACGGAACAAGAACATCACAGGAATATTCCTTCTGTGAAAAGACCCTAACGCAACAGAACATTTGTTAAATTTGTTTACTGATTTCACTGCTCAATGATCTCGACCCGCAAAGTTCAAAATCCAAATTATTTTCGAGGATTGAGCATCGATGATATAAAATGGTTTTCTTCTGGTAAGTGACGGGGACACGACTTACCAAAATAAACCATTATATTAATATAGTTAGTATTACATGATCACTCGCACTCGCCATATGCACCGGACATTCCGGTGGCAAGTTACCACATCTCGGTAATTAGGTTTGCGGATAATTCTCTCGATCAAGCCCCCAAGCTTATACTAGCTGCTCTGCCGTCTTCTTGGTCTGATCTGAACTCAGTCGCCATGTCTCACAGTTTTTGTACAATATCGTTTAATATATCGTTCATCTGAATAAGACAATAACGACCCACTTGTGACATCACTTGTATCACGTGACCATATTGAAATTGAAAAACCGACGATCTTGGAGCGGACAAAAGGCTCCGAACTATAGCTCTGAACATCTCTAAGCTTGACATTTTATGAATTTTCCCAATAAACAGACTGGATATTAGATGTTTTGTTAATGAAGGCACGGTAAATATCAAAATATTAACTAGGTTGAACTATCTGTCTATATAGTCTATCGTATAACGTCAAATTATATACCTGCTATACGGCGTTGAGAATTGAGAGTGCGCAGCACATACGAGTCGCAAAGTCTCATTCGTATTCGTAACTCTCGGAACGAGGTAGAAAAAGTAGCAGTAGCGACTAAGAGACGGGAAGGCCAGTAGTGACATACACATTCACATACACGCATATACACGTATACCCACCGAGCGGAGAAACTCGAGCTACGAGTTTTCTCGGGAATTGTTATTGGCTTTCGTCTGTCTTTCGTTTACCTGCAGGCATCATAACAAACAGCACAGGTAATGTTGAGATATAATATCTAACCTATATTGACGCAAAGATATAAGCCACGAGGCATATAAGTGGGCAGCTGCGGAAGCGTGACACTAAATACATCTGGAAATCATTTTCTTACGCATATATGAGTGTTAATCGCTCAATTTAATGGCTTAAAGCGCATTCATACATTATTTCATAGTCTATAGAGGTGATATTTGCTACTGTGCACATTTTGTCTGTGTTTGTCTCCGCTCTATAATGACAATGATTATTCAAGCGAATGAATGCAGCGCCATTACAGCACTGCCCGAAGACGGAAGAGAAGACGAGAGAACGAAGGCTGTCGCGATAGTTTTTTTCTATTCGCGTCAAATATTCGCACATAGATATAGCTGCTCAAATGCCCAATTCAAGAGATTTTTAAATTTTACCGAATACCGAACACGCGCACAGAAAGTGTCGAGTGTCGATTCATGCACGCGTGTCGCACATAAACGAATTTCGGTCAAACAATACTCATAATAAACATCATTTAGTCAGATCCAAATAATCGTTTTTGTTCTTGGTGAAGATTCTCTGCTTTGAGCTCTGCAGTCAAGCAAGCATACGCAGCATCACTAACAGCAGAAACAAAAGCAGCACTTCGACTTTGGTGATCGCTTCTTGTGAGCAGCGTAAAAGAGCTTTTACAGAAACAGCTGCGATTGGATCGCGGAAGGCGGTCCATTTGTTTGAGGAGAGCATCCTCGAGGGCCACGTCGGGTTTTCACGCCAGCAAGCGGCCGTCCAGCAGGGCGCTACCATTTTATATGACTTTTCTGCGACAACAAGGTACCTATTTTCCATCTAGCCCATGCCCATACCAACACACATTTCCAAATCCCATAGATATCACTTGACTCTTTCTGCTGTTTAGCAAGTTGACTGCATCAATAGTTTTCTTGCAACCATTTACAAGAACTATTTATTTTGTCGTATAATAATTTTAACTTGATTTAAAAATCGCTTTGATGACAAAAATGCCACTTGATCAAATTAAGCTGGTGTCGTTGACCTGCAAATATGCTGCATGCTCTCAACTGTCTAACGTTGCTTTCTTGTTGGCGAGTTAATTTTAGAGGGCAGTGCTACAAGCCAGCTTGCCGATTACTTATACTACTTGCATCATTAAATTGATCCATTTACAAGCAAAGATTAATCGTATGAACAATACAAATGTAGTTTTGTAACAGCCAACATATTGAGAGCTTAGTAAGGATCCATTGAAAAGCTAAAAGGTGAAATAATTATAAATGGTAACGGAAGGAAGTTGGGGTTGAACAATTGAAAAGAAACGTCTGTTTAAAATACACCAAATGAAAAACAAATTAGCTGGTTTCCTTGCAAGTGTAGATCAGGGTTGCAAGTGCAATAAGAAACCGAGGTTCCGGAATTGAACAAGAAGAGTAAAGGGGAAAGAATAAATAGGTGGATAGATAGGGAGGCAGCAGCAGCAACTCGCACAGATCAATAGGCCCTCTCTCTTCCTGCCCCTCTTCCTCTCACCCTCCCTCCCTCCCATCCTTCCTCCCTCCTCGGGTGGGAGGGCGGCTGCTGGTGCTGGCAATTCGAGCTTGCGCGGAGCAAGTGCAGGTTGTCTCCAGCCGCAGCAGCAGCAGCAGCAGCAGCAGCATTGCGCGCTAGACTCGAGAGTGGCTGCTGCCAGCTGTCCGTACCGAACTGTATATCTCGCGCGGCGCAGTGCGCGCCGAGTGGTCTCGCAAGATTAGCCCCGAGGCTTGTCGAGCGCCAACCGCGCCGCCGCCCGGCCACAAGATCACGAGCGTAATCGTCCTCGCTGCCTGTGGGCCTCGTCGTCGACTCGACAGTCCTCCGCTAAAACCACCCACCCACCGACCCAGGAGTAGACACCTCCGCAAATCACGACTTATGCGTCTTCACAGCACGGCACCAGGTAACCGCCACCCGTGCGCCTGCCCCTACGCTTTCCGCAGTCGGTAGTTACAATCACGACCTTGCCGCACTGCCGCAGGCGTCCCCCCTCCCACCAACACACACACGGCCACCCACCTCCCTCCCGCTGCCCCTTTCAACTCGCACCGAAGCCTCATTTTCAACATGCAATGTCGTAGAAATATCCAGGATATCATCCCGAGGGAAAGGACCGGTGCACAATACAGGAGGTGGTGGCGGCGGCGGTTGCAGTAGCAGGTCGTCATCGTTTCGGTGCATCAGTAGCCTTGCCGAGTCAGCAGCAGCGGCCGGACGGTCGAGGACGACGAGCACGACGAACGAGGGTTTGTGCGAGGAGCGACTAGCCGGCCTAGGCGGACACTGCCCAACCCCGAGAGCGCGCACCCGTGTGTCAGCAGGCCTGCCGCGCCGCTACTTCCTCGCGTCCCGTAGCAGAGCACAGGCAGCGTGTATGATCATTGACGACCGAGTGGCCCAGCTGCAGTCCAGCAGGTCAGCCAGGCAGAAGACGAGCAGCAGTCGCAGCAAGCAGCAGCGCAGCGAGCTTGCAGCCGGCCGCCGACTCAGCCGGCAGCTGCTGCCCACCTCCAGGTTCCACTCCTCCAACAGCCATCGCAAGCTGCAGCCTTTCCGGGAGACGTGACTCGGTCTGCGCCTCTTCTCGTCCCCGTCCAGCCGCCGCACCCGCTGCTGAGAGAGCCGGTCGTTACGCTGCCCGCAAGTGCAGCCGCAGCCACGCCGGCGCCCAGGCTACCGTTGAGAGCGGCCTCCGAACCTCCCGCGGGTTAGTTCCTGGCGTTAGCCTCGAGCGCTCCTCTCCCACGCTTTCCACGCGGTGAGTCGTCTCTCTTGCCTGGACCTTCCAATGAATATGTCGTTGTGAGCGTGGCTTCGATGTGTTGCAGCAGGTATCCCCAGCTAGTCACCATTCGGCGAAGCGAGCGTCGCTCATCGTCCGTTTCCTGATCCACCGAGGAACCAAGGCAATCGTCGTCATGGGTAGCGTGAACGTCAACCGCAGCGTCAGCGACGCCTTCTATCGCTACAAGATGCCCCGCATTCAAGCCAAGGTCGAGGGCAAGGGCAACGGCATCAAGACCGTCATCGTCAACATGGTCGAGGTCGCCAAAGCCATCGGCCGACCCGCCACCTACCCTACCAAGTTCTTTGGCTGCGAGCTGGGCGCTCAGACCCAGTTCGATTTCAAAAACGAGCGCTTCATTGTCAACGGCAGCCACGACGCCACCAAGCTACAAGACCTCCTTGACGGCTTCATCCGAAAGTACGTTCTCTGTCCCAACTGCGACAATCCCGAGACCGACTTAATCGTCAACGCCAAGAAAGGCACCATCTCCCAAGTACGTCTCAAACCACTCAGTCTATTTTCATTATCAGCCTATTCATTGTTTTCCTGATTCTCTCTCACATACACACATCGATTGTAGAGCTGCAAAGCTTGTGGTCACCACGGTATGCTTGAGAGCAACCACAAGCTCAACACCTACATACTTAAAAATCCACCGAGTCTCGACCCGGCCGCGCAGGGCAGTTCCCTTACCGAAGGTAAACGTGCCAAGCGCTCTAAACGCGCCAATGGCGATGCGAACGGTGAGCAACGCTCGGGATCGCCAGAAAATGACAACAACACTAGTACTACCGACATCGTCGTCGAGGCTCCAGAAAAGATGGGTAAGTTTGCAACCACCACTCACCATTAACTGCCCCTCTCCTTCCCCACCTCACCCCTTTCCCAGTGTTTACTCATTTGATTATTATTTCTGCAGCTAACCAGAATGACGACGAAGACGATGATGGAAATTGGGCAGTGGATGTCTCCGAGGAGGCAGTGCGCGCGCGCATGCAAGATTTGACCGACGGCGCCAAAGGCATGACCATCAGCGAGGATCTGGACAAAAGCGAGAAAGAACGCATGGACATTTTTTACAAGTTGGTCAAGTGTCGTCGTGACGGTGATCAATTGAATAATCCGAACAGTCATAAGGAGCTGCTTACCGAGGCAGAACGCCTTGAGATCAAGTCCAAGGCACCTCTTGTTCTTGCTGAACTTTTATTCGACCAGCACATCGCCGCCCAGGTAAAAAAATACCGAGTTCTCCTTCTGCGCTTCACTCACGATGATGTCAAGGCGCAGAAGTATTTGATTAGGGGCATCGAACAGATCATTGCTTTACATAAGGATGTGCTTATGGCTAAGGTGCCTGGCATCTTAAAGGTACGCTTACATTTTCTTTTGTTTTTTTTTTTCCAACTACTAATCGCACTTAACTTTGCCACCACAGCTTTTCTACGACAACGACATACTCGAAGAAAAGGCTTTGTTTGAATGGGCTAGCAAAGTCAGCAAAAAGTATGTTTCTAAAGATCTATCCCAAGAGATTCACGATAAGGCTGCACCATTCCTTACGTGGCTCAAGGAAGCTGAAGAGGAAGAATCTGAATCTGAAGAAGATGACGATGACGATCTTGAGGTTATATCATCTTTTTTTTTACTGTACCATTTATATTCGCCACCAATTTCAATTTATATATCTATTTGTTCTGTCAGATTGAATATGACGATAGAGCAAAACAACCGCTGAAGCAGCAACAACAGCAACAGCTCGCTCAAAAGAAACCAGTTGTTGAGGAAGATTCTGATGAAGGAGAGTATGTTGATATCGATGCCATTTAAAATCAAAAAACGAAGTCGCCAAAGCCAAAAGATTATACGAAATCAATGCATCGCTAAATTTCATTATCTTTCAAAAAATGATACAATGAGTCGCAGTAAAAAGAAATGCTGTTATCCGCTTAAGCGCAATAACTATTTTCTTTCTCTTTTATGGAATGCAAAAGGATAAAGGCTGAGCTAGGCGCAATTTCAAATAAAATATAGTCTTTCGAAATTGCTATATTTTGAAGATAAATTAGCCAATTTGTCATTCTAAAAATAGTTCCTGTAAACATTTTCTGTGTTGTATTTTTGATTTCTTTGATTAAATTGTTTTTTCAATCGGATTCCCGTATCTCTGATAGTAAAGTAAATTGAAAGCTCACTTCTAATAAAATAAATTTGCAATATATATTCTAAGTTGTTGAATCTTCTGATGCGTCGCTTATAGCTTATCTACTATGTGTGTTGTTTTTCATGTGTAAGATTTTTGTTAGTTTTTTCTTTTTCAATCGTCGTCAAACGACAAAACTGGCCTGCTAAAAGCGTTCTCTATTGTATCTACAATAATAATTATTTAAATAAATATGGTTTATCGCAATGAAATACACACGTCTACCTAATATTCTACGGTGTTTTTATTGACATTCTTTATTTAAGAACGTAATATGTACTCAAATCAAAGTAACAACTTCAAATAAAACTTGTGTTGGAGTTTGATACGAGATATGAACATGCAGAAATTGACTATCAAGCCAGCTAAAATATCACTTATTTATAATAATCTAACTTGGCCGTATACCGAAGTGACGACAGCGCCATCATGCGGAGCCACGTTAAAGTCGAATGACGATGATTCAACGTATGCGTGCATGTTTTAACACACATATGCACGAGCGCCGTATGTATGCACACACACAAACATACAAATTGCGGAGTTGAACGAAAAAGTGACGATGGCTCTAGTACTACAGTAGTATAGTAAAATGGCGAATATAAACCTCACTGCGGACAACATCCAAGTTCGAGCCAGTAGTATTGAAGAAAATCGCGCTATTCTACAAGAAATCCAGGCAAAGAAAGAGGTTAAGTTGTCCTTTAAAAAATTCCTTATTTATCGAGTGGCGCCCACTGATATTTCTGGCTACTCCATCTCTCTTTCTGGCAACTATAACGCTCTCTTCAACAATTCACATTCTGTCTATAGGTAGACACACGAAAACAGGACGAGCTTAGCACACTCTTTGATGAGATCAACGCTCAATGTTGTGCCTCGGAATCACTCAGGGAGAATAGAAAGATCAGCGCTCTCACTTTATTCGATAAAATTGAGGTAGTGTTAATCTTAAATTTCAAATCTGCGTAGCTTTTCAAAGTTGACACGATTTTTTCTTTTGATTCTTGCCATAAACGTAACCTCACGTATTTTGCCTTGCACAATTAAATCCAAAAACTGTTTCAATTTTAATACAACTAATGCAATAACGCACTTGGACAGCAATTATTATCTCACATGGATACCACTTGCTCTCACTTTATCAAATCATGCAAAATTAAAAAATATACATGGTATTCATATACTAAAAATGACTAATACTATGCGATTATTTGGTTTCAGAATATATTGCAACCAGTTTGTTACGGACCACTGCCTGGCTGTTTACCTGGAAAATGGTGGGCAATTCGAATGGACTGCTCCAGAGACTATGTACATGAACCAGTTAATGAAAACATTCATGATGGTCCATACGGGGCAGTGTCAATTTGTACGCCCCACTTAAACCTTTACAATGACATTGACCTAGGAAATGTTTTAACTTTTACAAGTAGAGAATATTGTGCATCCAATAAATCAGTTGATGATTCTCTTGTACTCAGTTATAAAAATCAAATACCAATAAGATTGGTTAGAAGTTATTGTTGTTCAAGCAAGTATGCTCCAAGAACTGGCTACAGGTATGATGGTTTATATACTGTTGTACATCACTGGATAGGAGTATCTGCCGACACAAAAAAACACCACAAATTCGTGCTTATCAGAGTTCTTAACCAAGAGCCTCCTCCTTGGACTTCTAAGAAAATTAATTTTAAAACAGCAAGATTGAGAAAATCTTCATCAAGACTCACAAGAAGCCACAGTAATGTAGGTGATCAAGAATCTAAGGCAGTAAAATTTGTTTACAATAAAGTAGAAAAACAGTCAAAACCATCTAGTGTTATTACAATAGTGTCAAGACAAGTTTTTGACAAATGTACCTCTAATTCTCTAGATAGTTCATTAAAATTGACCATCAATCCAGACTCATTGAACCAGAGTTTGTGTGCAAATTCATGCTCCACAAAGTTATGCAGCACAAATCTTTCTATACGCACAAATTTGTATGACTCATCGCATCAAGCTCAAGATGCGAAGAAATCTGTAACATCTACATGTAAAATATTCAAACCTAATCAATTTGTACAGCAGTCACAAGCATCTTTGAAAGAATTGGAGCAGTTGTCAACTGGAAGCTCATCAAAGCATCAAGTTGAAAGTGAAATTTCAACAAGTACTAGATCTATAATTAGTGAACGAAAAGTCAAAAAAGTTACTTGGGCAGATGCTTGCAATGCTGGATTAATCAGAATGGAAAAAACTATTCCAATGGCTGGAAACAGCTATCAATATAGCAGTTCTAGTACTATTGATGGCTTCAGTTCTAAATCTCGTAAAAAAGGCTGTATTATGAAATACAATAGTACTGCTGATTATTGTTCAACCTCAAAAATGGCCAAGCATAAAAAAACAATAAGTACAAAAAGTTCTGATCACATCAGTCAAGGTCATTCCAAAGTGTCACAAAATTCAAAAGCTAATTTTTCCACAGTACATGAATTACTGCATGAGACTGAAAAAGCAAGTGAATCAACTAGTATAGATTCACTTGCCCCAGATGAACTCGTGAGTGTAATAGTCAAGGAGAAGTATCACCCAATGGCCAAATTATTGATAGGCAATATGATTGGTTTAGAAAATCAAGAAGCTGCAATTGTAAATGCATACAATGCTTTGACAAAAGTTAATCAAGATGAGTCTAAACAGTCCAAAACAAACAAGTTAAGAAATAAATTTTCCATTAAAAGTCCTTCTAAGAAAAATGGTATTTTGAAAAAACAGAGACGTGAAATTGCTAATTTGACAATAGATGCTAAATTTGATACTCGAAGCTCGAGAAGTCGCGGACTTGGCACAAGTAATAAAAGAATTTTGAAGCCAGAAACAACGAGGAGAAAATTATTGAATACTCGAAAGATGCAGTTGCGAAATAAAAATATTTCCAGTAGAGAAAATAATTCGAAAATTCTTGAAAAAAGTAAAAAAGTTCAAAGCACGGTTGCAAAAGTTCAACAAATGGTAACTGTTTGGACCCAGTGTTCCTTGCTTGCTGTACCAACAGTCGACCAATGTCAACAAACCGAGGATTCACTAACTTCCCCTCCCGACGTAAAAGTGGAAACAGTAGAGTTAGTAGACTTAGATGACTTCAAATCGGAGATTCGGAACGTAAATTCACTCCCTTGCTCTGACCCTACTACAAGTTACTCTAAAACCAAAGGTATTTATAATTACATTTTTTTAATTACTCAACAATGACTGATGTAACATCTAACAATGCCCATTTTAATCGATACATCGTTAATTTTCATTGTATTAGGTGTTTTCAGCAACTACCATGGTTCTGCCTTTGCAGCTGTATCAGCTGAGAGCAATGACCGAATAGCTCGACTTCGATCCATCGGCTTCAGGCCTATAAGATGCGTTTCTCAAACGAAAGATGAGGAATCCGGCGATGAGTCTTTTAAACAGGATGTCAATCAAGAATACAATAAATATACTAGTGAAGAAAATGACATCGTTGGCTATATGGATGAGCAGCTGCATTTTGAAGATATTGAAGAAGAAGGAAAAGAAGAAAAGCCTATCGATGAAGATAAGATAAGTTTACAAGCATCATCAAACATTTTACCGCAACCAATCGAAACTTTAACAGAGCACGATTTCAATAAACCCTGGCATGGATGGAGAAAAATCACTATCAATGGTCAAACTTATTGGACTGGCTGTTGATATTTTTATTTTTAATTAATTTTAATTCATCATCAATTTCATGTCAAAAGCAACATCATGAAAATTTATGTCCTCATATGGTGACAGTCTGTTTTCTGAATAATTGTTGAGAAAAGGTCCATTTAATTGGGTCAAATTTTTTGATACTGAAGTGCAAATTACAATTTATTTTGTTAGACACTCACGTTACTTGTTTTATACTTTTTCAGCGTGTTATTGAATGCTGGTCATTCCAAAGAACTTTAAAAGTTGCTCATCACTTGCAGACAATTATTTTTTAAACATTTCTTAATGATTGGATATCACTATAGAATATTTCTGATCTTGAGTCTAATATTGTCATAGATTTTATCGTATTTTAAATTTGAAAACCGTTTCGATCACTTACCATGCAGTTATTTTTAAATAAATTTGAAAACAATCTGATACATTGAATTATAGAATTGAAATTTATTGATAGTTCATGGATGATATTAATATGTCTTCATATTCTTAAAACGATTCAAATTGAGTAGATAACAAATTAATAGGAACTGTAGAGTCACCCTTGCTGCTAATTTGCGATTCAATAACTAATTTCATTATCCTAATTTTATCTTGTATATCAATACCGCTATAATTAATATATTCTCTATATGCAGCATTGGGTGTTGAATACCTATGTTTCGATCGTCCAAACACAAGATCATTAATTTTTTTGTTTAACCTTGTCGAGAATCGCTGAAATGTAAGTGAAAATTGAATCCCAACTGCACTATATATTTCTATATCTCTATTATTAAAATGTTTTCTTATTCAATAATAGAATATTCTATGATTGAAATATTTCCATCAGAAGCTTTGTATGGCAATAAGAATGAAACTTTGTAAAACATGTATAAAATATATTAGGATAAAGATTGTAATAGCAAATAATATTTTAGTGATATCCATTTGCAAAAAGTTTTTTTAGCAGTTGATTTAGTTACTCTTGATACTCTGTGCTGCAAAAATTGAAAGCAAAATGAATCTAAAGTATTATTAGCGATTTGTAATAATCGAATTTACATTCAACAAGTGTTCGTCTATATACTCTTCATTCATTTGAAAATTTGATTTGGATCCTAATCATTTTCTAGAAATAATCGTGTAATATTAATATAATATAAAATATGATAATAATGTATAACATGATTAATTGACATTGTAAAATATTAGTACATATTGTTTCAAAGCCATTGTTCTCGGAATTACAGAAATTAGTATATTAATGTCAAGGAACGAAGCGCAATGTCTTAATAATTGTTATACGCATGTACTGTTGGTTAAATGTATATTTTGACGGAAAAACGAATAATTTATGTACATATGGATAAAAAGTGCCTGATTGATCGTAAATGTAGAAGGGTCTAGAATTGTAGTGACATGTCACCATCAGTCGAACTGAATTGGTGGATAAATGTTGACAAATGCTAGTTCTCATTTATCTTCTAAAGATTTTTTAAATTAACATTATTATCGCTAGACTTAGTTCTTAAAAATATAAAATATTGTGTGTGATAACTACAATAGTTTATATATTTAATGAGATTCATTTAAGCTATTATTGAAAATGAAGAATTATTTTTGTTTTAAATATTCTTTGAGTCGCCAGTGTACATAGCGTACTAAAATACGTACCAGATAGGTTGCTTAAGTAAAAAGTAATAACCATTTATGAATTTTCGTACCTGGAATGCGATGACGCATCATTCGAGAATTCTGTGCAGCCGTTTCTTAAGAAATGTTAAACAAAATGTAATCTTAAAAAAATAATCATGTAGTTTTGAATTTGTTCAAGAAGAAAACACTGTGTAGATATTGATTAGTTGTAATTCAGATCTAAAAAAAATACAGATTATATTTCATTCGGGTATAAATTACTCCATTGGTGAAACCGCATAAAACTTTCTCCAATTATTACACATATTTAAGCGTACTATGAATATAAATGATGTGATTTTGAGTGAGGATTCTCCATACTTAACCGTAGGTTAAGCTTTGCTCCAAAGTTTAGCTTCAGACGAACATCGCAATGCCGAGAAAACAATTGTAAATTTCTAGATCACTAAATTTCTATTACGTCTATTAGTTCATTATTTTTCTTCGCGTTATGGCGTTTTAACGTGGCTAGAATATTATAATAAATTCTATTTACTAGCTGTATAACTGCGGATCTGTATGGAAGGAAGACTCTTAAGATCTCAACTCACACCACTACAATATAATACACAAAAAAATTAAGAACATTAGATATGGTTGGAGTTTGAAAAAGGTGTTACAACTAAATGATCTGGCACATAGACTGCCTTGTATAAATTTTGAGCTGTTATGTGCAGTGCATTGGCATTGCAAACATAAGGTATACCCGAATAGATTAAATAACGAACAAGAAACTCCCTTAAAATTAATTTTCATCCATTTCGGTTGGATTGGGCTTTTAGTTTATTTTTATTTTTTGACATACTGTATTCCGAACATTATTCGTATGACAATGTTTTCAAATTTCAATTTTTCTCCATCAGTTAACATTAGACTGTTCTATTTTATGCGTTCGCGCGCGTGTGTGTGTGTAATTTAGTATCATAAGAATACCAATAGGAAAGCAGCTTACATATAAAATAGTTTCCTTATTGTCAACACTAACACTGAAATATGAAACATCGATTGATTAAAAATTCAATTTGGCTACAATTATTAATCGCCGCTCAAAATTTGTTATGTAGTCTCTGTAGATTTAATGCATATATTATGATGAAACTAATACAAATTATTTGTAATAAATTAAAATTACTTGATTTGAAATATTCTGCATAAACTCCATTGATAGACTTCATAAGAATAAAAAAAGCAGTTTGCAAAGAATGTAGTGGCCAAAGTACAGTCTTTGGAATCAATAACGTGCAGTCCACAGCTTGATAAATAAGTTGACGAAATTTGGAAGTAAAAGCAATTATTGCCTAGAAAAGAGGGAAAATAAGTAAACGATTAAAAAAAAATCAATACCAATTTTTGTCAGGTATCGACAGTTTATTTATTTCATATAGATTTTAGGACACCAATCCATGTTAATGTCATTCTCACATATGCTTCATTTCTTCTTACGCTGACAATCTAAAACTTAGTATTTCAATTTATTGTGATATCCAAGTACAAACAATCTTATACGTTTGTACTTTGCAAAAAAATAGTCTTTGCCATTAATATACATGTACAACATTACGCAAAAAACAGTTGAAAAAGGAAGTAAATCAGTTAAACATTTTTTCTTACCATTTTGACTCTCTTCATATAGATAATATATTTCATGATCAAACTATTTTTCTTAACATTTATCGTTTTTATCTATATCATTATATACATTGAGTAATTATTCTTGTATACTATCCTCTACTGGATAGGATACATTTTTTCTCATTCATCTGTTCTTGAGCAAAAGTTCAAGAACTCTTGCTCTATTTTACTACACAAATATTTACCAAGAATTTCCTTTCATTCAATATAATAATTTCATAGAAATGTTTTTCTGCTGAAAAAGTCGAACGAAAATTTTTGTGTTTTAATTGTAAAATGTTACCTGACGAGATAATCAAATAATCTAATAAAGTAATAGATTAACAAGTATAGTATCATAAGAACTATTCGTCAGTGAGAGTGGACGCGATGCCTCGATTTTATTGTTGCTAATGAAATATCTTTTCAAGACTCAACGTACCGATTTTTTCAAATCAGTAAAAAGTTGCAAGCAACTCGACCCAAAGATAATATGCGACACGATATATGACAATTAATTGGGAGAGTGCTTTTTGCACGAATCAATCAAGATGAAGTCTCCTATTTATTTTATTTAACGGGATGTTTTCTGAAGTGAAAACGTCAAATAAAATCGTATTTATTACAAATAACACGTTATTTTGGTCACGTAAACTTTATACAGAGACATGGCTTACGATTAATTAAATAGCACGGAAGATTTTTAAAGTGCCAAATTAAACATTGAGCTCGCTTTCTCCTATCAAACAAAATCATCCATTATGTTAAAGTGTCAATAATAGTATATTTTTAAAACCCGAGCTTAACCCTCCCTCCTACCTCGACATGTATGCAGATATGCATGCAAATATACGAATTGAAATCAGCCGTTGCTCCTTGATTAGTTTTTTACGGAGCAATATTAGGATTCGACAGATTGATGACGGATCCCTCAAATTTTCACATGTGATTTGCGCTAAAGTAATTCTAAGTAATTTGGTGCGGTCATCTTATCAGGACGAAGGAATAAGATTCGAGTAGTAAATTCCGTTGTCATCGACGTCAATCAAAGAAATGTGAGTGTTACTGATTTATAGACTGATCAATGAATAAGCTACTTGTCATCAATCTGTGGAATAATCGACATAAAGGGAAGGGGGTGCTTAATAAATATTAATCTGATTGTTCGTTCTCAATGAAAAAATCGTCGTGCATTACAGTACGCTTATATAACAATACGATTCAATACGTACTCGGACGTTTCTTCCACCCACTCACGCAGAGTGCGAATGCACTGAAAAATACAAATGAACATTGACTTGTCGAAAGAAAAATGTATAATCACACGTGTTTCGTTTATTTCGTTTATCAGAATAAACATTAAAAGGAACGTATCAGAAATAGAGTACGATAATTAATAAGAATTAGATGTGTTGGCGTTGTTGCTATAATTAAGTACAAGCGCGAACATATATACATATAAAAATCTCCGTTAACTCAATTAAGCCTTTTCATACTGTTATGTCCGCAATAATACCAAAAAGTTGACAGAAAAATGACGCGACCCAACGAATATTATTGACAAACCTCATAGCTGCCACGCTCTATATGCATTAGTGTATGTACAATTTTTATTTCTTTACAAGTATAAAACAGATTATGGACATTGATGCTATTGCGCAAAAACAAGTCAAGCAAAATCATTTTTTTTCAAAACATAATTGCGAATCCCTTTATTATTATTAGGATATTGCTATTAGGCAGATAACTGACAAGTGAGGAGTGCCCGCCGTGAACTGATATAACGCGACTGTATATCTAATGGATGCTTTCATTGCGGTGTGGCTTATCAAAGAAATCAACCGGTTTTCTTGTGTTTATTATTACGATTTATTGTATCGATCGGCACAGCATTCGTCGGTGCCCTTATCATTATATAATAAAATAAATACATATTTTTCAACCAACTATTTATCTATACTTTTAGCATTTTATCAAGGTAAGCTCACATTGCAACGTCTTGCAAAATAGTTCATTACTCGCTTGATCAATAAGTTCAACAGCTTGGAATAACCTGACTGTGAAGAAATGCTTGAAATCGACGCCATAGAAAATCGTCAGAATGACATTGAGCGAGCGTTAAAAAAAGGTGGCATTATTGCGGCGAAGGAACCGTTTGCTGTCACGTGCCGCACTTGGACTGCTCGTTTCCGACGACAAGTGTGAAGGCTAATTGTGCAGGCGAGAAGCGCAGAGTCGTCGCACAGAGATGTGCAAGCCGGTGCAAGAGCGAGAGTGGGGTCGGGTGAGAAAATAAGGCCGAGATTCGCAGGGAAGCAGCGGAGCAGGCTCGTAAAAAATGGCGGACTCGCGATGAGGAGCGGCCGCGGAGGGACTCACTGGAATTCATCGTCGCTGCTTAGCAGCATCGTCTTCTCGTTGTAGTTGTGCGAGATGGTGGCGACGCGCTGGCTGGCGGCGGCGTGGCGCTGGCGCTGGCCGGCCTGCGCCTGGGCTTGCGTCGCGGCCTGCGTCTGGGCCTGCTGGTTCATGCTCTGCGGCTCGTCCGGGTCGTAGCTCCACACCCGCATGCCTCGCTGGCTCTTGGCGCCGCCTCCTACAGTGTTCACACACACAGACAGAGACAACTTGGTCAACAGTCGTCGGGCTCGCTTGCGTTATGTGTAACCGTCGAGCCGGGAAGCTCGGCAAAGCTCGTCTGCGCAAAGAAGTGCTTTTCTCTCTGTCCACGTTACCCTTCCGTGTTAGTTTTGTTGTTGTTATTGCTCGCCGACATCGCAAATATGTACAACCGTTGTCAAGAAAAACACTGCTTGGCGCCAAAATCATCCAAAGTCAAAGAAAGTAATGACATTGCAGCTACGACAGTGGCGAATTCATAAGTATATGCATCTACGACAAATGTACAGAGAACCAAGATAGGATACCAAAACCCGCGAGCCTTCTCGTCTCAAAGTTTAGGCTTCGGCGGCTTTCGGCGCTTCATGCAGATGCAGAGAAAAATACTTGAAACCACCGCATCCTTCTCCTCCTCCTCCTCCTCTTCCACCTCCTCCTCCTTTTCCTCCTTCTATCCAATCAGTCATATCGTAAAAACTCTGCCAATAAATTTTCTGGCAAGATTCAATGTACAACGGAGCACCTAATTTTTTTCGCAGAAACCCATGAACAAATCCAAGCTTTAATTATGCATAATAGTGCAAAGACATTGACCTACAAAACTATCAATTCAATCTTCATTATTCCAATCATTCGTCATGTAATCAATAAATAATTAGTAGCCACACAGTCGTCTTGTAATTTGATATATCATTTTGTCCTACTGATTGTTCACTGATAATTACATTTTTATTGAAACAGTATAATATTACAACCAATACTCATAACTTTTACTTTGTTATTATTTCACAGTATATTAGTTTTATATATCACATATATAAGGATACTGATCATTTCTACGCATTAGTAAGGCTTGTCAATGGACATCTCCAAGTTAAAATGACTAAGAATCTTGCCAATTGTTTCAACAGTTTACTACATAATGAACAAAGACAAACAATCTCTCGTAATATTGAAACACGATCTGCTTAATCGAACAAGTTGAATGTAAGTTGGCGGTTGCTTCTAACCTACATGCTATACCTATGAAATATATAAACGTAAAAAAGAAACATGCCTTAAAATAAAATACAAAACGCAAGAAGTACGCAATGCGTGAGTAATTTGCAATGAGTTCCCTTTATTTTATACGTAAATAATACCCGTCTAGAAAGAAAAACGTTACCCTGCATTAAAAAAAAACCAAAGTCTTTTCTTTTTCACGTCGTGCAAGTAATACTCGTTGAATGTATAACGAAGTTAACTCTATGCGTAGACACATTTAATAAGAATTGTTAAACTGAAGATAACGTCGGTACCGTCGCGAATGAAAATACAAAATTTGTTATCGATGTATTCCGTGTTTTCCGTACCGCTAAGGATGTTAATATTTCTTTTAAAATAGTTCACTCGTTGAAAACATTCCAAACTGATCCGAAGTGCGTTGGCAGAAAATAATGTATATTTGCACACGGCCGTCACAAGATACACTCACAGCTTTTCGTACGGCAAGTTGGTATTGACGTCTGAAAAAATAGGAAAATGACGTATCCTTCACTGCTCACGTTTTTTTTCTTAAATCTCCTTTTTTAAATATTTAACTATTAAATTCTTTCTCTTTCAAATTAACAATATTTCACGTGCGTTGCCTCACATGTGCTTGCTCGACTCTTGACGTTTATTCTTGCCGCATTATCGATGCCAAATTAAAATTGACTTTAACATGTAATAAAAAATCGACGAAAAAGTGAATTTCAAAGGGAATGAAAGAAATACTAGAAAAAGTCCGATAATGGACCATTCAATGACTCGTAATTTCTGTTAGAATCGTAAAGAACTGCGCCAAAAATAAACAAAACAGCATACCTATCGTTTGATACATGTGATTTAGCAAACGAGAAAGCGTGCATCGTTTTGTATTAGTACCCGTGATTCAAATACTAATTGTGTCATTGACGTTGGATTTACTCAAATATGATCGTCGAACCCATTATCGTGATCACCATGAACAATAAATTCATAAGTGTTACATTATATCTTGACGAACAAATCCCAATGTCATGATTTTATGAAAAAGTGCACCGTAGTTTATTCAAGCAGATAATTCGAACAAGATCAGATACCAGCACAACGGCGGTGGCGGCAACGGCGGCGGCGGCAGCGTAACGAGTAAATGTACAAAAAAAACAAAAACTATTGACAAGCATCCCTACAAAAAGCTTTCTGCGCATGCTACGTCAAAAACATCGGTGCTTATTACTATGAAGCAAAGGTGGCAGAAAAGGTACTCTGACTCAAAACACATTTGTGAAGAATAAATTGAGAGGCCAAGCAACGACAAGGTAAAATGATAAATCGTGCAATCGTTGTTGGACAAATTTGTCTTGAGCGCGAGAACAAAAAAAAAACAGGTAAAACAAAACTCACCGGAACTGTACTGCGTGTACTGTTGATACTGCGGATGGAAATTATGGATGGCATCAGTCATGATGTCCTTGGGATTCATGGTTTCCTGAAAACGGCAGACAATCGTGAAAACTGACCGGGGAACGAAAATGGAGATGGATCCGCAGTGGTGAACCTTGAGACTGCTGCTGATGCTCTGCATGGTGACGCTACGGCCTCTGGAGTCGGTGGTGCAGCCGGCAGCATAGACCTGGTAGGGGAAGGCGTAGCGCAGAGCTATCGCAGCGAAGAGCATCTCGATGCAGATTAGGAAGTTCTGGTAGCCGGCCGAGACGGTACCCGCGCTGGTCGACTGACCGCCGCTGTCGATCATGGGCGAGATAACCTGAGCCTTCTCTAATACGGCCAGTAGCACGCCTGCAAGGAGCGAGAATTAGCGCTAGCGGTCGAGAGGAGGGCCGCGCTCGGACGATACCTACCTTGCCAAAACGACAGGAATATGACGCTCTTGACGGTGCAGAACTTGAGCACGGGGTCGAAAGGCGTGAGGAGGTCCTTGGTGGCAAAGTAGAAGAGAAAGAGACCGTAGAGGGCGAGGGTGACGCTGATATTGTAAATACAGGTGATGTAGAGGTAGCCGCCGTCGGGCGACCAGTCGCCGTCGCGGTAGTGTCCAAACGCCTGCAGGAATATTATGACGAAGGCCATGAGCGGCTTGACCAGGCAGAACTGCAGTGTGGCCTGCTTGCAGAAGCGCAGGAAGCCGATGGTGTAGGTCCTTCCGGCGAGGCAGTAGGTGCCGTAGAGGCAGCTCGAGCGGATCGGCTTGCCCCGGATATCGGACATGATGTTGCCCTCGCCGCCCAGGTACTCGTAGCACAGCGACATGAAGTTGTAGATGACAAATGCCTCGTAGCAGTCGCGCACCGTGAAGAAGTACACATAGTAGCTCTCGTTGTTAAAGAACAACAGCGATATCCAGCTGTAGGTCGCGTAGATAGGCACGATGAACAGTATCCTGACGATCCAGCGCTGCTCAGCCGTGTTGGTGTACCACCTGAGGTGCCGGTAGATCTGCTGGCAGCTGATGAACAGCGCCGCGCAGACGAACGCCCCCGCGATGCCTGCGACCATATGAACACCGTCAGTCGAGCCGTCCAGCCCGCGCGCCGTCCGCCTTGCTCTCACCTTTTGCCGCCTGCGTTTGCAGGAATATCGGGGCTCCTCGGGTTTCCTCCTCCATGGCGCTAGCTACGCTGGACGCATTCGCGAGAGGAGCGGACGCCGAGTCGCTGCTCATGCTCTCCCCTTGCTCTTGCTCCTGCTCCTCCTTTTGGACTGCACCTGCCAACTGAACGTCAGCTGATCAGTGAACGACAGCGATCGGCTCAACAAGTGCACACGGCCGCGCTTGGCCCGCTTGGCCCTCTTGGCCCGCCAAGTCGCGTTCGCGGACAGCAAACAGCTGCTCGACTCCGACTTTGAGCTCCATAAATCGAGGAGCATCAGCATTTTCCTCGCTGCTGCTTGATGCCATCGCGATTGACTGCTATCGTATACTCGCCAACCGTTCGGCCGAATGACTAGTCGCAATATCAATCGATATCAGTACACTTCGTGCGCGAACCTTGACTCGTACATGCCCACAGTCCTGCTAGGCGCGCCTACGACGTGCTCTACACATCGTAGGTTCAGCTTTTCCCCTCGGTGCTGCTGCGCTACTCTTCGCTCGTCATGGGCTCCGTGACCAACCGTCAATCGCGCGACACTCGCTCTCGCACGCACACTCGCGCGCGCAACATCGAGAGCAAGAGATGTATATGCGCTAAACCCGAATCAAACGCTGCAAAGCCTTGTACACAGCGGTGAAAGAGCGTGGATTCGATGGAAAAAGCCACTCACCTGCCTATCAACTTTCGAAGCAACAAAACCAAGGTCGTGCGCCGCGGCTACGACCTTTTCTCTTTCCTCGACAGATGATGTCTAGGCCTGCTCATCGCCATCCTCTTCAATCGACATTTCGCGTTGACGGTGGCATTGCACGCAGACGTGCGAACCACCCGACCTGTTCTACTCGACTCCGGCCAGCTTCCTCTGCTTCTCTTGGCGTTCTGCGTTGTTTCGCTGCTTATTTTTCGCGACGACACTTAGACACGGATCTACTCTGCAGATCTGAACTACCTATAATACAAGAAAGCAGACCATCGAGTACAACTACACAGGCGGGGAAGGACGCGAGCTAAGCACTGCTGACAGTGCTGACTGTTTTTAGCTTTAACTTGCTGTGTTGTGTAGGTGTACGGTGTGTACCCGCATACGTGTACCGTACTACGGCTCGCGCTCTCACTTACTATAGTCACGAACAGTACTAACACTAACTATCAAGTCCTACTCATACCACCACCGTACTCCGCTCGAACATTCATTCGCGACCCGCGAAGTTTAAAATCCGAATTACTTTTGACGATTGAGCATCGATAATACCGAACGAAGTTAGGTTAAAGTCTTGATGTGGTAAGTTGTGGCCCCACAACTTACCAGAAGAAAACCATTTTATGTCATCGATGGACAATCCTCGAAAATAATTTGGATTTTGAATTTCCCGGGTTGTGAATGAATGCTGCAAAGAAGTGTACACATACTTGCTACTATTCTTGGTTTGTGTAAATGGCATTTGATCAACAGCAGAGAAACCGCTCGCTCGCTCTCTTTCTTTCTCTCTTTCACTCATGCGCAAAAGAAATACAACTCATCACCGCCATCTAGTAAACTAAACTAAACTAACACAACTCATTTAGCTTCAAACAATTTGCAGCCAATGTCAGACTGATGATGGTCGCCGTACGCTGTGGTTCGCCAATGGTCTTACGTGTGTTTACGTTAGTGTCGTTTGTAGGTTATATTATTAAGTTTTGCGATCTTTAACTATTAAGATTCTACTTTATACTTGCACATGTGAAAGAAAAAATACATTTGAACTACATATTCTCGGAAAAATTTCAAAATGGGTCGACGCTCCATAAATACCACTAAAAGTGGGAAATATATGAATCCCACTGATCAAGCAAGTAAGTTAATATATCAATGTCCATTGACTAGATTCTTCATCAGCAACATACTTTGAGATATTGACAAATGATTGTTTGCCCATTAGGAAAGGAAGCTCGAAAAAAGGAATTGAAGAAGAACAAGAAACAGAGACAATTGGTGAGAGCTGCTGTTTTGAAAGGGAAAGATCCTAGTCAAATTATTGAGGAAATGGAAAAGATAGATCAGATGGGTATGTGTTGTTGGTTACAACTACATCGTCATTTCCATAAAATATTTTTTGCTCATTTGTGCTAATTATTTTAGAATACAATGTGATGCAACCTCCACCATTAAATGAGAAAGTTCTAAAGGATAAAAGGAAGAAATTGAAAGAAACTTTGGATAGGGTATTGAAGATGTATGTAAGTACCTGTTAACGTGTCTAGTTATATTAGTGACCATAGTTGTAATTATGCTTTTGAATTGTATAGTTTTGTTAGCAGACATATTTTGATATACTTGTTATTATACAGGCCAAAGATGACCAAGAGAAGTGGGGCGAGTTGAAGGATCAAATGATTCAATATGAAAGGCGCAGATTGGAGCTTGTTTCTTATTTTGAGGCAGTTAGACATGCTCAACAGGTACAGGTAGATGAAATTCCCTTACCAGCCACAGGCAACGATATAAGCAGAGCTTATCCAGGTATGGATAAAAAGACAAAATGCTCATTTTTTAAACGATAACTGAATTTATTATAAAGAAAAAATAAATTTTTTTTTAGGCTCTCTGACTTCTCAAATTCCATTACCAGACATGCCCCAGCCTCTCATGCACTCTTTCTCCTCACATCCGCATTATTTGGCCCAGCATCATCCTGTGGTCAATATACCAGTACCTCCTAGTATCCTAAAAAAGACAAGCATATACTCATCAGTTGCAGCCCCCAATGCAGCACCCATTGACAGGGACCCCCCCGGGGTTCCACCTTTCCCTCCTCCAGATCTAACTGTGAGCGATGATGAAGATGACGACCGGGTACGTACTGCATTTGATTGTTCAATTGTTTTTTTGTTTTTCTCCATTGCATTGCAATTTTAATGGCAATGATGTTTTTGTAGATCAAACCTAGTCACAAGTCAAGGACCATCAGGTTTGCAGACGACGAACGAGCAGAAAAGGATAGACGAGACGACGATGAGAAGGAAACTGAAAAAGAAAAAGACGCTGATTTGTCAAAGGTTAAGCCAACGAGTTTGCAGCAGAAAATGCTGGCAATGGCCGGGCAAGATATAGATCAGTTCATGAAAGAAATGGAAGTGGTTCATAAGAAAAGGGAGACGGAACGAGCAAACGATTTGAGCACACGATTATCGCTGCTGGAAAGTGAATCGGTGACGAATAGTGAACAAGAGAGCCAGTCCGATAAATCAAAACCAGAAATGGCTGGTGTATTGATACCCAGCAACCCGAGTTCGCAGGCACCGATGCCCTTGATGGGACTCCCCCCTCCGCCGCAGCTGATGTATCGACCACCTCCGCCTCCTCTGCATTTGAGGATACCTCCACCGCCGCCGCCTAGAATAGGAATAAGACTTCCACCAGGTAATCTCGCGCGAATAGAATGTTTTAGCATTGAAAGCAAGCTGTGAATGAGCTTGGTCCGGAATCGATAAGCTGGTAATACTTTGCGCATTGCAGGACCACCACCGGGTATGCCTAGGATGCTGCGACCGGGTGGACCGATGCCGATGCCTAGGGTATTGGGGCCGCAAATGCCTATGCCGGGTATGCCACCGCCACCGCCAGTGGGCACAGGCGTGTCGAGCATGTTGAACGTCCAGAAAACTCCGAACGTGCTATCGGCTGCGCCGCAGCTGATCAGTGCAAGAAAGGACAAGGATAGCGGCAAAAACTCGACCACCATCGAGGCCAAGCCACAAATCAGGAATTTGGCGGCCGACGTCACGAGGTTCTTACCAACGTCGTTGCGCGTGAAGAGGCCGGAAGATTGCAAAAAGAAGGCCGCATCAACGCTGCCCGTGCGGCTACCGGAGAGACTGCCGGTCGAGCTTCCGAATTTCGCCAAACCGCCGCAGCCGAAAACTAAGGACGACGCCTACTTGCAGTTTATGCAAGAAATGCAGGGCTTGCTGTAAGCTGCGCGCGAATGCTCACAGCCGCTCGATTACTAATAACTATACCTTAATTTTGTAATTATTCATCTCCTTTGATTGTAATATAATTTGGTACTCGAAATTACAAGTTGTTTTACTTAATGATAATTTAAATAATAATGGCAAGGTAAGAAAGATAAGGTCGAGATTGTGGACGACAAAATAGATTTTCGTTTACTTTGTTCACTTGCTGACGGACAGTCCAATGGCATATATGTCAGTGACATCGAGTAGCACTTGGCTGGTCGCAGTTCGGTTTCGTTTCCTCGAAGCAATAGCCTTCTTATCCTTGGGCCGCGTTTTACTCGCCAACTTGTGCTTGCTCGAGGCGGCAACCGAGCCGGCGATAGGCGTCGCGAGCTTGGAGCTGGCCGCCGGTCGGTTGATTGCGCTCTGAGGCTCGTCTTTGCCGGCGGTGGCGGTGTCTTCCACTGGCTTGAGCAGCTGCCCATCGATGGCCTGCGACGAGACATATTGGGAGAAAGAACGAGAGGGAGAGAGATGAGAGAGGTCGCCCCAGGGCTCGCGGCAACAGCCACTGACCGAGTAGTGAGCGGCACGCGACGGCACGCGCGGGTCGGCCGAGTGCTTGCGCAGATCGATTATCTTGGAGATGAGGCTGGCCCGCTGAGCGCGTTTGCCGAGAGCGTCCGCGCGGGCCCCGAGGCCGCGCCCCGACTCCGCGGAATGCGGCTGGGCAGTGGGCAGACGGACGGACGGCGCCTGCGCCGAGAGACACTGCGCGACGCTCGGGTCGACGGGGCGCGCGGCGGTGTTGGTCTGGACGTCGAGCAGCTGCGGCGCGTTCGCGGGCCCGTCGGGCGGCCCCGGCAGGGCCCGCCGGGCGAGGCCACCGGTCTGGCGCAGCCTGACGTACTCGCAAAACTCGCGGTCGAGCTGCAGCTCCAGCTCCTCGACGAGATCGACGAGGGCAGGGCCAGGCGTCGCGGGCGGCGCGCCCCGAGCGCGCCGCTCCCTGTCACGGACGGCGCCGGCCTGGATGCGCGTGCCGTGCAGCGAGAGACCGGCGCCCAGGTAGGCCTGGACGCCCGACAGCCGCTGCTTGTAGACGAGCTCGAAGTCTCCGGTGTCTGCACCGCCGGGGCTCTCGCGATAGTCGACCACCACTGCAAGAGAAAGGGCCGCTAGAGTGTGGCTGGCGGCGGCGGGCCGCGGACCACCGACCCTTGATGATGTCCTCCATGGCTCTGCGGCAGAGCCGGCTGGTGACGCTGGTCGAGGCGCTCATGTCCGGGTGGCTGTTGATCTCGATCAGCCAGACCGAGTAGTCGTCCATGAGCATGAAGTCGGCGCCGTAGAGCTCGAAGCTGTTGCGCCGGCGGTCCATGGCCTCTTGGCTGGCGAGCAGCGAGCCGACGAGGCCCTGACGCATGCCCGGGTAGATGAGGCGCTCCCAGGCCTCGGGGTCGCCGCGCTCGGCTAGCCAGCGCTTGAAGCTGGCCACGTCCCACATGTTCTCGGCCGGCAGCGCGGCTGCGCGGTCCGCGCCGTTCTTGTACTTGCACTGCACGGCGTTGTTCGACAGGTGGATCGACTCGTGGAAATCGCGCAGGCTGAACTTCTGCGAGCAGAAGCGCAGGTAGCTCTCGCGGTACATCCAGACGGTGAGCGGCTGGGCGCTCGTCACCAAGAACCACTGGCGGATGTCGAACTTGGTGTCGTGGATGAGCAGCGGCCGCTCTGCGCAGCCAACGCACGTGGCAATGAGCTATGGGCGATCGGCGAGCGGCTACCGGCGCGGCGCACCTACCGATGTACTTCTGCACGACGAAGCGCGCGTCGGCCGCGCGGCCCGGCGCGCCCACCTTGGCCAGGATCTCGTCCAGGCGGCTCATCAGCACGATCCCGCGGCCGCGGCTCTTGTTGCCCGGCTTGAGGATCCAGACGCACAGGCAGCCGTCCATGTCGAGCTGCGGCAGGAAGGGCCGCGCGCGGCGCAGCAGGTGGCGCGCCGCCAGCGCGTACTCGCGCAGCGCCGGCTCGCCGGCCAGCAGCGCGGCGCGCTGCTGCACCAGCTTGTAGTACCAGCCGAGGAACTGCTCCCACTGGTGCGCCCAGACGCGCTCGGGCTCGCGGTCCAGGTCCTGGTGGCGACGGCTGGCCAGCAGCTCGGCCACGCGGCCCAGCGCGAAGTCGAGCGCGCGCAGCGGCACCGGGCCCGCGGCCGAGGCCAGGTCCGCCAGGCCGCCCGGCCCCTCGGCGCGCTCCAGCAGCCACTTGAGCAGCGACAGGCAGGCCGTCGCGCGAAAGTCCTCGACGAAGGCCTGCAGCTGCTCGGGCGCCTGGCTGACGCTGTAGCAGCGCGGGAAGCGCGTGTGCGCCACGCCGGCCTCGTAGTGCCAGTGCAGCTGGCGCGCGCTCGCGCACAGGCCCAGCTTGGAGGTGAAGCCCGCGCGCCCGAAGCGGTTGAAGAGCGTGGACCGGTCGTCGGGCGCCGGCCAGCCGGCCGCGTCCGCGCCCGCGCTCCACAGCAGGTCGGGCGCGCGCGCGCCCAGCATGCGCGAGACCAGCAGCCGCTCGTTCTGCGCCTCGCCGAGGTCGCCCAGCCCGGCCAGCAGCGCCGCGGAGCTGGCGTCGGGCCCGAGCTGCGGCTCGGCCGCCGCGCCGGCGCCCGGCCCGCCGGGGGCGCTCGGCTCGCGCGCGCCGCGCCGGGGCAGCTTCTCGCACCAGTCGCGCGCGAGCAGGGCCTCGCGAACCAGGCGCGCGCGCCCGAGGATGGCGAAGGTGTGCTTGGCGGCGATGGCCCGGCGCACGCGCTCGCGGATGCGCTGCAGGTGCTCCATCTGGCTGGCGCGCGCCGCCTGCCCCTCCGGCGGCGCGGGCTCGGGCGCTGCCCGCCGCGGCTCCGCCTGGGCCTCCGCTGGGGCCTCCGCCTGCGCGTCCGCGGCCCGCCGCGCGCTCGCGTCCTCCTCGGCCGGCATGTGCTCGCCTACTGACCGGGACGGCGCGCTTGGGTGGGCTAAGGTGCGCGCGCGCCGAGGGTCGTGCCAGCCGCGCGCCACCACCGCCGGCCCACTTTCGCTCCGCGCTCTCACCTGTCGCTGCTGCCCTTTTCTAGCTCGCCCACTCGGCCTTTCTTATCACTTGTTAATTTCGCCGCGACTCAGGTTACACTGAATTTCGTCGCTCGATTCCCGGGCCAATCGCGCCAACTTCACGCGAGCTCGCCGAGGCAGCTTCTTCGGCACCCGCTTGCAGCAGTTACGGCTCGGACCCTCGCCCGCGAGCACGTTTCTTCGCCATTCGTTACGTTTTTTGGCTGCCTGCTAAGACCTGCTAAAACTAGCCGTTAGCCTCTACGCTGATGCACGTGCCTACCGTCGCACTGATCGGAACAATAAGTCGACGACTGATAAGCATTTGTTAAGCGTTTATGTTAATGGTACCATGTGCACATGCACACTGGCGAGCACGGTGCGCTCTTATATACCGTGTATCTGACGTATGCGCGCAAGTATATAGGTTTAAGATCGACGTACGTACACATACGTGGCTTTTCAAACGCAGCGCCGATAGCAGGCGCGGCTCTACATGACCCGTCTGCGCGGGCCGCGGCGAGTCGGCGACGGTAGACACTATAGATTGCGACACTGTATAGCAATCGGGCGCGAGTTGGCTGTCGTCAGCTTTCGCTGTTCGCTACCATCATCGCCATCATCGACATCACCTCTCTAGTCTCAACACGTTCCTGACAACGCGAGCCGGTATCCACACGCAAAATTGTCACGCTGTTTTTCTTAATCATGGCCTATCTCGTGCAGGATTTGCCTCGATTATTTTTTACCGAAGAATGCCTCAAAGAATACCTACAAGATTTTAACTTTTTACATGGTTAGTGCACAAGTATCCTTGCTTCCTCGACCATTTTCACCTTATCACTAGTCATTACTTATTTGCTGACCGCTGCAGTAAATGCCATGTAAACTCATATTCTTATTTCAGTGGAATGCTTCAAGGTAACCCTCAGCAAGTGCCTAGGTCTGTTAATTATCGCTGGCTCTCTAATGGGTAACTTTGATATTCCTCCCTTGAAAAACTTAAGAACACTTTAAACTCGATCTTCTTCACGTCGTTCATGAAAATGATGTATCCATATTTCTCTAGTCAAAGTGCCACAGATTGTTAAAATTCTACAAAACGAAAGTGTCCAAGGAATCAATGTAGTCAGCGTTTTATTAGACTTGTTTGCAATAACTGCCATGGGATCGTACAGTTTTGTTAGTCGATTTCCATTTAGGTAAATTTATATATACCATGCTCCACTATATGAATACACTTATTATATAATATTTTACTTCTTGTCTAGCTCATGGGGTGATGCCGTATTTTTAGGCTTGCAAACAGTCATTATTGCTAGTTTAGTCATTTACTATACCAGTGGTTTGACAAAAGCAACAACTTTTCTGGCGGCATATTTAGCTGTAATAGTAGCAGTTGTGAAAGGTCTAGCACCAGTCAGCATTTTATGGTTTTGCCAAATCCTTAATATTCCAGTAGCTCTAACTAGCAAGGTTTTTAATTTTCTTTTTTTGACAATCGATTCTACAATCTTACTCTCTTTCATATATTAAATATTAATATTTCAGTTGATGCAAGCTTACACAAACTATTCAAACAGTAGTACTGGTCAACTTTCTGCTATTACTGGTTTCATGTTATTCTTTGGTTCGTTAGCAAGAATTTTTACATCTATTCAAGAAACTGGAGATACTGCAATGATTATTATGTATGTTTGTGCAACTGCAGCCAATACCATATTAGTCTTCCAATTTCTATACTATTGGAATATGTCGCAAAAACAGAAAACAAAGTCAAAGAAAAAAGAATGATAAGAAGACTATTTTTGTTACTAGATTGTCAACTTGAAACACATTGTGAAGTGTATTGACATCTAAATTAATTTACACAATATGTGTAAATTTCAAGTTAGTCATCGCATTGTGGGGTGTAAGTCACAGGGATTCAAAGTTGATGCTAAATTTGATTTTTCTCCAAGCAGTGTTTCAAATTTTACATTCTTAAACTATTAATGCCATTTTACGATCACCTTTGTTAGCATAAAAACTAAACTTTATACATTTTTAATCACTATTACTATTTGTAAACAGCCACTTTTTATTACTGTCAAGCTGTTGTATTGATAGACGAAATTTAATTTTTTATATTAGTTCTAAGTATTACTGCTGTTAATTTTTAAAAATAAAGAATGCGATCAATATATATGAATATTTTTTAATTAACTCTGCAATTTTAGTTTATTTTGTGACTAGCTTCTCAAGAAGCCGAATGATTAAAGTAATTTTACTTCATACAGAATAATAATGATAATATTGATAATGAGTTGTAAATTTCCTTTAAGTGTCATTTGCTTGGTTAGTAATTATAATAAAATTTAAATTTTCCTAGTTTTTGAACCGATGCGAAAACAGCCCGACACAAATAACATTTTATAAAAAAAATGATCACATCTCACGTATGTCTAATTGTACTTCTCGAAAAAATAATTATTTGTTATTGTACCATTATATTTCTCATAAAAAATAAAAAATATCGTTATCGATAATTCACCTCCTATTTATTCACATAAAAGACATAATTAAGCAAAAATAAATTCACAGAAAAATTGTACCTTTTATAGTCTATATTGTACCATCAGTACAATTCTATAAATTTGTTTCTAAAACAAATAATAGGACAATTACAAAGCTCTACGCCTGCGCAAAATGCATTTCCGGATGACATCCTTGTAAGTAACAATTAGTATGGTAATTTGTAATTGTCCTATTATTTCTTTTAGAAACAAATTTATAGAATTGTACTGATGGTATAATTTAGACTATAAAAGGTACAATTTTTCTGTGAATTTATTTTTGCTTAATTATGTCTTTTATGTGAATAAATAGGAGGTGAATTGTCGATAACGATATTTTTTATTTTTTATGAAAAATATAATGGTATAATAACAAATAATTATTTTTTCGAGAAGTACAATTAGACATATGTGAGATGTGATCATTTTTTTTTTATAAAATGTTATTTGTGTCGGGCTGTTTTCGCGTCGGTAGTTTTTGACTAGAGTAGTCATTGATATCAATACAACTCAATAGATGACGCTAGCTACTTCCGATTTCACGATAATCAGCAAATGTGGCAACTTCGGCCATTTTCGTCTGAAAGAGTTTTGTTAAGAGTGTTATTCCATTGAATCTTTATCAAAAATGCTACTTTTTTATTCGGTTGGTTGGCGCTAGAAGCTGTTTGTTTTTCAATATAAACATTTTCGAATCTACAATAAAGATTTATAAGATATAAATGTGAGATTTTATCATCGGTACATTTCGCTGGGTAAGTATCGTCAATACGTTGTAAGAACGCCATTGTGAGCATAATTATTTCATTTGACCTCGGCATCAACACGTAACTAAACTTTATCTACTATTGATTGACATTCGCAAATTATAGTCATTTCATAAGCTTCTTAACATTTTATATTTTGAAGATACGAATGTTAACAAAGCAGCCTATCAAAGAATATCCATATTTATTGAAACGAGCAACATGTTTCAAAGAAATAATTTAACTAGAAATAATAAAAGTCATTTACATATTTTTATGAACATTAAAAGTGTTTTTCACTACTACGTAATTGTAGCTCTTATGTAATGCAAATAATTACGAGATTTTGTATCAGAAATATTAGCTGGCTGTTCTCTAGTTTCATTTTTTTTTCCTTTTGTTACGTATTTGTTTTTTATTGCAGAATTATAAACAGAAAAGGTCCATTTAGAGTATATTAAAATGGACACTATGGATCCTCGTTTAATTGCTCAAGCACTTAACTATCATGGACAACAGCTTCAAAAGATTTGGGAAGGTGAACGCAATGAATCAGAACTAGCAATGCTTAATTTGAAGGAACCAAATTTTGAAATTTACCAACAACGCCAGAAAACATTGAGGTATGCAGTTAATTCAAAATTTCATTTCTTAGCTATGTCGGTTCATTTTATAAGCTCCCATGCAGCAAATAATTGAATTTATTATTAGTTTTAGCGATAGAGGGAAGAGGTTAAAATTGCAGCAATTTTTGGCTAAAAAAGCAGATACATTATATGATAAGTCAAATCTTCTTAAAGTTGCAGAAGCCATTAAACAGGAGCTTGGCGATGAAGGTGAGTTGGATTGAATTGCTGAAGATTAATAATATAATGTATCAAATTGACCATTAGTTGCAAAATGTTTTAGAATTTTATGCCACAATGCCTGGTTTGGATTCATTTGTAGCCATGGAAAAATCACAACGCATAAGAAATTTTTTAGAGGTACTTAAAAATATAACAATACCAATTTTTGCAATGGTAATATTCTTAATGACAAAAAAATCTTTTATTTCAGAGTTTAATAGTAGGTGATGTTATTTTTGCTCAAGTTATGGGAAAAAGTGCTGCTGGGCTTTTACTGAAGGTTCTTTGTAATTGTAGTGATTTTCCTAGAGTAGTTTCTGATCTAGGTGTAAAGGTATTGGATTGTTTTTGCCTTTTTCTTTGAAGTGATGTATTACTCAAATTGCTGTTTATAACAAATACTTTTCAAATTTAATACAGGCTCTGATTTTAAATACTGCCACAGTACCAGCAGTGGATAAAAAGGGTGTTACTCGAGGCTATATGGCTAATGATCTAGTCTGTGTTGTTGTTGGGGAAGTTAATGTTGAGGCTGAACGAGTGGTAGCAGTTATGAATGTGCCTGCTCGTGAAGGTCAAGCTCCGCACCCCCCTATGGGACTGGTACATCCAGAAGATTTGCCCGATGCTTACAAGTAAGAACTTTTTTTATTCAGCTCTAAGCAACATTAGCCATACGTGTTTGCATTGGAATCTCTGTGCAAGGAATGCCCTAGGAAAGGTTTTTAAAATATGTTCATTAAACATAAAAGTCGCGAGTTTTCTTTATGGCCAGGATTATGGTACTCAAATCATCTCGAGCTTTTTTTGTGAAATGCGAATGATACAGGGGAGTCAGTTTTAGAATACGCAAAGACTCAGAAACTGACTTAATATAACTCATGATGAATGCGGTCAATCTAGTAGAACAAATCTGATGAGTTTTCACAATGAGCAGGATTAAATTGTTGTTAAAAATTGTAAATCAAATGAGCTTTAGGTTTTTTCTGACCAGATTTTATGAATTCAGGTACCAACCAGTCTGTAATGTAAATGTCAGTAGTTGATACGGCAATGAGTTATTTGTGCAATAAGAAAGATTTGAACTTCAACCAGTTGTTGACACAAGCTGTTGTTGTTTTCACATTCTCAATCAACATTTGTGATACATGTATATTACATTTCAAGCACCCGTCAATGTATCACTTAACACCAATGATCTCAATATATTTCGAGATTATTTCCAGTGCAAAAACGCTGTTTTGCGCATGATCTGGTTTGACAGTGAAATCAGGATGGTAGGTATCAAGCAAATGTAAAGTTGTTTGGTCTTTACAAGTAATAATTCTTGACCCACTTCAACTTACTGCTCATGTTTGTTTGCACATTGTGTTTGTGTTGATGTTTGCGTTGTACAAGCATTCAACCATTTGAATGCTTGAATTTTACTAATATTTTGAAAAAGACCAAGCAACTGCACCGTGCATATCAGTGATTCTAATAAAATCATTGAAAATGATTCGCGTACTGTTACGATGATTAATACCATCATTTGAACTTACAGCTTTATTAGACAAATATAAAAAGATGTCATTTGATAGCAAAATGTGCTACATCTAAAAACGTTTTTTTGGTCAACTTAAGGACGAAAAAATACACAAACATAAATAATAATCTATATGTACCTATACACACAGGCGTCGCTCTTCTAGGTTTATGCAAATTATTTTATAGCACAAAAATGAAAATTAACAAAAATCTTGTCTAAATGCGAGAAAATAATACATAGTGCAGTCTATAGAGTGCATCTTAGGGTAGCAAAGGTGAGACTTGTACTTTCATAACTTTCAGGTGCTGTACAGATGTGAAAAAGCTAAAGTCAAGCATTGAATTTTAATTATTTATACAAAGAACGTGTACATATAAATTTGTATATTTTTGTTACTCGGCTGCTGGTTAACAAATTTAAAACAAATGAACATTCTCAAGATTTGTCTGGTGTCAAAATCAATTCTTACATATAGCAGCTATGATATTATTGATACGATCGATCGTTTCTGCAACATATAACTGCATGCTAACCAGAATTTACAAAAGAGGATGTGTGTGGACTACATCTTGACGTCGTTCGAAAATAAAAAATCAGAAATGCATGACGAATGAGAAAGATGAAATTGTACAAACAAAAACGTTAAAGCTGGTAAAAAAAATTATGTAGCAGAAAAAGCGACAAGCTACAGTATATATCGTGTGTATTTATTATAAAAACAAGAATATGGACAATATGAGGATACAACAAAGGGATAAATGAGCGACTTATTGTTTAAGCTAAATTAAATCAAGCCAAACGTTAACCAAGCAGCCACCTTATTAATAAAGCAAAAAAAGAAAATCAAGCTTGAACAAACAATAATTTGTGTTTTTACTCTCTATCTAGAAAAGCTATGGACAACAAAGGGCAAAGCTATGAAACAATCATGGAAAACAGTACTGGATTCAACAATCCCAACAACATAAAGTATCTGTTAGATTTGATGGGCTTGGGTCAATTGAACTACTCGAACATGGTAGGCTTGAGGTAAGATGGATACCTAAAGTATAGGCGAATCGTAAGTGAACGAATTAATCGAACAAAAAATGTTTCAGGGAGCGATTTCCACAAAACGAGTACGCCAGCGAGTTAAGGCAAGCGCAGGCCAGTAAATGGGCTTTCCGCAGCGTGGCCGAAGGTATCGACCACTTCAAAGCTGGCCGTCATTCCGAAGCATTCCAATGCTTAAATAAAGCCCTCACAGTCGATCCTAGAAATGTCGAGGGACTCGTCGCTCGCGGTGCTTTGTACGTGAACGACAACATGATCAATGAATTATTCTCAACAGTACCCAAAAATTAACGTTGCTTGCGATTTGCAGGTACGCAAACAGCGGCAGCTTCAAGAAGGCCATCGATGATTTTGAGACGGCCCTCAAGCTGAATTCCAGTCATGCGAACGCGCGTAAGTACATGGCAGAAACTCTGGTCGCCTTGGGGCGAAGCTACGAGGACGAGAAGAAATACGAGGAAGCCTTGAAGGCTTACGAGAATTGCCTGAACATAGCGCCTTATCATGAAGAGGCCAAGAATTCCATAGAATACATCAAGAGCAAGACCAACTTAAATTCGAGTCTGCCAGCGGCGGTACTCGAGCCATTCAAGGCCTTTGAGAGCGAGGCTGCCGAGGTTGAGTCCAAGAAGGAGAAAAAGAAGCGCAAAAAAGAAAGAAAGTCACGCTCGAAGAAGCGCCAACGATGGAGTTCGAGCTCGAGCTCAGGCTCAGATGATGGCTCGTCGAGTAGCAGCAGCAGCGGTTCCGATTCGTCGGCAAGTTCAAGCTCCTCAGGTGGCAGCTCGCGCTCTAACTCGCGTTCGCCCGGCAGAGGTGGCAAGAAGAAGCACAAAAAAGATCACCACGGTTCGTCCCTGTCGCCGCTGTCCAAGCGCATGGCTCAATACAACAATCCACCGTCGGCCGGTGTGGTCGCCCAGGCCCAGCTCAACACCCACGACATTTTAGCTCCCCAGCTATACACCAGTGGTGCCCGCGAAAAGGAAGACTATGAAGCCAAAGTTCGCAAATTCTTAGAGCAAACCAAGGATGACTCCGATTACGAGGAGAAAGTAATGGATCACAATTTTGTTTTACCGACACCTTACTATTGATGTGTTTGATGCTGTCGTTTACAGTTATCCGCTTATTCATTTTAGCATGTCTGTTCAATTGTTCACTTTGTCTTGCAGGTGAGAAAATTCTTGGAAGAGACAGCTCGCTGGAAGCGAGACAAAGAGAAAGAAAAAAAACATCAGGTTGAAGAAAAAAAGATGAAGAAAAAGAAAAAGGAGAAGAAAGTGAAGGATAAGGAAAAGGAGGAGAAGAAGCTCCGTAAGAAAAAAAAGAAGGAGGAACGCAAAAAGCGTAAGAACAAGGACAAGTTAGAGCGAGACTTACAAACGTCTCTACCGGATCTTGAACAGCTCGAGTCCAAACTCAAATCATACTATGCTAAAGTCGAAAAAGAAACGGCCGTTAGCAAAAGGTTAGCAGCTCCAGAGCATTCGTATATATAGTTCCGTTGCTAACTTTACTGGTGAGGTAAGAGCATTTGCTCTTGCTTACGTTAGTCAGAGTTGTACAGGGTCGTCGGGTTTATCGATTGCCTCATTTTTCTTTACCTTTGCGCCTACTAGTTATGTAGCTGTGTCTAACGAAATATCTTACCCTTCCTAGCAATGCCGAGAAGCTGGGCGATCGCCGGGAGGACGACATGCGCCGTGATAGAGACGACGTGTTTAAGACGTACCACGATAGGGACTCCAGACTGACGATACCACCACTGAGAAAAGGTAGGATCGCACACGTCGCATGGCCCTCGAAATGACCAACTAATCGTCATCTTTCTCCTTGTAGACGTACAGCGCAAGCCTTTCTCGGACATGTTTGAGCAAGACGCACAGCTGCTGCACTCCGAACCCAAAGTACCGAGCATAGACGCTGGAGCCCTCAACGCCAAGTGGAAGGCGGCTCAAGTCTCAAAGTAAGTCTTTGGGTACAGAACGAACCCACCGTGTTCGAGTTTGTCCAAAAAATGACCGGGTGACGAATCATTTCAGGCAACGCGAGCAGCAGAAGTGGCAAGAGGTCGGTGCCGAAAAGAAGAGCAAGTCGATGCTCGACATGGACGACGATGAGGGAGACGTACATCGGCCCCTAGACAAGTCCCTGAACATCCGTAAGCACATGCAGCGTGAGATGGCGGAGAAGCGAGCAATCCAGCAGCAGATGGCCATGCCAACTCCACCGCCACCGCCGCCAAAGGAATCGCCGCTGAAGTCACAGGCTCCGGTCAAGTACCCCACGCCGCAGCCGCAGCTCAAATACTCTCACCCACCGCCACCGCTGCCGCAGCAACAGCATCAACACCAACAACAACAGCAGTCGTCGAGCAGCAAGTTTTCCAGCAGTCTCGGCAGCAAATTCCAGCCAATCGGCCAGAGTCGCGACGACGGCAAGCAGCTGGCCAAGGGTGGTTCGCGCTCCGGCTCGGAGAGCCCGCGTGCTGGTAGGCGAGGTCGACCGGGACCCGAGGGTCCGGGCCTCAAGGGCGGCTCACGATCACGCTCGCGCAGCGCCTCCAGCTCGGGCAGTTCGCGCTCGCGCTCCAATCGCTCGGGCGCAGGCCGGCGCTCACGCTCGCGCTCCTACTCTGGTCGGCGCTCTGGCAGTTTCGAGCGCGGCAAGTATTCGCGCTCGGCCTCGGGCAGCTACTCCGGACGATCGCGCTCACGCTCTCGTTCACGCTCCCGGTCGTACTCGCGCTCGCGCTCACGTAGCCCCGAGCGCGGCTACTATCGCAAACGCCAGTTCAATAACCGACCGTTCAACCAGCGCGGGACCTACTACAAGCCGCGCTTCCAGCCGTTCAACAACCAGAACCGTGGACCCCCGGGTGGCAACTTCCGCGATAACCGCGGCGGTCAGAACCGCTTCTACAACAACCAGAACCAGAACCGCTTCGACAATCGGCGCGGCGGCCAGAACCGCTTCCACCATAACCAGCGCGGTGGCGGCAACATGATGAACCACCGGGGCCGCGGTATGAACAATCGGGGTGGGCGTTACTTCCACAACCGCAACAATTTCCGCGACAACTTCCGCGAGCGGCGCGACAATTTCCGCGAGCGACGGGGCTCGCGCGAGCGCTTCAGCAGTCGTAGCCGCAGTCGCAGCCGTAGCCGCAGCCGTAGCTACTCACCCGATCCCATGCGCAAAGTGGATGAAGCCAAGGAAAAGATCAACCGCATGCTGGAGGAGGGTGAAGAGCGCAGGTCGCGCTCGCGCTCGGGCAGCCGCTCGAGGTCTCGCGGCGCCGAGCGAGAACGGCCTACCGCCGGTAGATCCAGATCCAGGGAGCGCGAGCGGTCGGGCTCGAGATCGCATGCCCGGGAAAGCCGACCCTCGCGCGACGAGTCATCTGCCGGCAAGAGGCGCCCGGAGCCGACCATGAGTGAACACGAGGACCGCGAGGAGGAGATCGACTACGAGCACTGGGGCGAAGGCGAGGACCTCAGTGGCAAGGTTGGTATTCACACCCACTCGAGCGCGGTCCTCGAATCTAATCCACCCGCCGCCTCCTGCTGACTCAGCAGTTCGGGCTTTGCAAGAACATTGTTTTATGATTTGTCGTCTGGCTCCGCTTGCTCCGGGGCCGACCGACAGTCGGCGTCGGAGCAGGCGGCGTTTTGCCTCAGAACGATCTTTTCTCTCGCTGTATGCGCATCGACGAGGCTCGATCCTGGCGCTTATTCAACTCTATTGGCTTTATTGTTGTTCTTTGTCTACCGCGGCTTGGATTGATTCGCCGCGATCAAGCAATTACTAATTAATGAATGACCATTGTTTTTATACCGAGTTTCCGTGTGTACGCAGGAGAGAAGAGGTCAATCGTAAACGCACCCGTGGTTATCAGACACGATGACGCTCCGGATGCTAACTCTCGATTTTTTATCAAAAGGACGAATCGGCGCGGCCCGAAGACGGGGACGTTGTTCTCGAAGACAAAGAGGGTTTTCTCCAACGCATGAAGCAGCGCAGTCAAAACGTCCTGATCAAGAGAGCCATCGAGGCTAGGACGTGGTACCGACCGACCTCGCCCTAGACAGGCACCCAACACTGCATCCGCACCAGAGAACTTGCCCAGCGCTTCGCGTCATGACTGACTATCGACTATGTCTGTTTCTTTAATTTTTCACGTTTCTTTCTTCCTTTCCTTCGTTTGCCTCCCTCCTCAGACATCATCTCGGTCCTCGTAGCCGTGCGACGACGATCATCGTTACAAATACACTAAAGGCGCGCCTATTTAATTGTAAAAATGCTTGACACCTAATTTCGCTTCTGTATACCGGGTGCTTCTCGGCACTTGTTCACCAACACTACTAATTCATGTCAAGAGATATGTATACAAACATTTTGCGTGCTTTAGCTGTTATCTGTATCTATCTCGAATGGTTTGAATAAACTTTGAAATTTTTTCTAGACGACAATCGTTCATTTTCACACATTTCCGTAGCTTTACGAACGCTTCTAGTTTCTATCGAGTGTTGACGTGTTGCGGACAGCTGCCTAGTAAAGGCGATTTGGCGTTAGCCTCCAGTTGGCTAGCGCTTGTCACTGCGAAGCAAACGCGCAATAAGTTGAAGCAGAGAGATGCGAAGGCTCGGGTGAGCGATCGTGAGAACATCGTAATAAATGGCTTATTTATTTGAATGAGCAAAAGTACAAAAATATAAAGTCTTGCGTGTTAGACGGTGAGGTCTGCTAGGAAAATAGTCGTAATCTTAGCAAGGACAGAGCGCGGTGCACGGAGCAACAAATGGGAAGTGTGCGCGGCGACGAGGTTTGCTAGGAAGCTTGCTGAAGTCCCGCGTTCGCAGTCTTGACCAGACGCAAGGTAGGTGCAAGTGGGAGTTAGCGCGAGCTCGCCGCCTCCTATCGCCGGTACGGGTGGTAGCTACTGCCGCTGGAGAGCGCGTGGCCGCCTCTCTGGGGTCCAATGGCTCCGACGCCTGCTGGGCCGCCGACGACGTAGTCTGCTGCGGCGCCCGGCCCGGGGCCGCTCGCTGCTGTTCCTCCTCCGGGACTGCCAGCCGCCGCCAATAGTCCTGTCAAACGTACCATCCGCAAAACAATGTCAGATCGTCCTACTGCTGCCCAGCACTTCCGAGTGGAGCGTCCGCTTTGATCGCGCTCGCCTCAGCAGGTGCACTTTTATCGCCACGTCGCTGCCAAGCAGTGGGCCACCTCTTTCCTCATTTCATTTCAGAGAGTCAAAATCGAACTCGAACTTGTCTAGATGGACTACCTTTCGGAATAAAAGGCATCACTTGTTGGAAACTCTGGGACGATGAACATGAAGGAAGGAAGGGAGCGCAGACTTGGCAAGGGACACTAAACACTCGACTGTTTTTTTCTGAATATTTCCATTTAATTGTCGTCCTCACAATCATCTATACCATAGTGTATTTGTATAAGTTATATATATATATATACATATATATATAGATATATATATGTTTATATTTATGAATAGCCCAATTTGTATCTCGATATTTCTCTATATTTGTGTATCGTTATAGCGCAATCACTATAGTTACTTTTAATTGTATCAACTTATGATTAATGTATAGCTATAGGTATGTATATAATAATCGTAGCAGTGATAACGTAGAGTTATCTCGTAGATAGTGGTATATGTTAACACTAAAGTTTTTATTATTATTATTTTAGTAAACAATATTACCTTAAGTATCAGTAAATTAATAGTAAAGCTTCGTTTGTCGGGCAAGTCATTATGTCCCGTACATCATTCGACCACGATAGAATACCTCGTGGACTGGCTCAGTTCGTTATGTCCTATTACACGCTATATTTCTCGAAATATTGTAATATACGGCGCTCTCATAATCTTTTATGATTTTTTATTTATTACAAGTATGTTAAACGTATCTCAGTATCACTTGTGTCGTCGTCGTCATCGTCCTTGTTGTCGTCGTCCTCGCCATACTTTAAATTAGCCATTATAAATTGTTTGTCAACTAGCTTTCGCTCATTGATGCTGCTGTGTTTTATGATCGTTTACATGTTACTTCCTAACTGGTTTATAAATATTTGTTTGTTTATCAAAAACCCTCGACCACATTGACATTTTACTATGTTTTATCGATTAATAAAATCACACTTGCTTCACTTAATTGTTTCTAGTTTCGAATAAAAAGTAAAATCTCATAACTGCTTGAGGTGTAATTATAGCTAACGTTCTGTAGCCGTCGGTTGCAACAGCGGCAGCGGCGGCGGCGGCGGCAGCAGCAGCAGCAGCAGCAGCAGCGGTAGCGGCGGCAGCGGCGGCGGCGGCAGCAGCAGCAGCAGCAGCGCCATCAACAACGCAGTATTTGTAAAAAAAGTGATCGGCGCTATCGATAGCAACGGTCTTACCGAGATATCTCAAGATCAATCGATCGTACACTCGGACTTTGGTCTTTCTGCTCTCTGCTCTCTGCCAATGTAGCGTTATGTTATAACCTATTGGTTGTTAACTTGATTCTCGTTTGCCGCAATGCTATTCACGGTTGATTAACTACTAAGCGAAATGATTATGCGCTTAACCAGTCATTTGCTCATGGCCGTGTACATGACAATTATCGCAGTGATCTATTTGATATTTCCGAGGAAAGATTGGGTTGGATTGGGTTGGGTTGGGTTCGGGTTCGGGTTGGGAGTGACGGAGAGACGGCATCGATGGCCTTTGGGTGGGAGACTTCTTTGGACAGAGGCTAATCGAGAGGTAAAAAGATAAAGAGGTCCGAGAAGAAAAAGTCGAACGTAATGGCGTGTGTAAGCGCTGAGTCTTTGAGGTACAGCAAGTATTTTGAACTTTATCAGGGATTCTATTTAACCGTACTCGTAGACGTACTCTTTAAGCTATATCTTTACAGTACTTTAGACGCTCGCGCAACAGCTCGATTACTCGTCAATTTACTTTTTACTTGGTTACTTTTTACAATAAGAACTCACTATCTCCTTAACTATTTATCTTTAATTTAATGCAGTCGGTCGTTTCCTAACGTGTTTTCCTTAAATAACGAGATACTCCATTGATTTTACATGGATCTTAAAACGAGCGAATAGCATCGAGTTGGAAAAATTATACATTCATATATAGTTCCATAAACCCGACGATAAATAGCCTCTTTTCTTGTCTTTTTTCTCTTATGTTTGTTTGCCTGTTTTTTCCTAAGCTGATATCACGAGAACAAATCGATAAGCGAACTTACTTGTGCGAGCAGTTCGCTTATGCATAAAGGAATTTTTCGTGAAAATGTGGCCAGTGGCAGTAAGCTGTGAAATCAAGTCCGAAAATGAGAGCCAGAATAAGAGAAAGTTGAAACTGACGATGAAAAATGCAATTTACTGGCAATGTAGATTACAGTATGTTTGTCAGAAAGAAAAGCCAATTTTATTCTCAAAATCAAATGGTCTCTTAAAATTAAACGCATTTTCTCTGAAAGCTTATTGTAGTGACATTGTATATCGTAAAATGTTTCAAGCGCTGTATATTAAAATTATCATCATAACCACTTGTTTGTCATTATTAAGAATACGCACGGTTGGTCGTATAATGTAATGTGTATAGCAATTATATTAATAAAAATAACATTCAACTTGTTTTTCGGTTTACCAACTACATTAATAATAGTCATAATAATAATCGTAAATGAGAAGCGAGGCAACCCAAAATTTAATTAAAGAGTCCTAAAATTAAGCGGACAATGTGACAATGGTCATTTAATAAAGGAAGGCGGAAGGTGTGAGGTCGATAAATGTCCGATCGGGTCATATAACGTAGTATATAATATAGGCATACGTAAATATATCTGTGTTCATCTACATTATATATATATATATATATATATATATAGATGTATGTGTAAATGTATATATATACGAAAAGTGCGTACAAAGTTCTGCAACCTTCTCGGATTCGACACGCACATTGAACGACTGATAATCTATCAAATGAGAGCGAAAGAGCGCTTGTTCGAAGAAGCGACGACCAAAGCTCGACTTCCCGTAATTCTCTCCCACTGACTTTTCCGTTGCCTCGAAGCTATCTAGTTTTCAAAGCTACGGGAAGTCGAATGCGGCGTTGTTTATCTTTACATTACGTTTTGCATCACTTTTTTCGTTAAATATTACTTTAGTTTTTTACTTTGCTACACTTAATAACTTGAATTCTTCGTATAATTTACTCCCTTAGAAATTAGATACATACTGGATCGTGCGTTAATAAACTCGTTTGTACAGATTACGGACTTGATTATTACTTCAATACGTGACGCCTTAGAATAAGCGCTTAATTCTTAAGATTTTAGAAGAAACAAATTAACAAAAACTTATAGAAATATCATTATCATCATCACCATGGGCAACGCGCATATATATATATATATTTATTTATTTATATATATGTATATATATTATGTGTATATATAAAAGTGTATGTACTCGGAGAGGGAGCAGAAAAAAAAATTAGTAATCGTTAGACGTCTTCAACTGTATTAAAATTACATTACAAGTGAGGACAGCACGCCAGCATTATCATTAATTATTAAACGTTAATGTTAATCGTTAAGCATTAATATTTATCCTTTAATCATTAATCATTGCTAGAAAATAGCTTCGAATGGTTTCAAAGTAAAAATCTTAATCGTCGTGGTGGACGTGCAGCTACGTAGAATAGAGTAAGAACTTGATCTTTTACACGTGATATACTTTGACGCTGTAATGTAATCGCTTCTTTTAATTAGTCGCTAAAACCAGTCTTTGACAAAAGGGCCACTCTTAGCGATAATCTTTAATCTACGGAAAAGTTGGCATCAGATTTGCCGCTTGCGAAAACGAAAGTGATGGTTATTGCCGTCCCTCTCGCTCACAGACAGACAGACAGACAGACAGACAGACAGACAGACAAACACAAGCACGTGCACGGCTTCTCAACCGCATTCGCGCCTCTGCTCACACACCGCGACAGTCGCACCTGCTCTCATCCACTCGGCTCCCAAACGCACCACGCAAGCACACCCACCTGTGACCTAGCTAATTCTCAAGTACTCGCTCGATCAAACTGTCCTGCCCGCGTCTAGTCGCGCACGCGAATAGTGGCTCCCTGACGATAAATAATAAAATACTGGTGTCGCCTGAAACGTAATCAGTCCGACTTTATTAGATTTGATTGTTTATTTTGTTGTCGTTGCTGTGCAGAGTCGTCACAAAGTTACCTCTCCAGTTTAGATTTTGCACTATTAGTTGAGTTTGGCTGTGTAGTCGTTAGCCAATCACCGCGTATTTATTGATTCAACAATCGTAATAAGCCTCTATTTGATAACGTGAGTGTATAGAAAGCAACTATTTTAGCTACACATACGATATATACGAAGGACTTAAACCGAAAGCAGACGATTAGAAAAGTAGTTAACAACCCTGAGAGTAAGCCGACGTGAAAGCGGCTAAGCAGCAGTAATTAATCAACTATTAATCCCTTAATTATCCAAAGTAGCTTAATTATTCTTAATTATTCGCTCCCTAACGCTATCCACTCACAGTCGTCATACGAGCTTTTTTGACTAATTTACCTTTACTCCAAGTGCCATCCAAAAATACTAATTATATTTGCTTTTCCAAATATAAATATAGGTTCCTCTGTTTTAAACTTAATTTACGTTTTGTCTTAATCCTTGTCTTGACGTAACTCTACCAGGTCAATCATTATTAGTTTTATATAATATTAATTTTACTTTTTTTAAGTTGTATGCTTGTCTTTCCTTTTCTCACGACTAATTCAACTTCATTCGTGCCATTCGTATTATTTGTGCCTCAACATTGCTCAGCATTAAGTATAGATTTGAAACTGAAAGCGCCCGAGCACAATTATGTGCCCAAGGTATGCGCCACACCTTATCTATTTATTGAAAGTACTTATAAATCTGATAACTTTCCTTAAGCGACCATCACAATACAGGAAAAAATCCTTTTATTACGTTTTCTTTTAATCTCGAGCTCTACGTATTCGTATTTACTTACTTATTTACTTACTTACTGACTTTATAAATTAACTGATCAATTGATCTTGTTAGATATTTACAACTTTAATTAAGCAACAACTGGTGGATTTTTCAACCAAATATCACTTATCGTACCGCTGTTATCCGGCATTTTATCCAAACATTTACAATTTTTTCTTATCGTTATTATTAGTTGAGCCATTACTTAATCCTAATTATTAACTGAAGTATCCGAAATCTCATTTCAAACTTTAAAATTACATGCGAATTATCGAAAATAAACTATCAAAATCGAAGCACGTATGTGTACAGAAAATGTAAGAGTAAGTTTGTGCTGATATTTTCATTATTTATTCTGTAGATCTAAATTTTTTCATTCGCAAAGGCTAAAAGTTCGTAATTATCAGCATTCAAAATGTGTAAGGCACAAATAATCATTGGCGAAGTATCTTGTACAGCAGTAACAGCAATATTAATTTACAACAACAGACTGTCATAATAAGTAATAACCGCATTATCATGGCTACGGGCACTTTAGTTGACTTGGGAATAGTAGTTAATAAAAATAGTAGTAATCGTAAGAATTATATAGTAACAATGATCGTAATAAAATAGTCGTTTATAAAAAATGGTGTACAACTGCTTTTTACATCATCATGCCTAATCATTATTATTAATTACAAAACCACGGTAAAAATATACATGTATATTAATAGGTATTTATGTATATTCGTGTATATATATATATATAAATTAAAAAGATCAGCTCAACTCTTAAGCTTGAAGTGACAATTAAAAATGATTTACAGTTTACAACTCCAACATTTTACAATAAAAATTACGGACTTATCTGTGTTGTGCATAAAAAGGATCTTTCAATTACGTTTAATCACCGACAACTCAAATGAAACAGTTAAGAAAAATTCTAAAAATCCTTAAAAAAATTTGTAGGAGCATTAATAAAAAAAAAGAAAAAAAGAAAAAAAAACATGAAACAAGTACTCAAACGCAGCTTGTTTTCCAATAGTATTTTACAATAAAATAACAGTACACGTTAAAAAGTTTTCTAAAAAGGATCACGAAGGAGCAGCCCGTGTCCTGATGTCAAGTGAGATATACAAACATGCATACGCAGTTTTTCAAATTAGATCTACACATGTAAAGCTACTGTCATCAAATTTTGTTACTTTAACCGTTACTGATAAATTCGATCTATCTTATTGACTCGCAAAACCGCATCAATAATTTATTATGTCTTTCTGTTTATTAGCTCTTAACTACTAAAAGGTAGTAGATTCACATTGATTGTAAATTGGGTTGGTCGTTCCGATATATCGCGAGCCTGCCGCTTCAATTTAGATAGTCGACCTCTTCATTCTCGCATTCTGTCTTTCTTTCTCTTTCTTCCGTACATGCACACACGCAGCACATCCACGCAATCATCCTGATATTCCATTCTCGCGGAGTCACACTCGCGCTCACTCCCTCCCCACTTTTTGACATTTAAAATTAATTTCTTTGTATTAAACTCTTAATTCGTTTTTTCTATTGTAACTTACATCGCCTTTGAGAGATGCACGAGCGTTTGATAGACTGCCACTTAAAAGAGAAGGAAATACTTTAACAAAACTGCGTACTAAATTTAAAGTAATAATTAATCTTGAGCGCACTAAATATATAAAAAAATGACTGTGTTACAGACTATAACATGATTGAAAAAAAGGAGAGTTTGCAGTGCTCGTTTATCTCTCGGTAAAGCGTATGGGCCACAGTGGTGATCGCCACCGTCGTCGATTCTTTCTTAATGCTTTATCAATCGCTTGTCGCTCCTTCGCCTCGATCGTAGACCATAACACATAACATTTGCTGAAAGTTTGATTGTTAAAAAGAACACCTTTTGTTTTTTGTTGTTCTTTGTTTTCTTCACATTTTGTATATATACGTTTGTACTGGAAGGTCGCAGAAACAGTGTGCACGACAAATATATGTATATATGTATGTGTGTATGTGTGTATATATGTATGTATGTATGTATGTACGTATGTATGTATATATATAAGAGCATGATTAATTTTCTGCCTTCGGTGTCCCAGCGCCGAAGAGCTCTCGCTTGCACCATAGGTGGCCTATTGTCGTTTATTTTATCGACGTTATATCAACATGTTTACTTTAATTACTTAAAATTTCTCTTGGTTTTGTCAACGTCGTATCGACTCGACGATCTATAATGTAATTCGCATTCATTTAATTTTGGCAATTTGACGTTTCTATTGATTCCAATATCTTAAGATTAAGTGATGATCATAAGGCTTTCACTAATCTCTCGATAGCGACGAGCCTCTGGAAGCGATCTATCCGATGTTGTTTGTTAATTTTTAGAAAATCCTAGCATACTTTGGCGTCGATCGCGAGTAATAACATTTAACATTAATTTTTTTTTCATCGTACAAACAATTGACCTTCTTAAAACTTAGATATCTTACTTGGTAATTATTTTATATCACCCACATTGTTACGTTCTAGATCTAATAATTATACTTTCTTTGACACTTGATTGATAATTTGTCGCAATCGTAGCTCGATATTGTATAGTAGATAACATGTGTGCGATCGAGGCATAAGTTGGCTAGGATTACAGCAAGAAAAATTTGTTAAAATAATATAATTTACGTATGATAATAAAGAAATGTTTTGATTGATCGCTGTTAAGAGAGACGTTGACAAGAGTGGGCCGGTGTAGACAGAATGAGAGAAAGAGACAGACAGTACATATCGAAAGATGGTAGTTTAAATACGCGCGCGCGTTTGTGTGTGTGTGTGTGTGTGTGTGTGTGTGTGTATGTGCGCGTGCGTGCGCGCGCACGTGTAACAGGATAGTATATGGGTGTATGTGTGTTTTGTGAGACAATGAAGCCGAACGAGCTACTAGCTTACGAGAGCAGAGAAAGGCCGCAGGAGGAAGAGCCTTGGGCGCTTGTTAGATCCGTGGCGACGGATGGTAGGGTTGAAATTAAAACGGTCATGAGGTGGGCCACTCTTTGTTGAAATCAAAGGCTTGTTGGCCGGGCTTAGGAACGCTGGCGGCATACCCACCTTGGCTGCTTTCACCGCCTTGATAAGAGCGCTGAGGTGGATAGCTGGTGTCGGCATAGTTGCTGTATCCGGTGTATCCAGTGTAGTCAGGTGTTTTGGCGGAGCTGCTCGACGAACCGGGCGCTCCGGATCCACTTGTCTGCCTCGAATACATGTCGCCTGCAACGACCAAGTCATTCTCAATCGACGCTCGTATGTTGGGTCGCGACTATGCTGGACGCTGAGACTCACCGTAGCTTCCATAAGCCTGATTGGCTGCAGCTGGTTGAACGTTATAACTACTGCCCCACTGGTGCGGAGGCGGAGGTGGAATCTGCTGCTGCTGCGGTGGCCCCGGTGGGGCGGCCCAGCCTTGAGTGTTATACTGAGCACTGTAGCCGGCGTAGCCACCAGTTTGAGGACTGGTGCCCCAACCTTGATACTGTTGCATCATGTTCCCTGGCGGGCCCATTGGGCCACCCATCATCGGGCCTCCCATCTGCCCGTTGGGTCCCCCCATGGGTCCCATATTTCCAGCCATTCCCATTGGTGGTCCCTGCTGCGGTGGACCCCATTGTCCGGGATGACTGTCATTCATCTTATTTTGCGAGTCTCTTGGCTCAGCGCGTTTGATCTCAACCTGTAAGCACAGTTACACTCGTCAACGATCAAACGGACTCGTTAGCTCTGTCGATGCCTCAAATATTTATGTGGTTATTCGAGATATGAAATTAAAAAAAAAAAAGAAAAAAACAATAATAATTAAATAAATGAAAAAGGAAAAGAAATGATCAAAACTTCCACATCTATTACAAAATAAACATTAAGCTATCTTAGGCATAAAAAACAATATTGCTAATTAAAATTTTACTTGTAAATGATTAAATATGAGCTAATTTACATCTATTACAATGATTCTTATCATATAATAATAACCAAAACTAAAACTAAATGATGTACGTGCACACGTACATCAAAGTATGTGTACACGTACAACAATGAATTAGTGGAAAATCTTAAATCTACTACAATTTAGAGCTTAGGAATATTGTCTTACGTGATGTTTATAATTTAAATACAATTATCTGAATAATCGTCCCTCAACTTAACTTATATAGTGACTAAGTATCTTGAACTTCATAAATGTTTTTACAGCATCATAGCTTGTTTCTTATGTGTAAGTATAAATATAGTCTTTTCGTGCATGTATGCTGTACCTGTTTTCCATTCAAGTTGACAAAGTGCTCTGCAACACAGCGATCCACAGCATCTTCATCCTCGAAGCTGAGAAAGCCAAAGCCTACCATCCAAATGCGACATATTGTATATAAAAAAAACAGTCCGTCGAATATTGTTGGAGGCATATACACAAGATTCCTTTTATATCTTTTTCAAAATCAGAGACACCACCGCCATCGAAAAGTTCTCACGAGTATTCATTATTTCCTTTTGACAGTGACGCAGCGCTAAACTTATATTATTTTTTACTCAGTTTTTAAGACTAAGATTAATCATTGTCAATTCACAAGATACACAAATGTACATCTACAATATAACTTAGAGTATAGCCTGACTCTATGCCTTAAGCTACACTTAAAATTTAAATATGCGCATTATTATATTAATGGATGAAGTCCTTGGTAATCATGCTGAATTTATCAACTTTATATACTTAATTTTGCAATTGAGCTGTTCAATGACCCAAGCAAATCAAGAATTGGCTTAAAATATGCCAAGTGACTTGCTCAAAGAAACTTGCACAGGAAGTTTATAAATTCAAGCATGTTTTGTAAACAATAAAAAATAATAAAAAGTTGATGGGAAAAGCAACGAAACTTATAAGGAAAAAAATGAAACGTTTGTATAAGTGATTTTGAAGTAAAAATCAACGTTCTGTTGACTGATCGATGTATGTATATATAACTTTTCAAAATGACAAGTGTGCTCTTTTTCGTTGGAAAAAAAAGAAGAAAAGAAAGAAAAAAAGAAACAGATGCTCTGAAAGCAAACTGTTCTCACCTCTGGACTTTTTCTTTTCTTGGTCGTACATAATGACGACCTCCATAACTTTTCCAAAGCGCTGGAAGAATGATCTCAAGTCGGTCTCTGTGACGTTGCTGGGCAAACCTCCAAGAAAAACCTTGGGAAAGCCACCAGTTCGTTTGGGTTTCTGAAGCGTACGTGGGTTGCAGGGCTTTGGATCGATCTGCAGAAGGGAAAAATTGGGCATTAGTTAGTGCTAATAAGTTAATCAACTGCTCAAGACAAAAAGAGATAAACGACGCACCGTACGACCATCAAGCTGGTGAGGACCATTTTGGAGCACGAGGCCGACGTTGGAGGGATCACTGAAGGTAACGAAGCCGAATCCACGACTCCGACCAGACTCGCTGTTCTTCATGACTACGCAGTCGATGACCTCCCCATAGCGACTGAAGTAGCGCTGGAGGTTCTCCTGGGTGGTTTCCCAAGAGAGTCCACCGACGAACAATTTTCTAAACAATCAAGTGCAGCGGACCATTGAAATTAGTGGTTTCTCGACGCAAGCTGGTTCTCAGGAAGAACATGTTTCTGCTCGCGTTGCGAATGGTTCGATGCTCACATACACGACGGTAAAGTGAAACCGGTTCGCTCGTACATCGCGCGCTCGCCGCTATTTTTCGACCAAGATTCGGGCGTTGATTCGTCGGTAAATAGCGCGAATTCTCCGAGCGAGCGAGTGAGCGAGCGAGAAAGAGAGAGAAAGAGAATGAGAGTGAGTGAGAGAGAGCGAAAGAGAGAGACGGAGAAACAGAGCAAGAGCGGAAGAAGCAGAGAGAGAGTAAGAGAGTATCCGCGTCACGAAGCAAAGGAACGAAAGCCTAATTATTCCCATGAATTTATCTCCAAACGACGGTTGGCTAGCTGCTTCCTCGTGTTATGCATGTATTTACTCGAACTCGACAACAGCATCGTGGATGCTAGCCAGCAGCACCGGCACGTACCTGCTTTTTCGCCAGCGTGTCTGGGCACGCGTTGATGCGTCCGTTGGTTAAAGCGCAAAAAATGAGCGAGCGAGTATCAAGCGGCACAACATGTAGGCTTTATTTTTGCAAAGCGGTTTGGCCTGGCACGGGCACGGGCACGGGCACGAGGCCACGGACTCGCAGATGACTCGCTACACTCGCAGGTCGTGCAGAGCAAGGGAACGGTGGCCAGGGACCGAAGAATAAATGCCAAGATAGCTTGAACTTACCCCTTTTCATCGTCGTCCATTTCGTTCTTCACTCTCATAATATAACTGTCTGGTAAATGAGCCAGGCGAAGGCTGCTGCTGCTGCTGCTAGCTTCCTTTTGGAAGAGCACACTGCTGCTGCTGCTGCTGTTGCGGAATATGGCGTATAGCGCGCTCTCTGCGTGCGTGCAAGAGAAAGAGAGAGATAGAGAGAGAAAGATAGTTCGAGAGAGACGATGTCTTGGCGGACGAGGCTAATGGCTCCTGCCTCTCAGTGCCTGCACTGTAGCTTGTTGAGCTGGTTGAGCACTTGGCTGATGCTCGTTTGTGCTGCTGGCGGCCGTAGTCGCAACTCGCAGCGAGACGGTTGTGAACGCCGCCGCCGCCGCCAGTAAGCGCTGTCGGCGCCAGCGCGGCCTCGCTTCGTCTCGCTTCCTCCTCCGGTGCTCGGCATGCCCGGCCGACAAAGCACCAATGACCGGGCTGTTCACTATAAACGATAATGGTGGCGAATGGCGTTGCGCGTCACTTCCGACTCCTCGATAACTAAACAGTTTGTGCGGCCGCCGTCGCAGAGTGACTTGCCGAGCTGCACCGTATCCGACTGAGCACGAACTTTTCCGAGTCGAGACGCCACCACTCCGGGCTCTCGTAGGACTGCCACCGCGCTAGTCAAGTATTAGTATTATGCTATCGTTATGTATTGACTGTATCGATCAGCACGTGATAAATACAGCTAGGCGATCGAAGCAATGGTGCGACCTTCATATTTTGCAATATTGTGGATTAGTTAATTTATAAATATGCCATGATAAACCACAATTCAATTACTTTTTTCAAGCAAATATGCATGTTTTTTTTTCAATTCACGCGCGCTCGCCAATTTCCAGAGCATCGCATCGTTCTGAAAAGTGCATCGGAACAAAGAAATCTTTCGGACAACTAAGCGAATGAAATGAAAGCAGAATTATCTGATCTGTTTAATTCGATTCGGACAATATGCAGTTACCTGCTGTAAGCTTGGCGAGCACGATAATCGTAGGTCGTATCCGAAGAAGACTTGGTAAAATGTTTCATTGAATGTAGTTTAATTTCTCAAGTGCTATTGGAGTTAGGATTGGTCGACGTAGGGCTAATTGGGACAAACGTTGCAGCGGTGCGTACGCTGCGGACACAGTTTCCTCTGAAAACAAACGGGTTGCAATAGACTAGTCTTGAAGTTGAAAAGTCGAAGTTGGGAAAGGGAAGATACGAGGGCACAGCGGTGCGTATAACAATGACCAAGAGTTTGGCCGATATACGGCGCGGCGAAAGCTCGTCGGCGGCGACTCGCGGAAGCGCTCGTCCACAGCGATGAGAAGGCGAGCGGCAGAGAGAATTAGGAGGAGATTGTTAAATTGAAGCGAGAGCTGGTTTGGTAACGGGACGCGTCGGGCGGTCCGCGGCGCGGGGGGAGCAGCCAGCTGCGGGGAATACGTGAGTAGCCGGAGCTCATCCGCTCAGTATGCAGCGGGCGATCGGCGCCGCTGCAAGTGAACCGGTCGGTCAAGCGCCGAGCATGCCGGCAGTATGCGCAAGCGACGCGGCAGCCTGAGCAGCGGCCTGCTGGGCCTGGCCGCGGGCCTGTTGCTGGGCCTGCTGCTGCTGGGCCAGCAGCAGCCGCAGCGCCCGCGACCGCAGGCGCGCGCCGGCAACGCGTCCACGCGGCGCGCGCCGCCCGGCCAGGGGCAGCCCGAGGAGGACGAGCAGGGCGGGCTGCTGTACGTGGGCGTGATGACGGCGAGCAAGTACCTGGAGACGCGCGCGCGCGCCGTGCACGAGAGCTGGGCGCGCGAGGTGCCCGGACGCGTGGGCTTCTACTCGTCGGCGGACTCGCGGCCGCCGCGCTCCTACCCGCAGCTGCCGCTGGTAGCCCTGGGCGGCGTGGACGACAGCTACCCCCCGCAGAAGAAGTCCTTCCTGATGCTGCAGCACATGTGGCAGCGCTACGGGCAGCGCTACGAGTGGTTCATGCGCGCCGACGACGACGTGTACGTGCGCATGGACCGGCTGGAGGAGCTGCTGCGCTCGGTGGACGCGCGGCGGCGCGCTCGCTACATCGGCCAGGCGGGTCGCGGCAATAGCCACGAGTTTGGCCTGCTGTCGCTCGAGTACGACGAGAACTTCTGCATGGGCGGGCCCGGGGTGCTGCTGTCGCGCGAGGCGCTGCGCCGCGTGGTGCCGCACATCGGCTACTGCCTGCGCAACCTCTACACGGCCCACGAGGACGTGGAGCTGGGCCGCTGCGTGCGCCGCTTCGCCGGCGTGGCCTGCACCTGGAACTACGAGGTAGGGAGCGCGCGCCGCGGACGCGCCGATGGAGCGCCGATTGAGCGCCGATTGAGCGCGTTTCGGCTTGCAGATGCAGTCCATCCTGTACCACAACGCCAGCGGCCAGCTGGCCTTCACGGGGCGGCTGAAGAGCGCGCAGATCCACCGCGCCATCAGCATGCACCCGGTCAAGAGCGCGCCCCACATGTATCGCCTGCACAACTACGTGCGCGCGCTGCGCCTGCAGGAGCTGCAGCAGCGGAGCCTGGAGCTGCGCGGCGAGGCGGCGGCAGGCCGGCGACCCGCGCCCGCGCGCCCACCGCCGCGTTGGGACCTGGTGGCGCGCTCGCAGTTCAGCCTGGGCGAGAGCAACCCGCGGCGGCGCGTGCGTGGAGACGTGCGCGAGGCCCTGGAGGACGCGACGCGCGAGGTGCTGGCATCCATCAACGCCTGCTCGCGGCAGCGCGGCCGCTTCGTGGAGGAGCGCCGGGCGCTCTACGGCTACCGCGCGATGCGGCCGCAGCGTGGGGCCCTCGCCGTGCTGGACCTGCTGCTCATGTACCGCAAGTACCGCGGGCGCAAGATCAGCCTGCCGGTGCGCCGCCACCTGCATCTGCGCCAGCGCTTCGCCGGTGAGTAACGTGCCCCCCCCCCCCCCCCCCCCCGACGTCTGGACGCCCCGACGCCCTGACACGCGTCGTCTGTTGCAGGCCTGGAGCGGCGGCTGGTGCGCGCGCCGGCGACCGAGCCGCCGGTGCACCTGGTGCTGCCGGTGATGGGCCGCGGCGGCGCGCTGCGGCGCTTCCTCGAGACGCTGGAGCGCGAGTGCCTCGCCGCCGGGGAGGCGGCGCGCCTGATCGTCGTGCAGTACCCGGGCGGCGAGGAGCTGGCCGACCTGGAGGCGCGGCTGGCGCGGCTGCGCGCGCGCTACGGGCCCGAGGCCGCGCGGCTGGTGCGCCCGGGCGGCGAGCGCTTCTCGCGCGCGCGCGCCCTGGAGGCGGGCCTGCGGCTGCTCGCGGCCCCGCAGCTGGCGCTGCTCGTTGACGTGGACATCGAGGTGGGGCGCGGCGCGCTGGCGCGCGCCCGCCGCAACGCGCTGCTCGGCCAGCGCATCTACTTCCCCGTGGTGTTCAGCGAGTTCGCGCCGGAGATGGTGGGCCAGCTGCCGCCCGCGGAGCGCCGGCCGCCCGCACCCGGCGCCGGCTTCTGGCGCCAGTTCGGCTTCGGCATCGTGGCGCTGTACAAGCGCGACTACGAGGCCATCGGCCGCCTCGACCTGGACATCGAGGGCTGGGGCAAGGAGGACGTGGACCTCTACGAGAAGGCCGTCCGCTCGGGCCTGGAGGTGTTCCGCGCGGCGGACCCGCAGCTGCTGCACGTCCACCACGGGGTGCGCTGCGACGCGCGCGAGCTCCAGCCGCGCCAGCTGGGCATGTGCCGGGGCACGCGGGCCGACACGTACGCCTCGAGCCCGCAGCTGGCCGGCCTGCTGTATCGCGAGCCGCGCTACCTGCTGTTCGCCGCCAACGCCAGCGCCCCCAGTGCTTGACGCTCCGCGCCACAGTGCCATCGGCAGATTCGCCGTGCGCGCCCCAGCGGCGGCGCGCCGTTTGTAAGCCGCCGGCAGTCGGCTGCTCGAATAAAGTTGTCTATCGCTATTCCCGAGTGCTCTCCTTGTCCTCGATCCACGTCGCCACCGCGGCCACCCGGGCGCGTCCCGGGCGCGTCCCGGGGCGTCCCGGCGGGAGATCAATTCAAAGCATCAAAGCCTGCGCTGCACTCATATGCCTTTATTCGGCTGCCTGATTCGTGCAGCTCTTGCGTGAGGTTACGCGTATGCGTGTACAGCTAGGTATATGTATAGGCTCGGCGCTCGCGTCATCGCGAGAGCAAAAAGCGCACGAGCCAGTCCTCGCCGGAAGTTTGGTTAGTCGCTGCGGACTCGTCGATGGCCTGCGGGCTGCTGGCCTCGGCGCCGCTGAGCCAATTCTGCAAGCCAAAGTACAGTGGTCATCGGCGCGCCCAAGGGCCGCTGCGAGCATCGGAGCAAGTCGCACAACCAGTCGGTCGTCCCGCTGGCGCGGGGCCTCGTCGTAGTCCAAGTGCGCCGCCAGCAAGTGGCGCGGCGGCTGGCGCGTCCCGTGGAGGATCAGCCTGGCGCTCGTCACCCTGCCCTCGTTGCTCGGCGGCCCAACCTGCGCCAACGGACGTTCGTCAGCCGCCAGACGGAGCACAATTAGCCGGCGCGAGTCGTTACCTCGTCGACGATGTCCAGGAGCCAGGTGCCCCGGGGGTCCTCCGCCCACGTGGCCACCGACATGAAGGTCCACCTGGCGAAGCCCTCGCTCGAGTTGTCGTTGAACCTGGGCCCGAGCAGCCGCACGCTGGTGCCTGGCGGCCGGACAAGCGAACAGCGTCAGGCCCGGGCCGAGGGTCCGCGCGGGCCCGGCGCGCGCTTACCCGTGGGCGCCGTCAGCTGGATCTGCAGCGCGCCGCGCCGGCTGTACTCGAGGCTCGCCTCGAGCTGCACGTGCTCGAGGTAGCGCACCGCGCAGGCGTCCACCTCGAACTGCAGCCTCCGCGGCCGAGCGTAGGCCAGCTGCCGGTCCACCCTGCGAACGGCAATCGGCTGTAGACTGGGCGCGCCCACCGGCCGCGGGACGCTTACGGGGGCGCGAAGCCCAGCTGGCAGACGCTCTTGGGCGGCACGCTCGTCCAGTTGGCGCCGGCGCTGACGAGCGCGTGCGCGTTCATCAGGCCGAAGCCGAAGCGCGGGTTGAACCAGAGGCCGACCGCGTTCTCGAACCAGCCCGGGTTGTCGCTGCGACAGAGAGACGGGCAGAGAGAGAGGGAGAGCGAGAGGGAGAACGCGCGCGCGAGAGGGCGGGAGGGGCAGGGCCGGAGCCGCGGTGTCGGGCTCCGAGCGTCGCGGGCAACGATACCTGAGCGGGCCGTGCTCCGACGAGTAGACGACCAGGTGCTGCACGTCCCTCCAGGTCAGGTTAGCGCTGCGGCGAATGCAAAGTCAAGGTCAAGAGCGAGATCGGCACGACGGGGTGGGGCGGAGCGCATACTTGGCTTGCAGCGCGAGGGCCAGGATACCGGCGGCGAGGGGCGCCGAGGCCGAGGTGCCCGTGTGGCTGGTGGTGCAGCTGTTCTGCAGGTCGGTCGTCACCTGCAACAGAGCCGAGGCGCGCGGTGAGGCCCGAGCCGGCCGCGGCGCGGCGAGGCGGCGGGCGGCGCGACCGACAATCATCTGGTCCTGGTGAGCGCCGCTGCTGTAGGTGGCGGCGAGAGTGGCCGGGCAGATCTCGCCGTACCAGGGGAAGCTGCCGGCCTGCGAGGCCGAGCCGATGGCCAGGGTGTAGACGCTGCCCACGTAGCCGTCGCAGGCGCAGTCGTCGGCCTTGGCGCCGCCGTTGCCCGAGGCCCACACGAAGATGCTGCCCCTGCCGCCGCGGCCCTGCGGAGCAGCGCGCGCGTGAGGGCTCGCCGGCGGCGCGGGCGGCGGCGGGCGCACCCACCTCGGCGGCGCCGCGCTCGAGGGCCTCGGTGGCCAGCCGCCCGGGCGCGTCGAGGCTCCTGCCGTCGTCGGGCGGTCCCCACGAGGCCGTGTAGACGTCGACGATGTCGCGCCGGTAGCTCAGCGCCTCGGCCTCCACGCGGTCGTTGACCACGCCGTCGAGCATCTTGATGCCGCCGACGCTCGCCCCGAAGGCCACGCCGACGCCGCACTTGCCGTTGTCCGCCTCCATGGCGATCTCGCCGGCGCACCTCGTCCCATGGCCGTTGGCTCAACAGGTCAACGAGCGGCGATTAGGCCGAGCTGTACTCACGACAAGCTGCTGCTGGCATGGCGGCGCTACCTGGCTCCTCGTATCGGGGTATGGGGTCGCGGTCCCGCTCGTTCACGTCGTAGCTGATCTCCGGGTCCTGCGAGCAGAGCGGCGGCCCCGTGAGTGGCGCGCTGCCGAGCGACGCGCCGCGCTCACCTACGTAGTTGGCGCGCAGGTCCTCGTGGGTGTACTCGAGGCCGTCGTCGATCACGGCCACGCGCACTCCGCGACCCGTGATGCCCAGGCGGTAAACCGGCAGCACGTTGAGGTCCAGTCTCGGCTGGCGGCGGTCCTGCAGGTACCACTCCTCATCCCAGAGCTCGTCGTTGAAGGCCCGCGGCTGGTAGTCCCGCTTGTGGCGGCGCACCGGGCGCTGCTGGTCCGCCCAGGCGATCTGCGCAACGGCCAATTACTCGCGGCGACCGCCGACGCGGCGAACGGCCTACCTTGGCGCGCCTCCGCAGACGGTTGAAGGCGCGGGCGCTGCCGCGCCTCCTCGAGCGCGGCCCAGCGCTGGTAGTGCTCGCGCGCCACAGGTAGGTGTCCTCGAAGCCCAGCACCTAGGCACACGCGCGCGCCGCAGCACCGGCCACCATCAATCTCCATTTGCAGCCGTCCATTTGTCCACGTCTCGTTGATCGCGCGCCCCCCGCGGCCACCTCGTTCGTCTCAATTACGCCGCCCCGCTTTGCCCGCGCCACCCCGCGCCGCCACGCGCGCACAGCGCTCCGACTCACCGGGCCCAGGTGCTGATAGCCCGATTGGAGGGCCAGCAGCGCGGCCACCTGCGGACCGCCCTCCAGCCGCACCACCCACTCCTCGTTGACGCGCTGCGAGGCGGCGCAGCAGTAGGCCAGCAGCAGCCAGCCCAACCTGCACAACCTGGGGGCAGAGGCGCAGCCGATCGCGCCCGGTTACTCCGTCACTCGGCTGCACGGCTGCCGGAGCGCGCGCTGGCTACCTGTTCATGGCTCGATCGCCCAGCCGGACGCGCCACTGCGAAGCGACTGCAGCTCGGTGCGGCCTTCGCCCTGGCGCCTCGCCGCTCGTCTCTTAAGTGACTGGCGCGCTGTCGCGCGCTCTGTCCGCGCGGAGTCAGCTATTAGCCTGGCTGCCACCCCGATGGTCCGAGGTGGGAGGTGGGGTGGATTGACCTCGAATCCTCGAATTCACTCTCGGCGGCCTCCTTCGCCTCCCAACACACACGGGCGCGCGCTCGCCCCCGCCTCCTCGCCGCCCTGAGCAGGCGTCGCTCGCGAGCGCGTCGTTCGGCTTTCTCGGCAATTTGGGCAGCGAGAATCGATCGGCGGCCGGGTCGGAAGCACCACCGAGCTGCACTCGACGATAGCAGTGGTGCATGCACGCCGGGGCACTCTCGCGCGCCTCCTCCCGTCTCGATCGATCACCGCTTGGCTCGGTGCGCTCGACGTGTCGCGCGCTCGCGCCTAATCTCCTCGGCTAATGTGCAGCTGCAATCAGCCGCTATCAGCTCGCGAGTCCCCGCTCCACGTGCTCCGCGTCGCGCTCTATCTCGCCTCGCTGTGTGTCCGGCCTGCTTCAAGTTCAAGTTGGAAAATCGATGCGGACGAGAGCTCGAGCGGCCCTCGCTGATAGCCGCGATAGGGAGCGGGCGTACGGGCACCGCCAGCCACCTCCGGTGGTTGGCCCCAATTCGGAGGATCGTCCGGGCTCGTGAGCCCCGATGTATTGCGTGCGACGCCAGGTCCGATCCTCGAACGCGCACGCATTCGTTTGTCGCGAGGAGCATTTCGCCTACAAGGTGTACGTGCGACGTGACGATCGGCCACCTCCGTTTCAACGCGCGGTCACCGGTGTGCGTCACTCTAATGAGTCACAGGCTGCCCAATGACAAAGGCTAGCCGTTCATCGAGCAAGCGGAATTCGCATCTGAAGGCTCTCTTCTCCGCGACTCGAGGCTCGGTCCAACGAACAAGCGCGCGTCAGTGGCCGAGGTCGGGAATAAGAAAATAGGTTCCAGAGAAAATAGGTAAGAATCGCTCCGCTGACGCGCGCTGCGAGGCACGAGCAGTGTCATGGTGGCTGCCGCTCCGACTCGGCGAAGGAGCCGAGCTCTCGCTGGAGCGCGGCTGGAAAAGCGCCGAGTGCCGGAAGGCTCGCGAGTAGGGGCAGGCGGAACAAGGGCGCCAGAGCCGTAGAGGGGTGGCTGGATCGCCGTAGCCGGATGTGCGCGGGCGCGCCGCCGCCGCCGCCGCCGCCGCCGCCGCCGGCCCCAGTCTCCGCTCCGGCAGCGCCAGTGCAGCAGCGAGCCAGAGCCGGCCAAGCCCGCGTGCGCGGATCAGTTGGAGATGCCCGCAGCGCCCACGGTCAGTCTCGTGGGCGCGACGCGCGAGCTCCGACGAGCGGGACCAGTCCCCCGCTCTCCTCGCGGCCGCTGGCCCCCCAGCCGTCGCCTCGTCACGAGCACGCAAAGCTGCACTGCCGAGTGCAGCGGCCTCGGCTCTCGCGCGTGCCTGCCCCGCCGCCGCCGCCTGCGCCGCTGCGTTAAATTTTCCCACCTCGTGGCGCTCGCAAACTCTCTGCCCGACGGTGGCCGCTAGATTGCGCGAGCACGTGCGCGTCCACTCGACGCATCGCTTTTGCGATTTCTCGGGCCATGGCTCGGATAAGCAGCCAGGGGCCGCTAATTAAACAGCAGTAGGGGACAACATCGATCGGTCGAAGGACACCGGCTAGTCGCGTGGCTCTAATGACGTTCGGCTTTCGGCTAAGACCGACCTTGCCGTGCCAATTGTCCGCAGAAGTCACTTGTCCTCTCGGACGGTCTGCGAATGCGACCTGTCTGGGTCGCGTATCGAAGGTCCTCTAGCACCAGGCTTCACCTGTGGTTTGTCGTTGTTTGTCGGCAGATCGACAAGAGCGCCCCTATCGCGAACCATCAGGTGCCCCGGCTGTCGGGTGGAAGAACTGCACTGCGTCGATTCGCTGCCGCAGCTAGTGGAAAGTGTCGCGCGGCGAATGGGCCGCTAGAGGAGAGGTACTGCAGCTGTTGAACGAGTGAGCTGCTTCGTTGCGAGTTGCATGCGGGAGTCGGGAGTCGGGGGTCGGGGGTCGGGCGCCGAGAGCCGAGCGAAGATGCCGCGGACAGAGCCGTCGTCGCTGCCGAGGCCGCCGCTGCCGTCGCTGCCGCTGCTGCTGCTTCTGCTGCTGCTGAATCTGCAGGCGTGGCTAGCCGACTTGCCGCCAGTCGCCTCGGCGGCCGGCTACGCATTGCTCGTGCCCAGCGCTAGGAGCTCAGGTGAGTGCAGCTTCGGCCGCCGCGACAAAGCTGCGCCGCGTTTGCCGCCCGTTAGGCGCTCTATCCATTATGAACAGGCGCGCATTAGCCAATAAATGATACGCAGCCCGAGGATCTGTCCATTGCTCGTTATTACCGACTTGTTTTCTGATTAGCGACCACTTGTTGTGCGTCCGCTTAACAAACGCTGCATTATGACCTCGCTCGAGTCCTCGTCGTATACGGACAATTTGCAACGGTCAGGCTTCCGGCGACGAGTCTTTCGGCCACGCGTACTTCAGTCGAGAATCGCTTGCCAAGACATAGGCACATTGATTGCGAGGAGAGGTTTTCACGCGAATAACTAGGACAGACATTTTTGACACAATGGTTATTTATTGTAAAGGCACACAGCGCGCGCCAAGACTCGGCTACTCGGTCGAGTACTTTGGATTTTTCATGCAGAACAGCGCGCTCTCGACATAGTTCACTATTTTCACTGTGGCAATCGTTTGTAAGCTGACGAGGAGTATGCTTGAAATGTAAAATTTCGCGGCAAAGTGCCTTGCTTCGATAGGCTATATCTTTCACGACGAGAGCAAAGGCGCGTAAGGAGAGTGCAGACAGAGGCGATCCGAAGGACCGAGGCCGCTAGGCGATATCGTAGCACAGGCGGAGACCGATCGCGCGATCGCCGCGTTAGCGCGAGGAGGCACCCGAAGCGACCGGCCGAGCCTGGCGACATCCTCGCGTCTGCCGCCGTGCTCTGGTTCCGCGGCAAGCGCGTCGCTCGCCGACACTGCTGACGTGGGGATGGCCGCAGGGGGCTCGAGCCCGGCGAGCAGCAACGGGCCAACGAGGCCCCCCCACTTCGACGACGCCTCGGCGCGCAACGTCACCGTCGTCGTCGGCCAGAGCGCCGAGCTGAGCTGCCACGTGAAGCAGCCGGCGGACCGCACGGTAAGTGAGCCCGGTGGCACGTTCCCAGCCCAGCAGCTCGGAAGCTCGGCGGAGCACGCGGCCGTTGCAGGTGTCGTGGATGCGCCAGCGCGACCTGCACATCCTGACCTCGTCGGTGCACACGTACACCGGGGACGCGAGGTTCTCGGCTAGGAACCCCGAGGGCACGGACGAGTGGCGACTAAGGATCGGCCAGGTGCAGTCGCGCGACGCCGGCGTCTACGAATGCCAGATCAACACCGAGCCCAAGCTCAGCCTGGCCTTCGCGCTGCGCGTGGAGGGTAAGCGGCGCCGCCGCAGAGGCGCTCGCGCGCTGCTCACCGGCCTCCTCTCGTGTTCCAGCGGCCCAGGCGACTATTCGCGAACCCGCGGACGTGTACGCGAAGGAAGGCAGCACCATCAGCCTGAGCTGCGCGGTCAACGTGCGGAGTTCGCCGCCGAGCAGCGTGGCCTGGCACCGGGGCTCCGCCGTGCTGGACTTCGACAGCGCCAGGTAGGCACGCGCCCGCCTCTGCCGGTGCCGCGGCAGCCGCTCATTCGCGCGCATGCCCCGCAGGGGCGGCATCTCCCTCGAGACGGAGCAGACGGAGGCCGGCACCACGAGCAAGCTGCTGCTGACGCGGGCCCGGCTCGACGACAGCGGCAACTACAGCTGCGTGCCTAGCAACGCCAAGCCCGCCTCGGTCGCGGTGCACGTGCTCGACGGTCGGTCGAGCGGGTCGAGCGCGCCCGCGGTCCGCCAGCTCGCCAGTCGCCACTCGCTGCAACTCTGCGTCTGCTTTGCTTGTTTCCGGGCAGGCGAGCCGCCGGCGGCGTGGCAGCGCGGCCGCGCGGCCCGGGCCCGCGCCTCCCTCCTGCTGGTGGCTGCGCTCGTACTCGCGGCCGCGGCCGTGCCGAGTGCGAGCCGGGGGCCTCGCGCGGGTCCGCAACGACGAGCTCCAACGTGCTCGGCGCCGCAGGCAAGCGTGGCGACAGGGCCGAGAGGCGGCGAGGACGAAGGCGCCGGCGCGTCAAGCCACCGCCGAGCGTCCGACCACCCTCGCGGATGCGCGGCGGCCGAGGACCGGAGCTGCAGCGGCGGCAGCAGTAGCACGCGGCCGCCAGTGGCAGAGCAGCAGCAGCAGCAGCAGCAGCAGTGACGCCGGCGGGAGCAGCCGCTCCGAGGCGGCGGCGCGGCTCGCCGGCCGCGGCACCCCGGGCGGCCCGGAGTCCGGCTCCTGCACGCGCAGCAGCACGCTGTCCAGCCTGCCCGCGGCCGGCTGGCAGGAGTAGTTGCCCGCGTCGGCGTCCGTCACGTTGGCGAGCGTGGCCTCGCTGAGCGTCCGCGCCAAGCCCGCGGCCGTGCTCACGCCGACGGCCCCGCCCGGCGCGAGCGGCCGGCCGTCCCGCAGCCACTGCACCGCCTCGACGGGCCGCTCCCGGCGGGGCGCGCTCACGAGGCAGCGGAGGCTGACGCTCGAGCCGCGCTGCACGCGCCGCTCCCGGGGACCCGCTATGGCGGCCCGCGGCTCCGGTGCCTGCCCCACTCCGCTGCGCTGCGGCGACGGCTCGTCCTGGCTGTCGACCGGCGGCGGCGGCGGCGAGTCTGCAACGAGCGACTTACGGCTGACGGCTGGCGCGGCTGGGATGCGGCCAAACCGCGGACACCCTTACCCCTGACGCTCAGCTGCACGCGGCGCATCGCCTTGGGCTCGCTGTTGACCTGGCACTCGTAGGCGCCGGCGTCGGAGCCGCGCAGTCGCTCGAGCCGCAGCGTCCAGGCGTCGCTGCCCGCCGGATGCTGCAGCCGGAAGCGCGCGTCCGAGCTGAAGCTCAGCTCGCCCGAGCTGAGGATGTGCAGGTCGCGACCGCGCATCCAGGACACCTGCGGGTCGAGCGCCCGGTCAGACCTGCTGGCTAGCTACCGCCGACTACGGGCTCTGCATACCCACCAGTCTGTCGCCGAGGTTGCGCACCCGGCACGGTAGATAGACCGTCTGGCCTTCGAAGCCCGAGACCCGCGAGGCGGTCTGCTCGAAGAGCGGCGGCGCCTCCTCGGCGCGCCTTGGTGCTGCGACGCACAGTGCCGCGAGCGCGCAGCGGAGGAGCAGCGTCGGCCGCAGCCAAACGGCGCCGGTAGGCGGCATGTCCGCGCTGCGCCGATCAGCCGAGCGCCGGCCGACGATCCGCGAGGCTGCGGTCGTCGCGCGCTCACCACCGATCGGCCTGATCCTCGAACGCGTCCGATCGCGGGCGTCGCTGCCGAGCGGAGTGTTGGAAGCTGCGCGCTGCGAGGGGCCGCGCACCGCACTGCCGAGTGCCGCGCGCGTCGCACAGCCGGGTAGCTCGCGCCTCGCGGCGGCGGATGCGTCTTGCTCGTCTTCGGCTCCTACTACTCGGATTCCCTTTTCAATTGTGCGGCAGCTGACACGTGAGCTCGTGAGCCGCTTCGTCCGGTAATCGAATACCGAGTCCCGCGGCGCCGAACCGAGTCGGCTCCTGGCTGCAGGCCACCTATTTATAGCTTGCGGCGTCCTCCTTGCACAGACGACTGCGCCTCGTCGTTTGTCACTCCGCCCCGCGGCAGACCGGCCCTGCTTGCGGCGACTGCGCCTCGATGGAGCTGCCCAGCTGGGCGTCCATGTCTCATTCACGCTCTCCCTCCACGATCGCGGGTCGACGCTTTCCGCATCGAATCACGGAAAAATCCAAGCGGCTCGCGCCTGAATGCAGTCCCGTGCCCGTCGTAGCAGTCAGCTCGTCCGAAGCGGTGGCGGTGTCGAGTGCCTATAGAGATGTGTACGAATAGCATTTACGCGGACTTTTCAAAGCTTGCGGCCGCTCGGTCGATTTCACCGACACTGCGCCGAATAGCTCGGCAGCTGCCGGCTCACAGATTATGATCGCGATTAGCAGACTGCTATTCAACTGTCCATTAAAGAACCATCGCATGAGTATTGCATCGTTGCCTTAGATGTGACGAATTCTTCTGTGCCATTAATATGCACAAAATAGATTGTCTGTCAATAGTTTATATACAATTTTTATCTCTGTTAGTTTGAATAATCTGGCATTGATTCTTCATTATAGACAGTCAGTTGACAACACTTACACAAAGTCTGTTTATTTTCTCCTATCCATAATCCACATCACAAATTTCCAATTACACGGAATAACTTCTACGCTTAAAACTTTTCCTAAAAGTTGTACTTATATTTTTTCATCGCGTTATTCTGCGAATTAATACAAATTAATTTCTGTCAATATGTTGAAAATACGATAAAACTTTCTATCAGCATTGTAATTGATTACGAGTTTTCAAATGTCTCGAGTAAGCCCATAGTCGTACGTGACGTGACTAAAAACAAAACTTTAAACCATTACTACTATTCCGATGTTTAGCTGTAACACGATCAATGTTTTTGAAATCTAATAGGATTATTTAAATTTGTCTGACAAATGAACGATTTTCAAAGTTAATGTGTACAATAAATGATCGATCATTAGCAATGTTTGCAGAAAATCATTGTTAACATCGCTTTACCCGATCACTAATTCATGATCTACTAGTGGACCAATTTTCTTATTCCTAAGAAAAATTTATTGACAATCAAAATCCAAGTCGAAAACAATTTCTTGACGAATATTCTATAAATATATAACGCGAAGGATTATAAAGTAGAAACATGGGAGTCCTTCAGAATTTTACATTTGCTTTGATACTGCTCAAATAATCAAAAGGCTGTATTATCGCTTAGTCAAACCTACGTACACGAATAAAATTTAGGTATCGAGCAAGACAATAATTGTGCATATATATATATATATATATATATATATATATACTTATTAATGCACTGTGTGATACTATTACACACTTTATTTATATATTATAAAAATCAAAGGGTAAAAAATAACTTATAAGTTACAAATAATTGTCGAAAAGACACTTCAACTTCGAGGTTTTTATGTAAAAAATAGACCGAATGAAAAAGAAAACTTTGTTTCCCTACAAAGTCGTTCCAACCATGTGAGAGAGACAACATTCGTTTACGACGAATTTCTCTTTGTTCTAAGTGTAGAGATGCGCGCGCGCGCACGTGTGTATCTGTACATGCATGCACGCATAAAAAACAAATGAGGCAAGGTCGTTCATCGACTTAACAACACGTGTTACGCCATTTTAAGGTTACAAGTGCGAATATCGATAACTTCTGGTTACGCCGATAATAAATCTAAATCTTTTCAAAAGTGCCGATTTTCACTCTTTCTCTTTTTCTCTTTCTTAGGTAGTACAGTAGACATAAGCAATTCAGCAGAATATAGTGTTGTCATGAGTTGCGTGATGCATGTATGTGTGCATGTGTGCATATGTGCGCGCGGCCTGCCGAAATGCTAATGTTGCCTTGGTCGCCATTCTTCGTTCAACTGTAGCAGAGTAAGCGAGGAATTTCAATAAGTTTGCAATTACACCATTTGTTTCTGATCACTGACACTTTTTCGATAAGTATTTACGAGTTCCTATTGTTCTCAAGATTAGCGGTAAGTTTATTGTAACTCATTCATATTTGTTTCTTTTATCAATGACTTGATAGGTTACAAAGACATGGAATTCCATGGAATTTTGCCAGCTCCTATCTGATGTTGCCTTTACAATTGTCAGTTATTTGTCATAAGCAATTCATTTCTGTGTTTATTCTCGAGATTCTTAATAATAGTTGTTTTCAGTCATCCACCTTATCTTGTTTTTTAAAATGTACTTTTCACGACCGGCTGTACAAATCACTTAAGTTTATTTAGTTTACGATTCTTTTGTTGCAAATTTTCATGTTGCCTTACTCAACAAATAATTATCTAACTTTTCATAAAATTTAGAGGTATTTTTTAATAACCAGAATTATTAACATTTCTAGGAAGTCTTATCTTTGGTATGTAAAATAAAAAGCGAAGGAAGTGTGCAGCCTATGGCTGAGTTTGTGCCATAAAACAAGACTATTACATCAAAACCAAAATGATTAAGGAAAACGAGCCTTTTTGGTTTCTTGTTACACATGTAGAGATAGAGGGACAGTATTTAAAAATATGGGCCCAGACAGAGGAAAGGGTCATTCAATCTGTGAACAAACTGCTCATGACTCTACGAGATCAATTTGATTATTGTCAAACCAACATAGTATCTCCTAACAGTGTCATGCCACACACTCAGTGCTGTGCTAGAGGTCCTAATAATGAATTCTCTAGAGCCAAAATTCTTGGCTTTCGCTCAGATGGTATGGTGTTTGTTCAGTTTGTTGACTATGGAAATGTAACTCACGTACCCATTCACAACATCAGACTACTGGATAACTTGCCTGGAGCTGAGTATCTATTCTCTGTACCTCCTTCAGCAACTCCGTTTATATTAGCAGATGTTATGCCTATTGGTGGTGCTTGGATGCAAGAAGTTGTTAAACAAATTCGTTCTTTCCTTGTTAATAACAAGTTTCAAGGAGTTTACAGAGAAATCAATGGCTGTAAAATAATTAAATTCAATATGATGAATGATGATTTTGGTACTTTATTGGTTAACAGAAATATGGCTTTATCCAGGTACTTAAATATTAATAAATTCAATATTAATTTTGTTTATTACTTTGATTTTCAAATTTTTTAGTTCATCCTGTGTAAATAACACCCAACCAACTTCACCAGTACAAAATCTAAGGATGCCTCATCAGGTAAGGCATTCAACACAAGAGAATTGGAGAGTCCCTGCAGTGCAACAAACGCTCCCTCAAAAAGTTGTAAAAACCAACTCATTCAAAGCCATCCAATTAGAAATAGGCTCTGTTCATGATGTCCAAGTTTCTTATGTAGATGAAGGTCCTTGTAAGTTCTCTGTACAGCTATTGGAGGCAATACCCTATTTGGAAGCCATGATGAAGTCCATCAATTCCAGGCCTCACATTGCTCTGCAAGAGTCACCTATTGCAGGAACTGTATGTCTAGGACAACAGATACACCCACAGAGACTTTGTAGGGTTGTACTCAATTCACCTGGTGATACTTCTTGCAAGGTATTACTTCACATTATTTGTTAATCTTAACTTTTGATTGATAAGCTTATTTTCAATAGGTTTATTATGCTGATTATGGACATCACGAAATTTTACCATTTTCTAGTTTATATCAGATACCGGATGAGTTTTTTGTGCCAAATATATTTTCAATAAGATTTACTTTGAATGGTATTAGTAATTGGACTGTATCTCACGAAATGAAAGACTATTTTGGTGGTTTGGTAGCTAACAAAAATTTAAAATTAAGAGTTTGCAAAGGTCCTCTGTCACCTCTTACCCAGTATTGTGATTTATATTTGAATGGAAAAAATGTTAGGGATATTTTGAGCGAAGTGTTTCCAGAGTCATGTGAACTTTTCTATCCAGAGCCAAAACAGCTACAATTAGGAAGTAAAGAAACTGTAATGGTGCCTTTTGTTGAATCAACTGCCAAATTTTTTGTTCAAATTGAAAGTGATGAAAAGCTTTTGGATGACATTATGCAACAAATTGAACAAGCTTCTAGAACAGCTGCGACACTGTCACATGCACAAATGCGTAAAGATATGCCATGCATTGCTCTATATGAGGATAAAAAATGGTAAGTTATAAAGTTTTTTTTCCCTTTTTTTATCTCCTTGTTACTAATGTAAGTAAATGTTCTTTCAGGTACAGAGCTTCCATACTCAATATTATTGATGATACCAAAGTTTTAGTGTTCTATGTTGACTATGGTAATGAGGAAAATGTGTTGGTGAGCAATTTGAGATCAATACCTTCTCATTTAGTCAATAGTCTTCCAAAACAAGCCATTCAGTGCTGCCTGAAAGGATTTCAATTTGAATCAGCAAATCAAGAATTGATTAAAAAGTTTGAAAATTTAGTTCTAGAGGAACGTATGATATTATTTGCCCATGACTATGTCAATGGTAGTTATCTCGTAAATTTACATGATGCTAAATACATAAGTGATCCCATGGCAGATATTGGCATAAAGTTAAGGGGTATGGAACCGTTGCAGAATCAAGTGTATGTTAGAAACCAAGAATCATTTGAAAAATGTCCTGCTCAAAATCAAAGGTACTTAAATCATTTTTGAGATTATGACTATTTAAAATATGAAAATAATTTTTATGTGACAAAATAATTACCCATTATGCAAATTGGTGACCAGAGTTCTAATCAATTTTATAACAAAAAGTGACCTAATCACTTTCATCTTAGGTCAGAAGAGAAGTCTCAATTTGTTAAGAAATCAAGAGATAAGAATACAAACGTAAAACATAATACATTGCAAGATAAGAACATTGCTTATCAATATGCTTTTATGAGGGAACACCATATACTCTATAATCTTACATTTAAAACATGCTTAATAATATTTGTGCTCTACCCTTAGTAATAACACAGTAATAACAATATGAAATTGTTAATAAGTATATTAAAATATTTGCCCAACAAATTTTTATTTAAAAAAAGTATATATTATTCATTTCCTAAAAAGTTTGCTGATTATTTCTATTCATATTATAAATATGTCATAGTATGATCAACAAAATTCATATGGTACTGTGCCATAGTTTTCTTGCAGCAATGAAGAGTCAGACTCGTTTTTTCTCAAAATTAATACAATTGTTCCTAATCTAATAACCTCAGATAAACAATTCATAATTGAAAAATAAGTTTTATGAAGTTAATTATAGTTTCAAGCTCAATTGCATCAAATTGTAGATCCCGGAAGTACATTATGAGATTTTTCATAAAATTTGATTTAAGATGAAGATGAAAGAATTTGCTTTTTACTTAATTAAAAGTTTTATAACTCTTAATATTGTACTTCAAGGTTTTGGTTAACATCAGCTTGTGGCTTGAAACACTATTAAAATACGTGTTGGAATATTAATTAAAAGCATTGATATTTTTCAGTAGTAACTGGACTGGTACTGGCAACTGGAACAAAGACAAAGAGTCAGGTATAATTAAAAAAATTAGCAGTTTTGATGAAAATTCCAAATCAAAGTTCCGTAAAGACAATGAAAACGAACAGCGACACGACAACCGATTCCGTAGAGAAAATTCAGATTATCAAAGCGGAACGTCAAGTAATCAATTTGGCAAAGAGGATAGAAAAATCGACAGATTTGATCAAAATGATAAATACGGAAAGCAGCAGACTGATGTTTCTCGGTTTCCCGGTACAAAAGACTATCCTAGTAGCGATCGATTCAACCGAAGTAATGAACGTAATAGCTATGAATCAAATAGAATAGGAAAAGAAATACAAAATAACAGAGGTAACGTTAACTCTCGCCTAGACAGAAATTACGGATCTGACAAAGACTCCGATACTTCTTCAAAAAGTGGTGGAAAACGTAACAGCCGAAAAGAAGATCAGCGAATTCGAGATTCACCATCAAATCGCAATAGAGTCGGAAGATGGGAAAACGATCACCGCAGTAATGATGGCCCACGCAATGGCTACTCAAGTATAATCTTTCACTAATATTTAAATCACTTTACAATTTCGAAGTAAATATAAAAATTTTCATTTTTCAGATCTCAAAAATTGCGATAAGTCAAAATCGCCAAAAGACAGTCGTATCACAAAGCAGGAAATGGTATAATTTTTAATATGCAATTATCGTTTGCTCTTTTCGTCTGATCACTGATAATATTTGATTTATATAGGTGAAGATGTCCGAGATCAAACCTGCTCCTAAAATATCTAGCCAAATACCGCCGCCTAATATCACTGTTGGAGCGGTGAAAAATTGCATAATGGTCTATTATAACAATCCAAACAGTTTTTACGTACAGTTGTACCCAGACAACAAAGAGTTGAACCTTGTCATGGAAAAAATTTATTCCACCTATGATAAAGGAGGCAAGATCATTCCGTCGTTACATATCAAAGAAGGACTGCATTGCATTGCACAATGGCAAAATGATGAGCAATGGTATCGAGCTGTTGTAAAAAGTGTTGATGCTTTATCGACTGTCACTGTGTTTTTCATTGACTACGGCAATCTCGAAACAATTAGTTTTGATAAAATTAAAGAAATCCAACCGGAATTGGTCAAGTTGCCGGCTCAAGCTATTCTTTGCAAAATGTTCTGTCCTGGCAAGTCTGATTGGAGTAAAAAAGAGTCTGATCAATTGGCTAGTGTTATCGATGATAAATTGTTAGAAGCCGAATTCATTGCTATGGAACAGGGAGTCTATCAAGTAATATTGAAGGACCTCAAATCGAATGAGTGTCTCAATGACGCTTTTACGAACGGCATTGATTTGCGAAAAGAAAAAGAATTTTTACGTGATAAAGCGAGAAACTTTGCCAGAGGGGGGGATTACGTATCTCCAGAGTATGCTTCCTTAAGCGACAAGTGGTTGGAGAATAAAGTTGAATTTGGTAAAACTTACAGCGTTAGCCAGGCCTATTTTCTCAACCCACAAAATGTTTACTTACATCTTCAGAATCAACAGAAAGAATTTCGAGATATGATGAACGAAATGCAATTGGTTTACGCAAAGCGACAGTCAATTTCAAAACCACTGGAGGTAATATTAATTCTCTCTTTCGTGGTCACGGTTAGGAACGAGTGGATTTACAAACACTCAATGTTAATTTATTTTTTCTAGATTGGAGCATCCGTCATTGCTGTTCTTCCCGAAGATGGAGTACTATACAGAGCCACTGTTGTAGAGCTGAATAAACCACGAGGGCCTGTAGTTCAATATATCGATTACGGCGATCGAGCTATGGTAGATCTTCGCAAAATTTACCCCGTTGAAAAGAAATACATGGTCTTACCGAAGCAAGCTCTATATTGTAGTTTAAAAAATATTGCTCCAATCTTGGGATCCAATTGGTCAAACGCTACGGAGATAAGCAAATTTTTTAACGCTGAAATATATGACTGTATCTTTCATGAGCTACAAAATGACCAATACTTGATTTCTTTGAATGTTAATGGTGTCGATATTAGCAATGCCTTGGTACAGAATGGTTTGGCTATGTTCTCATCACGAGCATCAGAAGGTAATCACGTATAGAAAAGCTTTTGTAATTTTTACGTTACAAATATTTTATTTTTTAGCTAGAACAGTGATTCAAGTTGAAGAAGTGCCTAAAGTAGATGTCAATTTACTCGAAGGTCAAACTTTGCATGTGAAAGTATCAAACGTCGAAGGCGTTAATAAATTCCACGTTCAATTTTACACAGCCAAAGCTTGTCAGATAAATGTTGATAGTTATATGGCATCCAAAGATCCACAGGTTTGTTTTTTGTGATCTTTATTTTGTTAGCATAACCATTATATAAATTAAAAAATGCTTAATATAAATTGGCATCGGCAAAAGTAGAATGTTATACATACTAAGGTAGCTCGTGCAATTTGCTAATGTTAGGTGATGCCAGGCCTGTTGTCCCACGAAGTTTGCCTGGGTGCAGGCTGTCTCGTTAATAGTAAAGGAAAATGGAAACGTGGTGTAGTTATTAAGTTTACAAAGTCATACTATGATATACGATTAATTGATACCGGAGAACACGAGAGAGTAATTTTAAATAGCGTGAGTTGCTCAAAAAAATGCAAGTAGCATGTTTCAATTTGGTTTATCGGCTGTACTCATTAAAATCGCCGAATAAATCAGAGATCCTTAATGTTAACTGCTTACTTCCAATCGTTTATAACAATATCATATAACACGGCATGCGCACGTTTCAAATTCGCAGGTTTCATTTGTCTATTAATCACACAGAAATCAAATACGTATATAATGAATTTTTAACTGACTTATGAACTAACGAATTGATTACTAAATATGACAATGATCTTGAACGTCTAACCATGAAAATTAATGGAATATCTTGAATTTGGCTGTTATACAAAATATCGTTACAGGGTAGTCACTTTGTTTAATGTCGGTCAACTTTTTTAACACTATATCGGAATTAATTTGTACATATTTTAATAGAACTTTTAACATGTTTAGATGCTTAAGTTACCTGGACAGTTGGCAGTCATGCAGAATCAAGCTGTTGAGTGCAGTCTGTTCGATGTTCCACTTTCTTCAAAGACCGATGACATGCTCAAAAGTTTAATCAACGGAAAGGACGTCAAAATTTTTGTTGAGAAAGTAGAGCGTAACAGGTAATTTGTCAATAAAAAATAACGAAGTTCTGATGGTTTTGATTGCTTGATTGCTTTTACAGGCTCATAGTCCGTTTGTTTGACATAAACGGCAACAAGATCAAAATAGTTGGTTCTCAAAACATCGAAAGAATAAATCCAATTTGCAATATGCCGATACTAAGCTCAACCCATGATGTTATCGTAACCAACATCAAAAACTCGAGTTGTGTGTGGCTACAACGAACGACGGATGCACCAATGGAAAAACAACTTTTGGACGACATGTACGACTACTATTCCAAGGTGAAAGTTCAGGCCATGGCAATTGAAAAAGAACTATTTGCTGGACTTTGGATCGACGGAAACTGGTATCGCATGATCGTTTTGGAAATGAGAGGCTCGGACGAAGTAAAAGTACAACTGATTGATTATGGAGATACGGGTTATATTTTAGCGTCAGATCTACGAACTCTAGATGACCGCTTTTATCTACCGCATCAGTTAGCCGTCAGGGTGTCGCTAAGTGTGACTTTGTCGGGCAGCAATGACAGTCAAATCGAGGTCCTGGAGCCGATGGTCAAGGACAAGAAGCTGTCTGCGACATTCTATAATGTTAATCGCAAGTGGATTGTCGAGTTGAATGAAGCCGGCGAAAAATTGAGTGACAAGCTGAAGATATTGAACTTGGTGAAGGAAACCACGATAACACCGTTCGAGCACATAGAAGCCAGCGAAATGGTAGTAGGTGAAAGATACAAGGTGATAGCCAGTCACGTTGACGCGCCCAACTCGATATGGCTGCAGCGCAAGGACGCAGTTGAGGCTTTGTATGATCTGCACGATCGGATGCAGGAAGTAGCTGCAGCGTGTCCAAACTATGAGGGTATTCCCGAGGAGAAATCGCTCTGCTTAGTCATGTACTCTCTGGACGGCTGCTGGTACAGAGCCGAAGTGATCGACGCCGACGCCGAAATAACCACCGTTCGCTTCATTGATTATGGCAACACCGACGTCATAGACAGTAGCACAGGTCGCGTCAAGCAACTGCCGGATAAATGGAAATCAATCGAGAGGTACGCTATACCGTGCAAACTCGACGTAGTTCCGACGGGTGTCGCTGACGAGTGGTCCGAGGAGAGCTGTGCACGAATCAAACACCTTACCTTAGCGGACGTCAGCGAGCTCACGGCTTTAATAATCGGCGACAAGGCCCCCATGCGTGTCGACTTATTCCTTGGCGACAAGAGCATTTGTGAGCTGCTCGTTGTCGAGGGGCTTGCGGCCTACGTTAAGAGTTCCGACGAACTGGAGGAGGAACTGGAAGTCGTCGAGGAAGAACCATTCGATCCGAGATCTGCCTTCGTCAGCCATTTTGTCTCAGTGGACGAGTTTTGGGTGCAGGAGGATGCCAAAGTCAAGGACTTGGAAATGGTCGCCGACAGGCTGGTCATGGCCAAGATGTTCGCACCCCTGCAGCAGGTCGAGGAAGGTCTCATTTGCATTGCTCACTACCCAGAGGATAATCAGTATTATAGAGCAATTGTTTTGTCTCATGATGGCAAAAAGACTAGGGTCAACTACCTCGATTACGGTAATTCGGCAACGACTGAGGATATTAGAGCCATTCCGCAAGACTTGGCCGACATACCACCGCTCTCGAAGAAATGCTGCTTGGCTAAGCCGGATGGTGTGAAACAATGGCCCGACGGCGTTAACGCTGAGTTCGATAACCTGGCGGCCAACGGCGCTACTGTCTTCATTTTAGACGTTATCGCGACAGAAGGCGAGACTTTTCTCGTAAGGATGACGCATGGTTCTAAGGACGTAGCGATCGAGCTTCTGGAGCTGTGCGCTAAGCCTTCTTACGAAGACGAAGGTACCATCATTCACGACGTTAAAGATATCTCGATAAAGGAACGCCCGACGCCAATAGGCGAGGAAATTACCCCGAACCTCTGCAAAATTAGTTGCATGTTATTATCACCAATACAATTCTGGATTCAGAAAAGGACCGATTACCTGAAGATCAATTACGTAAAGAAAGAACTCGCCGATTGGGAAGTATTAGCGTCTGCCAAGGATGTGAATGAAGTGGGAAAAATTTTTGCCGTAAGAGATTTTGAGAACAATCCACAGTGCTTTCGTTGCAAGATTTTAACGAATACTGACGCCGGCTTAGAGCTCTTGCTCATCGACTTGGGCGTTTCAATATCTGTGCACTCGGATACGATGTTACGTGAATTGCCAGATGATCTGAAGCACATTCCTGCTTTGGCTGTGCATTGTACTCTAACGATGCCAGAAGGATTAGAGAAATGGCCTGACAGCGCTTGTGAAAAATTCAATGATCTAACTGCAAATAACCAAACAGAATTCGGGTTTGAAATACTCGAACCTAGTGGCTTGGAGCAGCCTTTGCCAGTAGTGCTGTATTACAAGGATCAAAATGTCGCTGATTTGCTATTGTCCAGTTCTAATGAAAATTTTCCTAATGATAAGTCGAATTTAATCGCTGGAATAACCACAAATAAAGGCATGGATCATCAAAATATCTCGAGTGACAGTGCCGTTCACTCCGAAAAAGAGCAATATTTCTCTGAAGACACACATGCACAAGAAAACGATGTTACAGAAAACGTTAAGCCCGAAACTGCGATTCATCTGACAATTAGAGAGAACGATTCTGATAAAGGAGAAATTCCATCTCAGGAAGATGACCTATCTTATCAAGAAAAAATTGTACTTGACGAGCTTGAAACTACGGTAGTTCAAGAACAGCATGACGACGATGAGCCAAAAGGCTTAGCTGATCTAGAAGAAAAAATCGTTCCAGGGTCTATTTCTCGCGGTTTATCTGTCGAAGAAATTGCTAGGTACAGTCCAGTCCCCTTGCACTCGTGTCCTGAGGAGAAAATTGTCCCTGGAAGTATCAACAAAGGTTATACTTTTGAAGATCCCGGAAGTGTTTCTTTTCAAGAAGATAAACAGTTTGACACAGTTGTGATAGCCCCTGATGCAAAAGACTTTGAAAGTAAAAAGCTCCCACAATTGGTTAATGACTTTCAGACAATTTGCTTTGACGACAAAGTTGTCCCTAGCTGTATTTCAAGAGGAGAAACTCCTGTCGAAATGTATAGACCGATGACTCCAAAAACTGAACATTCAGAGAAACTTGTAGCTGGTGCTGTTAATGCTCAATCTAGTTTGAATTTTGAAGATGAAGATCTTTTTGTTGGTGTAATGGAAGAAAATTCAGATGCTACAGTATAATGAACCTTTATTAATTATCAATTTGTTATTTAAACTTATGTTTAATTGTTAAAATATAAGATCTGGAACATTTCGACAAAAAAATAGATATAAGTATATGACTCGAAGAAACTTTTTAGACTTATGTAAATGCGCGTTCTCATTTTCAAGACTTATACGTCTTTTGTGAAATTTATTCTATTTTTTACATAAAATATTAGTATATAGTAAGTTTTTCACATCTTTTTCAACATACTATGTTGCAAAAGAAAGCAAATTAAATAGAAACGAAAATATAGATAAAACAGGTCGTGCGTAAGCAATGACTGTAAAAATGTATCAAATGTAATTTGAAACTAGTAGTTGTAAACTATTAAAATTATTATAAAATAACGTACTATGTACATTGAAGAAAGAAAATTATAGTGTCGATTACCAAAGACAAGGTAAAATGATTTATCAATCGCTAATGAAAAAAATTTCATTAATAAGACGATAAATTTTAAAATATCAGTTATAAAGTTGATTTAAGTTTATTTGCTATTATGTTTTTTTTTTCTTTCAAGAAAGTATTTATTTTTTAATAATTGGTAAATTTTCTAATTTATTAAAACATCAACGACAATTCAGTGATAACTTAAGAATTAATAAAAATATGATATATATGTAGTATGTACATGTATGAATAATGCAACTGTAAGATGTATATGTATGTATGTATGTGTATATAGATACACACACACGTACGTATACATGCCTTTAGTTATATTTGTTAATTACAAAAAAAGTTTAAAGTTTTTGCAACTAACATTCAACATTAAGAAAACTTTCTGTTTATCAAAAACTATTTTGAATGAATCGTAGAAACTAATATTGATGCAAAATTGCATTTAAAATATTTGGTTCCAAGATGTATTTGAGCAATTATTGTTGATTCAACAGAAAAAAATTATATACGATAGTTACTATACTTTAAATGTGAAAAACTATACAATGAGCAAATAAAAATTTTTCTTAATATAATTTTATTAATGAATAATTAGTTATTTTTATAACATCCTTATTCAATACATTTCCCATAATGTGTCTATTACCAAAATAATTTGTTGTAAGAACATAATCCCTATTAATATTATAATTCCAATATTCTATTAATAATAAAGTTGATTTTTATAGAAAGAATTGTTTTCATAATTAAAATTTAAAAAAATTTGTGATTCCATTTTTATTGATACTACTGAGTTTTTGGCACTTTGGATCGCAATGCAGGTGGTAAACGTTTAGGTGGCATTGGATCAAATTCGTCAAAACGAATTTTTAAATGTGGACCACCTGCGTTAAGTGTTACTTGACTCAATGTTGGGTCATCTTCGGGCAGTACAAGAGATTCATCTTTTGCGGGATCACAGCAAAATCCGTATGGCTTTTTGCTCATTGGTTCTTGCTTTTGCGACTGCGTCAACTTCTGTTTACCTGCACCTGTCACCGTCTTTTTCATTACAGATGTAGGGAAATATTGTGCGCTCTTCCAGCTAATTTTAGGAAAATTGGTAAATAACTTATATGTTCAATAAAAATTCTACAATCAATAACAGTTTGAGTATATAACTGTATTCAATATTTAGTAATAAAAACTTACGAATTCGTCTTTTGTGAATTGTAGGTTATTTTTGCGTTTTCGATAAATTAAAAAAATCGATTATTTTTTATGGATAAAAATAAAAATGAAACCTTTTTTCTTAAAACAAAAGTTTCTTGCAGATTTTATTCAATAATCAATCGTGATAATTTTATGTTCAAAAGCACTTAATCTCAATTTTATACTTGATGATTTGCAGGAAACAAATGAAAAATGAACACTTCTAGCTTGTCATCAAATTTGGGATCTACTCCAAGCCCTCGAATTCAAGAGACTGAAAATTCAGAACCATCTAATACCAGCAAATTTTTAATTCATATTAAGTCCGATCTTCAAATGCAAAAGCAACAAAAACGCATGAATCGTGAACTCCATAACAAACGAATACAATCTCTACGGAAAGAGTTGGAATACTTGAAAGCAACTGAATGGAAATATCAACCGGTAGATAGATAACTGTTAAATAATAACCAATATTTATTTTTAGGATTTAATAATAGCAATCTATTGAATCTGAATTGACAATAATGATATTAATATTAAATAAAATAAAAGATATAAGTGAAGGATTTTTTCTGCTACTTAGTAAAGAATAAAAAGTCTAAGAATGAGACAAAATATTGATGAAATACTGAATAACTCCATGATTATTTTATTATTTTGTTTCTTATAGTAAGTAAATTGGCAATTTACAGATAGTTTTTAGAATAAACAAACTTTTGAAAAACATGCCTAGTATAAAATTTATATGTATATATATGAAGTATGAATAGCATAGCTTAGGAAATAAATTTCAAGTTTTTACATGAATGTTTTCTTTAATTTTTTACCACTCGCACTGCTAGATACTTAAGTGCTCATTTTCCAAGATTTGATCAACTATTCTTAGTAAACAGCACTTATCAGTTTGTCAGAAAGTCAGTGCGATTAAATCTGAAATATAAATTAATTAATTAACTATTATATAAATAGAAATAATTTGTAAATAGTTTACCTTTGTTAATTCCAAACTATGCTGATTGGGTCTTGATTTTTTGCCTTAACTTTTCTTTCTATCAGGTTCTCTAAAGCTTCACTTCGAACACTTAATGTTTCAATTTTTTCAACAAGCTGCTGATATGGAGAGGCAGGCTGTCCACCCATGACTACATGTCCTAACTTGCTGTCTATTTTGGCATCAAGTCTAGCACTTCGAATCAAGTTCACAATCCAACATTCAGCATGATCAATCTCCATATTTAGTTTTTCAGCAAGCATTCTTTTTGAAAGTAAATCATGTCAATTTTTTTTATTTATTAAAAAAACAACTTTTTAATACTTACTGTATGCTAATACATTGATGGATTCTGCAGAAAGTTTCAAATATCATTAGTCGTGCATTTTCTACAAACTCATTAAGCAAAGCAATTAGGAAAAAATCATTGCACAAAACTATTTGACATTCCTGCAATTTTTGCCGAGCACCATCAAAATCAAAATTTACATAGAGATGTTCTAAAAATTCTGTGATAGGATCTCTGTAAGTGTAAGATTCTTGCTGAATAACTTTTACAAGATCCTTCAGTGCTGATCGCCGTGATCTATTAACAATAACAGCAGCAGCCAAGTATCGTAGGACATGCGGGCACATTGTTTGAATAGCATTCAAATAACTGTAACACAAATGTAATCAAATTACTCATGAGACAAGTATTAGGATTGATGATTACTACTTACTGTGGTCTATACAGAAACATATCAATGATCATATCTCTGCCCTTGATATGATTGAAAAATACAAAAAGGCTCCAGTGAATTAACCAAGTCCTCTGTTGTAACACTTGTAGAGAATTGCCTATTCCAATATTGCTATCAATAAGTTCTCGCACTTTATTAACATCTTCTAGAGCAGTGTCCCAGTCTTGAGTTAAAATTTCAGATGCAAGCTTTCCCCAGGAAGCATTCAAATAATTCTAAAAATAAACTTGTTTATAAACCAAGTTCAGACTAGATATCTATTGAAAAAATTTACCTTATCTGTAGGTGGCATAACCAGCATGTAAAAGTATAAATATGAACTTGCTGTTTGATAGTTGCCACATTCGTACCTGTATTTGGCAAGTTTTACTATGTCATCCATCATCTCTATTTTAAACTGTAAAATAAACACAACATTGAAATTTGAAGAGAAAGCCAATTGCTGAAGCAATTAATGCAACAGGATAAAAAAATAGTTACTTCAACTTCTTCTGCTAGAAATTTAATAAGAGCTTTCGAGTCTCTCATACTTTCCATTTTTTTCATAACATTTTCATCCCCAATAAAATCAAGAACAACTTTAGCATTTTGTTGTAATCTGCTTAATTCTTGCAAAATTTCTTGTCTACGATTTTTCATTTCCTACAATATATATAAATATAATAAGAAATCAGCTATAGGCAACGCGTATAAATACATACCTCTGGTACATTAACATCAGGATATAATTGCTTCTTGACGTCAATCAAATAATCAATCATGTTAGTTTTACTGAGGACATCAAGCTTAGCTTGAAGTAGCTCATTTTCATCAAAAATCTAACGTAGAAGACAGAAATAAAGTTAAACAGAAGCGAGTCACATGGAAAAACGAAGCAGGCGTTGCGATTAACTTACTTCTTTAGCGCTTAAAAACTCTAAATGCGGTAGAACTAAGTGGCGATCAAGGTACTGACCAATGCGATAAGTCAAATCGTACTTTGCCATTTTTGTTGAAATAAGCTTTTTATCTATTTTTGTCAAAAATTATGCAAGTTAAAGTCTATAGGAAAGGAAGGTTAGCTGACAACGAGCCGAGCCGAACTAAAACGCGCGCACGTCACAGCCACAGTCGATGCGAAAGAGAGAAAAGGAATGTGTATTGTGCACTCTACACGGGATAAAGGAAATCAACGGGAAATCGACGATAATTGATTCAGAAAATTTATAAAAAAAACTGCACCTGATTAGCAAGAATAGCAAAACTCATTAATAATTTTGCGTATTTGAGTTTTCGTTAGTAAAATCATTCAAAAAATTGAATACTCCTAGATCGATAGAAATTGAATCTGCGCAGCGGGTTTTATCTGATTTTTCGAACTAAACAAAATACCATTATAAACATTCGTTGAAGGATAATTATAATTTTTCATTACAGCAACATACCTGAAAGATCTGTTGGTAATATGGATCATGGATATACAATTTTGTGGGACAATTTCAGACTCACTTATTTAGGGCCTTTGAAACTTTGATCACATTCCACATGAGGGAATATTCCTTGAGGGTCTGTCTCCATAGGGCCTGCCTGAGTCCCTCCGAGCCGGCCGAGATTTTTTATGGGCACGCCATCTCTATAATTTCGTGTTCATGCGTTTCTCGTATTGGCTGCGTCCGATCGGGCTCGTTTATGTAAACGCAGCCATTCACTATGAAACTCGCCATTGGATACGAAATTATAGAGATGGCGTGCCCATAAAAAATCTCGGCCGGCTCGGACGGACTCAGGCAGGCCCTATGGAGACAGACCCTGACGTTCTTGTTCGATCTGTGTGATTTTGCACCACCGAAACATTCGTATAGTTCACCTTCTACCTTCCTATATGTATCCTGTGGTTTTAGAAGTGCAGAACACAGAAACGTTTATAGAGATATTACAGATAGAGTAGGCATGCCTGTAAGTGAGAACGTCCACCGAATAAAAAGAGAAAGAGAATCCAATTGGTGGTTCTATCTTTCTTTTACATAGCTTACTGCGCATGCGCGACTTCACAGTATACATTGTATACAACGACAAAAGGGACTGCAGTAGACAAAAATCGCAATACTAATTCATGCTTTCTCTCTTTCTATTGGTCGGACGTTACCGCTTACCAGCACCCCTTAGGCATGCCTACTCTATACTTTATCTGTATATCTATATGGAAACTTTCGGTTTTCTTATTTCTTAAACCACACAGTATGTATACAGACGTAGATGATGAACTGTACGAATGTTCCGGGAGGTACAAAATCACAAGGAACAAGAACATCATAGGAATATTCCCTCAGTGTGGAAAGACCCATTCTCGATCATTTAATTAATAGATATACAAAATCTTTTTGAGTGAAAAATACATTAATCGAAATTGGTAATACTAATAATAGTTTTATTTATTATGTGACTTCTAAAATTATAAATATTTTCAAGGGATTCAATTCAAGTAAATAATATTTATTATTTATTGTATTTAAATTTTCCGATTCAAGTTGTCATTGTATAATGTATGTATGTACAACATTGTACATTCGTTTGTACAGTGTACACTACTATACCAAATACATTTGCTATTTTGCAAAAGCAAAGTATTGACATCGTATAAAACATCAACTTCTTTTACTTTATTATCTTAAAATTTCATACAATCCAATCGTAAAATCATTAAATCTACAGATTGAATAATATTCAAAAGGCAGCAATATTACGTTGTTTGTCATTATTTGTATAATTTTGACTTATTGAACAGTTTTATCAACACGTGGTATGAACTGATTGCGAAAAAACACTTTTGGAAAATTGCAACTAGTACAATAAGGGGCAAGTGACTTCTGCAGCCACTGTACAAACAACATTTAATCATGTCATCGTGATTTCAGATACAAATTACTAAAAATGGAAGATGTTAGAGAAGCTATCGGCATTGAAAAGGTGGACATGAGTGGAAAATTAATTTTTGTTGAAGAACATCATAAAGCAGATGCCAATTTTATCTATCATACACTTACCTCTCACTGCATGGAAAAGAATAATATTATATGCTTTGTGCTGTTTCACAACACTTTTGGACATTTTCATAATGTTGGAATGAAGCTTGATTACAATCTCAAAAAAGTTCAAGATAAAAATGTTAAAGTTATCGAACCATTGCGACTTGTAACTAGAAATATGGAAATGAGTACAAGCAATTTAGTCAAAGAGTTGGCTGGAATTATCCAAATCAAGTGCATTTCTACGGAGAAAGAGTCAGTTGATCAAAAAGTATATGTGATTATTGATGATTTGAGTCATTTATTTGATATTGGATTAAGCATGGAAGATGTATGGCTTTTCACAAGATATTTAAGATCATTTGTTAAACAAGAACCTTTTTTCACAGTCTGTATAGGTAGCCATATTTATAAGTCTTTAGGCCATCAATGCTTGCCAAATTTAGCAGCAGTAGTACTTAAACATTTTGCCGATTTAATTATAAGTGTTCAACCTTTGGAAACTGGGTTCTCTAAAAGTGCATCTGGTAAAGTGATAGTTTACTGGAAAGCTTCCAATGAAAGACATAAATTTAAGTGGCCCAAAGAAACAATGTATCTGTATAAATTACTTGATCGACAAGTAAAGTTGTTTGAACCTGGAAGCTCTTGCATTATGTAAATAACTTTTAAATTTTGCACAACACAAAGACTGTATATGAATTATAATGATCATAAATGATCTGAATAAAAAATTACATATGTTCATTATTCTCCTGAGGAGCTTGACATTAAGATATAGTACTTAATTTTATTCAATCTTGATGTGCTTGATCCATGTACATTTATTTAAAAATTGCATTTTCGGTATTCATTCCTCTGAACAATTTAATTTTGTGTGCGGTTGCATTGCCCATGCATGCTGTGCAGTAGCAATACCCAAGTACTTTTTAGCTATCCAATGCAAATTTATGATGAAGAATATGCAGCAATTATTATTTATTTAGATTACTTGTCTTATTAATAACCAATGTCTGCACAACTTATTTGAAAGGTCCAATTATTCTAATTTCTGTAAGCTTGATAACTCATCTATTTGAGATATTAAAATCCATTTCAAATCATGGCGTTCAAAATGATAGCCCTGTTTTCGGATTAATTACTACAGCTGCAGCCTGCAGCAGGCCTCGCGCCGCGTTCAGAGGTGGGTTCGTAGGTCAAGCTGAAAAAGTGGGCAGTGGTGGTCGGCCGTGACGTGGGCTAAGTTTTGCAATTTGCTGGGTCAAACACGGTCGCATTAATTCGGTTGTGCCCGTAATTCTGCGAACACCGCACGTATTTTAACGGGCGTGCTAAAACTAATTATAAGTGCAATAGTGCACGCCGAGCGTAGCAACAAACACGGACCAATAATGCGATTGTATTGATACGACAGCGGGCACGGACATCGAGGAAACTGGAACCTCGATGATAACCATTGAAGACTACTGTGGTAAACGCGGAAGCTGCCAATTTTTGTCTTTAAAGTAAACAACGGTCATAGACGCTCGAGTGTTTATCTTGGTTGATTGTTGGCGGCGTACGGTAGTCGACCGGCGAAGGTGCTGTCGATGGCTTTTCGTAGATGAAGAGCTAAGGTGACGTAGAAAGTAAAAATTGAATCCGTTGATTACGTTCTCGTGTATAAAACTACATCTCTTCTGCACTCCGTAGAGCCGGCAGAAAATGCGTACGCAAAGGGTCGACTCGAAGTCGCTATTGAACGGCGCCATCGAGCGCAACAGCTTGATCGAGACCGGCGACGTGCTGGCGCCGACGTGAACGCGAAGGAGCGCAGGCACGGCCTGAATGGGTTGGGTTAGGTTATGGTCGGCAAGGAATCGATCAACGTTGTTGTAATTTGTATATTTTGAAACTGCGCCTACGTGTGCGAAATAAAGAGAGTTTGAAAGTAACGGATGCGATACAATTAGTCGTGGACGAGCGAGCGGTCAGCCGATGACCAGACTGACGTCGTCGGTGAAAAGGTAGGGGGGCACGTTGAGGTTCTTGGGAGCGGGCCCGCGACGTACCCGGCCGGCCGTGTCGAAGTGAGAGCCGTGGCAGGGACAGTAGAAGCCACCGGGCACCACGCCCGCGTTGGGGATGGGCACGCAGCCCAGGTGCGTGCAGACGCCGATGAGCACCATCCACTCGGGCCGCTGCGACCGATCCTCGTCCGGCTGCGGGTCGCGCAGCTCCGCCAGGCTCTGCGCCCGCTCGCTGTCGATGAGGGCCTGGCTCCTGCAACAGGGCGCGAGCACGGCAGTCGCGGCGCCGCCCCGAGGGCGTTGGCTACGCACCGGTGGTAGACGAACACGGGCCTGCCCTGCCACTTGACAACCCGCACCTTGCCCTCGGGGATGACGGACAGGTCGACCTCGGTCTTGGAAGCCGCCAGCACGTCCTTGGACGCCGCCATCGAGCTCAACAGCTGGTGGACCACGGCCTTGGCCGCGCACAGCCCGGCCACGCCCGCCACTGAAAGCGAGGCCGACGACCGGTCAGTGGCTGGCGTGCTGGCGGGCGGGCGCGTCGCTGCGTCGCACCCATGGTGGGCAGGTAGGCGCCGAGCCGCCGGTCGTCCGCGCTGTCCGAGGAGCGCTGGCGCGGGTCCCGCACCGAGTCCTTGCGCCGGGCCTCCAGGCCGGGCTTCGGGTAGTCGCTGTGGTAGGGGGCCGACGAGGGCCGTCCGAGCCGTCCGAGGCCGGGCCCGAGCCCGCCCCGGGCGATCTTGAGCAGCGCGCGGCTCATCGTCGTTCACCGCGGCGCAACCTCCAAATGCTCGCGGCCGCGGCGCGCGCGGCCGGACAGACGACGATCGCGCGCCGAGCCGCCGAGCCGCTCGCAGCCGAGCGCGAGCAGGGCCGCCAGCAGGCCCGCGCCCAGCACCAGGAACATGCCCTGGGTGTCCTCGACCGCGAGCACGCGGTTCTCCAGCGGCGCGGTCTGCGCGGGGCCCTTGGTCACCTTCCTGCCGGCGAGCCTGGCCAGCCGCTGCACTTCCCAGTCCACGTCCGCGGCGATGCGCCCGAGCAGGCCGTGCTCGGCGGCCCGCGCGACGAAGGCGCTCAGCCTGCCGGTGAGGAGCGAGCCGCGCGGCAGCAGCTGCACCACCTGGAAGCGCACGAAGCACTCGCCGCTCACGTGCAGCAGGGAGCGCCGGGTCGCCAGGCTGCAAGCAGCGTGGGCCGTGAGGCGCCGGCGGCTCGCGGGCGGCCGCGCGGCCCGCTCACCTGGGGGCGAAGTCCGTCTGCACCAGGTAGTCCAGGGCCGTGCGCGAGCCGAGGAAGGCGTACGGCCAGAAGTAGGCGCGGCTGGCGTTGCGCACGCCCTCCAGCAGCTCGGGCACCAGGTCCAGCCGGTGGAAGAGCCGGCGGAGCGCGGGCTCGTCCTCGAAGTGGCTGGCGTTGAACCAGCGCTCCCAGCCGTCGCGATCTGCGGTGGCGCGGGCGTAAGTGCGGCTGGCGGGCGCGGCGGCGCGGCGGCGCGGCGGCGCGGCGGCGCGGCGGCGCGGCGGCGGGCCTACCGAGGGTGCCGACGCGGTAGCGCTGGCGGGCGAGCTCGTCGGCGCGCTCGAGCGCGGCCGGGAAGACGGGCAGCGTGATGAAGGCCACGATGGAGCCGGTGTAGCAGGCCGTGACGATGATGGTGAAGAGCCAGTAGACGGCCAGCAGCAGCGCGCGCGCCTGGCCGGCCGGGTCGCTGCCGAGCGGCGGGCTCCTCACGGCGAACGCGTTGGTGTAGGTGCCGTAGACGAACCAGAAGGCGTCCAGGAGGCGGCCGGGCGCGGCGCCGCGGCTCAGCGGCACGACGAGGGCGAGGTACGAGAGGCAGAGCATCAGCCAGACGGCCAGCTGGAAGGGCCCGAGAACGGCGCGGTACCTGGGGCGGGAGGGCGCCGGGTCAGGCCGGGCGGCGCTCGGCGCTCGGCGTCGGCTACTTGCCTCGGCAGGGCGGTCGAGGCCAGCGAGACGAAGGCGGCGCAGTCCTCGAGGTGCGGCCTGGTCGCGTCGAACGTCCCCTCTTCCAGCTCGATCGTACGGTAGATGCCGCCGATGGCCACGGAGCTCAAGCCGTGCGCCACGTCCGCCTTGGCGGCCTCGAGCGGCCTGCAACAGGGGGGCGGGCGGCGTGCGTGACCGGGCGCCCGCGAGGCCTCGCGCGGCTTCGCGCGGCCGAGACCTACGTGGACAGCTGGCGGGACTGCGGCCCCGCGAACTCCACGCTGAGATTCAGGTAGCTGCCGGCCAGCTGCAGCAGGCGCACCTCCAGGCCATCCCAGCCCGTCTCCTGCCAGGGGCTGATCGAGCTGCAAGCCGACGAGGCGTTCACCCCGGGCGCTGCCGCCGCCGCCGCGCACCACCGTCACCTACCGCCTGATGGTGAACGGCGGGTTCTCCGCGACGGACACGGGCAGCTGGTGGCCCATGAAGCCCCTGCTCAACTTGTCCTGGAAGAGGACTCGCTCCGTGGACAGGCTGCCGTTCAACCAGGAGGCGAGCAGTAGCGGCCGCGAGGCCCCGCTGCCGTCGGCGTACAGCTCGCTCGTGTACAGCAGGTAGGCTCCGTTCTGCGCGTCGATCGCAACCAGTCAGCATCTATCGTCGGCTCTGCTACGACGACGCGCTCGCGAGATCGCCGAGTCTATTCTCCCGTTTCCGACGCTCGGAAAGACCGACAGTGTCGCTGCCAAGGTACCGGTTTCTCGTGACCGACTGTTCGCGCTGAGCCGTGAGTCGTCGTCGTCGTCGCGATCTCGTTTGGCTCGCGCGGCTCCATTGCTGCCGCGAGCAAGCAAACCCGAGCACCTACCTAGCGGCCGACCACTTACGAACGAACCACGCGGCTTGGCGCGCTGCGACACGGAAGAGAGTAAACGCGCGGCGAGTAACGGATTACGTACGCCGCTCTTGCGGCTGGCGCTGTGGCAGACGACGAGAAGGTTGGCGTAGTAGCGAGTCACGTCGCTCCGCAACAGGTTCTTCACCTCCCAGGACGTCTCGGCCGAGACGACGACGACGATCTTGCTGCTGAGGCCTCGCGCGAGGACCTGCCCGATGGCCGTGAGTCGGGAGAGGAAGAGCACGTAGTTGGTGCACTTGTGGGGGCGACGCTCGCGCGGCCGCTCGCGCCCGGACACGTCCAGGCGTTCCTGGGTGACGGCGAACGGCAGCCGCTCGAAGTAGGCCCGCAAGTCGAGCGGCCGGCCCGCCCCGTAACTCGCGTCGTGGATCAGGCCGAGCGCGCAGTCCTCGAAGTACTCGGTGACGAGGTGGCGCAGCAGCGGGATCAGACTGGCGCCGCGGGCCGCCTGCGCCCGCCATGCCGCCTCCGCCTGGCTCCTCGGCAAAAAGGCTTCTCTAGCTCGGCCGGGCCGCAGCGCAGCCAGCGCCAGCGAGACGCACAGCCAGCCGCTCGCTCGCATGCTCGGTTGTGAGCGCCGGCCGTGCTGCCTCGCCGTCGGCCAAGTTCGAGCCAGCCGCGCTCCTATCATATTCATTGGGCATTAATGCCAGAGCGGTTCGCGGCCGCCGCTTCCGGTTTCGACTTTTATCAATAAATGAGAATCGAGGTAGGCAGGTAGATCGATGATTTATTATTGCGATCGAACACTATTTGGTTGTCTCGACGGCCCTGGCCGCGCTCGGCAGGGTCAAGTTGAAGCCGCCACCGTAAAACTTGGCGCACGACGCTGGCGGCGCCGAGGCTTTCTCCTTGCAGCTCTGCTGCTGTTGCTGCTGCTGCTGCAGCTGCTTCTTCTGCGCCATGTACTTGATCTTCACGGCCTTGAGCTCGCACTTCATCCTGTCGATCTCGAACTTGTGTTCGCCTTGCAGCTTCATGTTCAGCTCGGCGACGAGGCACTGCAAAGCGAAACGACGAAAGTGCGACGAAGCCTCCGCGGGTGGCGCTCGAGCCTACCTTGATCCTGTTGCCGCGCTGGCGCAAGGCCCGGCGGGCGCCACCGAGGCGCCGCAGCAGTTCGGGCCCAGGCTGCTTGGCCATCACCTCGCGGAGCCCCATGTACAGCTGCTCCGCGGCCCTGGCGGCCTTGTCCTTGGCGAGCAGCTGGGCCGAGAGCGCGAGCACGCGGCGCTGCAGCAGGTGGGTGCCGCGCAGCAGCTCGAAGCCGTCCGGGTCGGCGGCCTCGAGGCCGCGCCAGCGGTGCACGTTCAGCGGGCTCTGCAGCTCGCCCTCGAGGGCCGCCACCTTGAGCCGCTCGGCGGCGAGCTCGCGCTCCAGGCGGAACAGCTCGCCGCGCAGCTCGGCCGCGCCGGCCGCGGCGGCGCGCAGCGCGCGCGCGCCCCGCCGCAGCCGCGCGACCTCCAGGCGGAGCGCCCGCGACGCGGCCGCGCGGCGCCCGCGGCCCCTCGCCGCGAGGCTCAGCCGCGCGCGCAGCGAGCGCAGCGCGCTGCCCTGCAGGCCCGCCTCGTCGTTGCGCCGCGCCAGCTGGGTGCCGATCGCGTCGCGCTCGGCCAGCGCCGCGGCGATCTCCTTGGCCTGGCGGGCGGCGCGCGCGTCGGCCTCGCGCAGGCCGCCGCGCAGCTGGCGCTCCTGCTGGCGCAGCTCGTGCAGCCGCGCGTGCAGCTCGGCCTGGCTCCGCCGCCCGGCGGCCAGCTCGGCGCGCAGGGCCTCCTTCTGCTTCTCCGACTTGCCGAGCACTGGGGGTGGGTGCAGCAAGCTCCGGGTTAGCGGGGCGCGCGTCGGCGACGGCGGCGGTGGCAGCACTCACGGAACTCCTGCTTGGTCAGGGCCGCCTCGCGCTGCGCGAGCTGCTCGCGCGCCTGCTCCAGCTGCTGTCCGACGGCCTTGAGCCGGGCCCTGGCCTGGGCGAGCTCGTCCTGCGCCAGGCCGAGGCCCTTCTTGAGGCCGTTGCGCTCGGCGCGCACCTCCTCGAACAAGCTCTGCTGCCGGCGGAACCTGCCCTCGGCCTCGGCCAGGCGCTTCTGCCAGTCCGTCGTCTCCAGCCGCTTGGCCTTCAGCTCGTCCATGCAGTCCTCCACCTGGGGAGCGGTGCGACCGGTCGCGAGCCCGTCAGACGCGCCACGCTCGAGTCGCGCCGGCGGTCGACGCGGCGGGGAGGCGCACCTTCTGGGCGAGCTGCTGGTTCTCGACGGCGCCCCTGTCGCGCTCCTTCTCCAGGGCCGTGGCCTGGCGCTGCAGCTCGGCCGCCGCCTCGGCCATGTCCTCGATGCTGCGCTCCATCTTGCGGCCGGTCTGCTCGAGCACGCGGATCTCCAGGGCGAGCTTCCGGTTGGCGTCCTCGAGGCCCTGAGCGCTCTTCAGCGCGGCCTCCCTCTCGCGGCCCAGCTTCTCGGCCACCTTCCGCTCCAGCTGCAGCTGCTTGGTCAGCGAGGCCACCTCCAGCTCGGCGCTGCGCAGCGCGGCCGCGGCGCGCTCGCGGCCGGCCTCGGCGCGCGTCGCCGCGGCGCGCTCCTGCGCCAGCCGCCTGCCCGCGGCCTCCTGCTCCGCGCGAGCCCTGGCCAGCTGCTCCCTCAGCCTGCAACGCGCGGCGAGCGTGAGCGCGGCGCCCCGGACGAGCGCGCCTCCAGCGAGCGCCCCGGCCGCCTACCGCTCGATCTCCCGGGCCGCCAGCTTGGCCTCGGCGCCGCCCTCCTGCAGCTGCTTGCGCGCCCGCTCGGCGGCGGCCCGCAGCCGGTCCGCCTCCGAGCGCGCCGACAGCTGCTTGAGCATCAGCCGCTGCAGGTCCCGCTGCTGGCGCTCGGCGCGCTCGGCCTGCTCGCGCAGCTCGGCGCTCCGCTGCGCCAGCTCGGCCGCGGCCACCGCCGCGCGCTCCTCGGCCGCGCGCAGCTCCGCCGCGCCCGCCGCCGCGCGATCCTCGGCGGCGCGCAGCTCCGCCTCGGCGCGCTCGGCGCGCCGCCGCTCGGCCGCCAGCTCGCCGGCCTGGCGCTCGGCCGCCTCCTGCTGCTCGGCCAGCCGCCGCGCGGCCTCGCTCGCGCCGCGCTGCAGCTCGCCGTTCGCCCTGCCGAGCTGCTGCAGGCGCTGGCGCAGCGTCTCGATCTCGGCGAGCAGCCGCTCGCGCTCGCGCGGCCCGTCCTTGCGCCGCTGCGACTGGTCCGCGGCGGCGGCCGCCGCGCTGCGCGACACGCGAAGCACCGGTCAGCCGTCGGCCGCGCTCGCCGCCCGCCGCCCGCCTACTCACTGCTGCTCGCTGGCCAGCTGCCTGTTCTTCTGGGCGAGCTCCTCGCCCAGCTTGCCGACGGACGCGCGCAGCCTCTCGATCGCCTCCTGGGCCTGGCGCTCGCGCGCGTGCGCGCTGTCGGCCAGCCGCTGGCTGTCCTGCAACTGCTGGCGCAGCCGCTGCTCGCTGGCCGCGGCCGCCGCCACCTGCGCCTCCAGCTGCCGCGCGCCGCTCGCGCGCTCCTCCAGCTCGGCCTGCGACACGAGCGCGTGAGCGCCGCGCTCCCGCCGGCCCGAGCCGGGGCCGCCGACCGGCCGCTACTCACCGTCAGCCGGCTGCACTTGTCGCCGAGCTCCTGCTCCAGGCGCTGCGCTTGGTACAGCGACTCGAACAGCCGCGTGTACTCGGTCTCGTACGCCGCCAAGGCCTCGTTGCCCCTCATCTCGCTCGTTATCTGCGCTCGTCGTTTCACCGTCCGTCATCGTCAGTGCCCTCGCCGATGCCGCCCCATCGTCTTAGCCTTACCTTCGCAAAGTCCTGCTCCAACGTGCAGTAGACGCTTCCGGCCGAGCTGCCCTCGGCGGAGGCCTCCCCGGTCTCGCTGCCGCCATCCTGGACGCAAGGCCGATCTCGTCACCGACTCTCCGGAGGCGGGCTTCCGCGCGAATAATTACCCTCTCCAACTCGGCGTTCATCTCCATGTCCATCATGCCTGCGGCTTCAGCGCTGCGTCTTCGCCGGCCACTGCGTGCTCGTCGGACCGACTGGCGCTTCGCGTGCTTGCGCTTTGTTGACGAGCTTCCATGACGACCACCAGCCTAGCACTTTCTCCTTGGAGGACGCCAATGAGTGACAGGCACGCTACTTCTCTTCTGGCTGCTGGGCTACTCGACCGAGCGAGCGAGCGAGCGTCCAGCACCTGGACACGGCTAGATGCGAAATTGGGAGCGGCTTCGACAAATCATTACGCACACTGCTATACAATAACAAATTTTATTTACACCCATTATCTGTCGTCATAAATGTTACAATATTTAATACGAATGAAATCTCGGCCGAAAACCTCTAAACATAAAATTGACAAGTTAGATATTGGCTATCGATGAATTATCTGTTATCTACCAAGTTATAGCATACGCAACTTTTTGCACGACGATTCAACGAAAGCAACTGTCGAAGTTGGCCAATCGTCCCAATTTTACCGTGACTCCTACATCCATTTCTCACGATATTCATTTGATAGCTCATCAAGGGATACCTCGCTTCATCTTCATCTTCATCTTCGTCTTTATCTTTATCGTTCGTCAGTCTGTTCGCACTTACTTACTTGTCCTCGTCCGCGAAACATTGTCATTGCATTCTACCAAGTGACTATTTTTGAATTGATGATAACCATCAAGCATAAATGATTTTACACTGTCGTCTTTTATTAGCCACGCGTAAATTCGCCGGCTTGATGCCGAATCGAATGATATCAAAAGGAGACATTCATCTTGTTCAAACGATTTCGTAATTTATTGCACTCGCACGTAAAGCCTTCAAATGTATTTTGTCTTCCTATCGGGAGCACACCTCTTACTGCATTATAAACCAGAGAAAACAACAAACTTACATATTATAAGGTCCGCTTGCGTGTACACATAGCGCAACGAGATTTGGGCCGATCTGCCTTCCCATTTTTCCTCGAGTAGGTATAACAATACGGAGCAAAGTATATTGTATGATCAGAGTAATTATGCAGACTGGGTTTATACGACGGCATTGATTATCCAAAGGTAATTCTTGAAAAGTCGCTGAATTATAAGCATCGACGTTCAATTGTTTAGCCCAACCGACAGGTTAATATTACGTTGAAGATCCAGTGTTCAAGAATTATTTTTTGAATAATGGGCTCAATTAAACGGGCTACAAGCAAATCAATGCAATCGTCCTGTAGTAAACTATCGAGTCGCGTCGATGCGTCACTCGCTACTCACTCGAGGCAAATTTTCTAAATCTCGATGTACCATGCATACGTGCAGACGAATCTCCGCAAAATAATATAAACACGGGCGAAAGATTTGCGCGTATCCCTATATAAGTTACTTTTCAATCATATTCTTTAACAATACACAATCGACGCTACTAAATGTATAAAAATTAAACAAGAGTTATTTTATAAAAAAATAACATATTCTGTTCTTACGCTTACAGTTCGCTTGTTAGTTCAGTCGTAAAGAAAATTCTTATAATTATACAAGCTTGGTCATTCGTGTCAACTTGGATATAAAAACACCGTCAAACAGCAAAGTCAAACAGTCAAGTTGGTGTTGGAATTCACTTATTTATCACGATACACTTTATACATAAGAATTTACATTGGAAACCTGTGGGTCGCAGGTTTGACAACCAGTAGCAATATTTTATTTGACAGACACACAAACGTTAGAAGCAATCCGAAACAAGTGTTCGCGACGGCGATCTCGACTGAAAAATTATGCAAGTCGCTTATTCACGCTAGGCCACTTTCGTTATTTTTACTCGCACATGCGCGCCTGCAATTGAATATGTAGTACAAGCATGCGTACACAAATTGCGTAGATGGAATGTGTCGGCAGGTACCGTCGGGATCAACAGCACAAGAAAGATTTGTCCGATAATCCGTGCTTCTGAACACTCCATTGATATTATAAAAGTTGAAAATTGATCGCATGCATAAATTTTCTAAAGGACCATGAAATTCAAGTCCGTCCTACACGTTGAAATGAGACAAGTAGATGTAAAAAAGATGATATCTCACGGCTCAATCGATCGTCACTGAATAATCTACACGTCGAGTTACACGACGGTGTGCTGCTGAGACCATAGTCGATCAGGTTCCAATTGGCTACGATACTCTAACACCTACGTTTGAAAACAGTCTTTCAGGTCCGAACGCACGAGTACTAAATTGAATATTCCTTGGTAATCGAGCAGTCGGCGCACCGAAACGTAGTTTCCAGCAAAAGAAAAGGAGAAAGCATCGAAACAAAGGCGGAGACGTTGTTCGTTATTGTCCGTTAAAGTTGGCACGGGAGTCTGCAATGTTGACCTCCGTGAAGCCGGGAACCGACATTCGCGCGCCAAGGAATACTCGCTGTAGGCAGTTTTGTTTAACGCTCACGTGATCGACATTTATGTACATCATTTACAAGTTGAAATACAAGCGTCACAAGATAACGTCGTCGGGATTGCAGTCCCAGAGTGAAGCCAGTCCGGAAACTGGCTTCTCCGGCACGCCTCCCGTGCGAGCAAGTCCACGAGCCAACGTATCCCCGTAGTTTTATCAACTGGTACAGACATACCGCGGCTCGATAATGCGCCTCGGAGACTCTCGCGTCGGTCGCTTTGCTTATCCGTTGCTGGTCGATCGACGCTCGGAGCTGCCCTCGACCACTCGGCCCTCGTCGGATACGCGCGAACGTTGACACTAGAAGAGCACGAGCTCCACGGACACTGGGGCGCGCGATCGACTTGCCACGCGGGGCTCGGGGCGGGCTCGATCTTCAGCTGCTCGAGGCGAACTGCGAGGAGACGGTGAAGGGCGTCACTTGGTACAGGTAGCACCGGTTGCAGACGCGGACGGGCTTGGTGTGGCCGTAGCGCGGCAGGGGCACGCTGTTGCTGCTGCACCGCCCGCAGAACACCTGGCCGCAGTTCCTGCAGTGGTGGCGGCGCCGCACCACCGTGAAGCCCGCCTGGCAGGCCATGCAGCGCGGGGCCACGCTGTCCGGCACCCAGACGGGCGCGCGCTCCACGCGCTCCAGACGCTCCAGGCACTCCTCGCCTCGCTCCGGCGGCGCCGAACCTGCAAGCGTTCCACGGGTTATCCGCCGAGCCGAGGCGAGCGCGTCACGCGCGCGTACTTGTTTCCGCGGCGGGCGGCTGCTCCACGTCGGGGGCCCGGGGCCGTGGATCGGGCGCGGCTGCCGCCTCCGCCTCCGCGGACTCCTCCCCCTCGTCGGCGCCCTCGCCGGCACCCTCGCCGGCGCCCTCGCCGGCGTCCTCGCCCTCGCTCGCCGGCTGACTGCTGTTCATGAGGAAAACGCACTTGAGGATGTTGCGCAGGTCGGACGCGAAGTTGGTTTGCAGCTGGTCCGCCACTCCGGCGATGCAGACGAACAGCCTGTGCACCAAGTCCTCGGACGACCTGCGGACGACCAAGCGGGGTTAGACCGGACGGCCCGCTCCCTCGCGCGGCCAGTCGGCGCACCTGAACTTGGCGCGGATCTGGTTGCGGTTGGCGATCTCGGCGGCCTGCATGGCGAGGGCGATCTCCTCGTCGTCCTGGCAGTCGCTCTGGAACTCGCTGGTCTCCGAGCTGGTGTCGTAGCAGCTCGAGCAGCTGGAGCTCGACTGGCGGCCGTCGCTCTCGCCCGGCGGCGGCTTCGGCTGGGCCGCCTCCGGTCGAGCGGCGATGCCGCTCTTGTTGGTCCGCGGCCCGAGGCCGTCGTTCTTCAGCTCGGCGTCGGACCTCCGCCTGGCAGCCGCCAGCGCGCCCTGGCAGTCGAGCCTCTTCTTGAGGCCGTCGCGCCTCCGGAGTCGCTGCAGCTGCTCGGACCGGGAGCGCCGGTGGTCGAGCAGCTTGCGGCCGTGGGCCCTGGGCTCGAAGTGCTGCATGCGCGGACTGGCGCGCGGGCTGCGAGCGCCAAAGCTGGGCATCTGGCGCGTGTTCTGGCTGGGGTGCAGGCTCGCCCCGAAGTCGACGAGCCGCGGGTGCGGGCTCCTGTCGGTCGAGTTGGAGCGCGAGCTCCCGGCGCTCCTCGGCGGCTCCTCGGCCACCGCCGCCACCGCCGCCGCCGCCGCCGCCGCCGCCGCCGCCGCCGCCGCCTGCTTGTCCTGCGCGTCAGCGGCCGTCGGTGGCGGCTGGGCCCGCGAGCCCGAAGGGCAGTCCCGGCACTGGAGCTCGCTCCAGAACTCCCTGCGCGACGTCGACGCTCCGATGTTCAAACCGAGGTTCTCCCAGTTCTCCGTGTAGTTGACCCGGAAGCCGGGCTGGTTGGCGTCGCAGACGGGCAGCTGGCCGCTGCCGTAGGCGACGCCGACGATCTCCTGCTCGCCGCAGCTGTGCACGCCGATCGACTGGTCGGGGGACAGCGCGCCGGCCTTGCAGCCGTCCAGCGAGGGCCGCTGCCGCTGGAGGTAGGCGGCCGCCTTGGAGCCCCGACTCCGGCAGACGCACGCGTGGCCGGGCTTGTCCGAGTCGCGCCGCTTGGGCGAGTTGAGGTTCGAGCACGAGTAGCTGGTGTTTTCCTCCTCCTCCTCCTCCTCCTCCTCAGCCTCCTGCGGCCGCTGCCGTGGCTGCTGCTGCTGCTGCTGTTGCTGCTCGGGCTGCTGCGGTTCCGGACGCTCCGCGTCATCGGTCCTCGCTTGCGGCACCGTGCCGGCGACGACGTCGCCCGCGTTCAGCCGATCGGCCTCGCTAGGGAAGGCCTTCTTCTCCTCGGGGCTCTTGTCGTAGAGGCTGGTGTTCTCCGAGGATATCATGGTGCAGAGGCCCGAGTCCGTCTGCTCGGAGATGTCGTTCTGGGAGTCCGCCTCGAGCAGCAGGTTCGACAAGCTCTTGTTGGCCTCCGATATGAGCTTCTTCGAGTGGACGTCGGTGGGCGCGTGCCGAATCGGCGCGGCCTCGGCGGGCGTGCTGGCGCCCTCGCGCGACACCTGATTCAACAAGTACTGAGCCGGAATCTCCACGGTCACGGACGCGGAGTCACCTGCAACGGAGGAAGCGTTACGAAGGGAGCCTGAGCGAGCCGGAGCGAGCCGGAGCGGCCGAGCGTACAAGAGTACAAGTCGGAGGCGCCGGCCGTCGGCGAGGCCCGGGGCGAGGGCCGAGACGAGCCGGCCGGGCGCTGCTCGAGGCCGAGCACCGCGTCGTTCGCCACCTCGTCCATGTTGCTGCCGTTGTTGCGGGTGACGGTGTAGAAGTCGGCCACGAAGTGCTTGCAGTTGGGATAGCCGCTGTAGAAGCCGCTGACGAGCTCGTGCAGGTCCGGGTCAGCCTGGCGCTGGGCCGCGCCGCCGGCGGAGCTGGCGGCCGGCTCCTCGATGGAGCACAGCAGCTTCTCCAGCATGTAGAGCTCGCGGCTGTTGAGCGTCCAGAGCAGCTCCCTGATCTTGAGCAGCAGCGTCTGCGGGCGGACAGACAGACACACAGGCAGGCAGGCAGGCAGGCGGACAGTCGGTCGGCGAGCGAAAGGGGCGGCGGGGCGGCGGGTCGGCGGGGCGGCTACCCACTCACCCTGAACGGCCGGAACATCTCGCTGATGTCGTCGTGGTTGTCGAGGCAGAGCGGCCCGCCCGGCGCGGCCAGCAGGCCGGCCACGATGGCCAGCCGCGGGATGGTGAACATGAGCGCCGGCTCGTAGTTGTCGACGTCCTGCTGGGCGAGCAGGCCCCGGCCGAGGGCCCGCTGCAGCGTCTCGGAGAAGAGCACGCAGACGAGCTCCTGCTGCTCGTACTCCCGCGTGGACTTGACGGGCACCATGGCGCCCACGTAGCAAAGCTCGAAGTCGGCGAACAGCCGGTCGAAGATCTTGAGCGACTCGACGAGCTTCTCGGCCGCGGGCTCGCTCTGCTCGAGGGCGCGCAGCTCCTGCAGCTGGCCCTGGCGCAGCGCCTGCTCGCGCAGCAGGCTGCGCACGATCTCGAGGCTCTTGGTGAGGGCCTTGGCGAGCGGGCGCATCGCCGAGGACTCGGCCTCGCGGTTCAGGATGGACGAGCCGGCGGCCAGGCACTCGGCGCCGAACCACAGCTGGCCCGCCAGGTTCTCCTGCATCACGTCGTCCGGGAACTTGACGCGGAAGTCGCGGTTGGCGCGCGCCTCCGGGATCAGCTCGTCCATGATCTGGTTGCAGATGCCGAGCACCCGGTCCTGGCAGTGGCGCAGCTGGTTGACCAGGCTGCTGCAGCGCTCCGGCTCCTGGCGCCCGTCGAACGAGTCGAGCTCGCAGGCCACGCCGTTGAGCGACTCGTCCGCGTAGAAGAACTGCGCCAGCAGGCTCTTGTCCTCCCTCTGCGGCAGCGGCCCACTCAGCGCGTGTCGGCGCCGCGCCCGCGCCCGCGCGCGCGGATCGATGGGCGCGCGTGACTCGCGGCCGCGGCGAGCGCGGCCGGCCGAGCAGGAGCGCCGCTTTCTCCCGCCACGGCCGGCCGCGCTCACGGCTGCGCTTTCGCGCTGGCCCTATCAGCTGGTGCGTGTCGCGCGCGTCCGGGCGCGCGCGGCCGCTCGGCGAGTGCTTGCGCAACGAGCGGGCGCGGGGCGGGCGGCGCGCGACGACAACAGGTGGCTCGAGTGCACTCACCTTGGGCCTGTAGAACCACTTTCGTATGGAGTCCATGTTGCGGCGCGCCGTCGCCAGCGCGCGTCGACGGCCACACTGGCGCGAGCGTCGGGCGCAGCGCCCGGGGCGGCCGGGCCGCGCGCGGCTCGCGGGGCCCTGCGCGGCTAGCGGCCGAGGCCGGGGGCCGACGGGCCAGCGCGGCGGGCGCAGCGCCGCCGCCGCCTCGACGGGAGCCCGAGCGAGGCGCCGCCAGCGCGGCCGCGTGCTCGGGCCTCCATTGCCCGACGGGCTGTCTCCGGGGCGCGCGACGCTCCGGCTGGCCGCTCCGCGCTGCTGCCGCTGCCCGTCGCCGCCGCGCTCGTCCTGCGCTGGCTGTCCGCGGCCTCGGTGCCACTCGGCCCACTGCCCAGCGCTGCTCCGCTGCTCGCTGCTCGCTGCTCGCTGCTCCGCTGCTCCGTGGCTCGCCGCTGCTCCGTGGCTCCGTCCGCCGAGTCGCGCGTCTGGCGTCTGCACTCTGCTCCGCCGAGTGGCCGCGCGGGCGCAGCAGCGAGCAGCAGTGGCGCGCTCGCGCATGCGCCCGCCGCCGGCCGCTCTCGCGTCTCCGCGCTCGGCCGCTCGCTCCGCGGCGCCTCGACGAGGCCTGCCGAGCGCGTCCGCAGCGACGCGTCCGGTTGTCGTCGCACTCGTTCGAGAAATGGGTCCGACGAGCGCTCTTCGCGGGCGCGCGCGCGCGCGCGCGGATCGTCCGTCGCCCCTGACGGCCCCGATGCGAGCAGAGCAGCCGCTACGCGCGGGCCGCCGACGCTGCGCGCGAACGCTGGACGGAGCTTGGCCGAGCTTGCGGTCCGCGCGAATCGCTCGGTCAGCACTCGGTCGGTTGTCGTCGGTCTGGGGCGCCTCGGACTTCGCGATCGGATTTTCGTCCGACCGACGGCTGTCCGATCGTCTCGCGAGACGCGAGGGCTCTTCCACTTACGGCAGCTGCTCGTCGGGCGAACAGCTGCGACGATGGTCGAGTGCCGATGCCGGAGCTGCGCATCGAATCGTCGAGTCGCGACACAGCTAACGCCCCGCGGTGCGCTCGCGAGACCGACCGCGATTAGCTGGCGCTCTGCGTCAACGGCCGACGGCCGACACGCGAAACGCAGGCTCGCGCGAGGCCGCGCGATGGCGCCGGCGGAAGGTCGCGAGAACAAAGGCGCGACTCACGCAGTTATCGGACAAGCAGCTGCAATTACGCATAGCGTCGAGGCCGCTGAAAAGGCGCCGATCCAGAGTGACAAAGACTCGGGCTCGGACGGAGTAACGAGGCCGACCGAGATGGGCGTTGAGAGCAGCGCCGCGAGACTATGCCGCGCGGGCGGCTGGGCGTGCAACAGGTAATTCGAAAATGAGGGGGCGCGCTCGCGACGAAGCACCGCGCCAGGGGCGAAGCGGAGAATAGCGCTAATGCCGATGAACGGTCGGCGGAGGCTAGCGGCAGCCCTCGAGCCGACGAGCGCGCCGACCCGCCGCTATAAAGGCTGCCCGCGCGCGCCAGCGCCCAGTGCTCGACCGAGAGCGCGCGCGGCGAGCTTCGGCAGCTTCGGGAAGGCAGCGGTGAGTGGAGAACGCGAGGGCCGGCCCGCGGCCGCGCGTACCGGCCGCCGGCCTCGTAGCGACGGCCGGTACGCGTCGGCCTGGCCGCTTGACCGCCAGGTGGCGACGCGCGCGCGCCCGTCCGCGCAATCGACGCCCGATGGAACGGCCCGGCACCCTCGGCACCCTCGGCACCCTCGACACGGCCCGGCGGCGCTCGATGGCGACTCGGAGCGTCGCCGGCACGCGTCGCTCCTTCGGCCGCGGTCTCGGGGCCATCGGCTCGGCTCCGGCGAATAAAGTTGGCTTATCTGTCGGCCGAGCCGGCCGGCGTGCATTAACTTCGGACGTGAAATAAAAGCCTGGGGCCAGCTCTTAATTTCCGATAAGCCGCGCTCGCGGCTGCCTCGGCGCGGCCGAGCGCGAATAATGGTCGCCGATTTACAATGGTAATGCGCGCGGCGCGGCGCGGACTCGCGGCTCTCGGCCGCGGACGGCGGGCGCCGCGCGCCGGCAGCGGCGAGCCGCGCACCGGCGCACCGACAGCGCGACCGCCGGCTGCTGCGCGCCAGCTCGTCGCCCTCCGCTTATCCGCGGGACACTTAGTAGCACTTACTCTTATCTTAATGACCGAGCGCGCGGCGGCGAGGACGCGCACACACGAGCCCGAGAGGCTGTGCGAGCCGGCGGCGGGAAAGGAGCACGCGCGCGTACCGTTAATGGTCCCTCGGAGCTGGCGCGCCGGCGGCCCTGGCCGGTCCACTCGATCGGCTCTCTGACTCGTCCTGCCCGCAGCGATGACGCCGCGGCGACTGGCGACTGCGCTACTGCTGCTGCTGGCCGGCCTGGCGGCCCTGGCCGCCGCCCAGATGTTCCAGTACAGCCGCGGCTGGCGGCCCGGCAAGCGGGCCGAGGCGCCGGACCCGGCGCGCCGCCTGCAGGCCGTCGACGACCCGGGGCCGGGCCTTCGGCGACGGACGGCCGCCGGCGCGCCGCCTCGCCGGCCGCGGGTCCTCGCGGGCTGCTGGCCCGGCGCCGCCTAGACGAGCTGCGCCTGCGAGCCCTCCTCGCCGCTTTTCGGCGAACTTTCGCTTGGCCTGTCATTACATCGCATCCGGCAAATATCCAAGAGCAGAGCGGGGCAGGGACAGCGGAGCTGTCGACGGCGCGGGGGCGTGGGAAGATTGGCTGCGAGCTAATCAAGTTAGCAGGCCGGCGATCGATAGCATCCGTGCTGCGGCGGTGGCGGCGGCGGCGGACGGTGGAGGACGGCGGAGGACGGCGGAGGACGGCGGAGCGGCAGCGAAGGACGGCGGAGCGGCAGTGGCAGCGGCAGCGGCGAGTGCACGGGGGACGAGGGATTTTGCTGTCAGCGCGGCAAGATCGAGTGAAAGCCTGGCGAACGGAGACACGCAGCGGCAGCTCTCGAGAGCTCGGATTATCCCTGACACGGTGCGGCGGCGGCCGCCAGCGCCGCCACTCCACTCCGCACCTATGCTCGTTATCTTATCAGCGCTGCAGACCGCCGCCGCCTCCCTTATTATTCATGGGCGCACTTTCGCCGACTCTAGCCGCGCTCTGGCTCTCGTGTACTAACTGTAGCTGGAATAAAATGCATCAGCAATCGAGCGCTCGCCGGAGAAATTAATCGAGCCCCCCGCGCCCGGCTGCACGCGCCTCCCGTGGGAGCGGGCGCTGCGCCTGCAGTCCAGCTCCATTGTGTTTCGCGCGATTAAACTCGGCCCGCGCCGCCCGGCTAATTGCTTTCTGATTAGCAGCCCTCGTTTTTCATCGTTTTATCCGATTTGCTCGTCAGCAGCGCCCCCCGCTAATCCAATTGATCGCCGTCCCCCGGCGTGCAGCCTCGCGCAAGGCCGCCGGGCCGCGCGTTGCAGCGCCCGTTAAGTGATTAAGTCGCGGCATCTGCGGAGTGTCGCTCGGCTCGATGGGCCTGCTGTGGATGCATAAATCAGGCAATCGCGCTAAATGGCTGGCCGTCGCGTCGCGCGCCCCGACGCGTGTCAGCCGGGCGGCGGCCAGAGGGGCCCCGCGGATCGACGCTGGCCGCCTCCGCTCGCGAGGCCGCCTAATTGCAGGCCTCGGCGCCCGTGTGCGAGCGTGCGTGTGCGTGCGTGCGTGCGACCGCGGGACCGGCGGCGAGTCTGCCGCGCCGAGGAAAAAAAGCGCCACTGATGGGGCTATACTTAGGCGGCCGGCGTTTGGACGTTTCCTACGACGAGGACTGGGCCGCTTCCGCGAAGCGAGAGCCGCTCGGCCGCGGTCATCGAGTCATCGAGTCATCGAGTCGTCGAGTCGTCGAGTCATCGAGTCATCGAGCGATCGGCTGGCCGGCCGGCCGCCGCTGAAATATTCAGCGCGCGCGGGGACACGTGTCGGCCGACGGCTCGCTAATTCGGCAGCCGCGCGTGTCGTCGCTCGAGCGCGGGACAGCAGCGCGCTGCATATTTCAGCGCGGCGGGGCCGCCGCCGACGACGCCGAGGCCGGCCACGGCGGAAACGCACGACCGAGGCCGGCGACGAGGTCGGCGCCGCAATCAACGCCGCGTCGCCAATTATCGCGCCTCTCCGCCCGTCCCGGGCGCCCCGATCGGCCGATCGCCCCGACCGCGCGGGCGCGCAATCATCGGCGAGCCCCCGGCCGGCTGTCCGGATTGGTTTTTGATTCGATAAGCGGCCGGCGCGCGCGCGCGCGCTGATTAATTATCGCGCTCGCGGCTCGGCGCCCGCCTCGCGCCTCCATTTGCATGCCCGATTAGCCGGCGCGGGCTAATCAACGAGTCCGCGGCGGCGACCAGCCGATAGCGGCCCCGGCGCGTCCTCGCGGACGGGCGGACGCGCTCGAGGATGAAGCGCTTGTCGTCGAACCTAATTGGACTCGGCCCGGCGGCCGGGAGACAGCGGTTTCGCCCTGGCCGGCGGCGCTTCTATTCTCTCCCGGCTCGCAATTATCGGCAGTAAAGAGCTCGCCACATCCGGCCCACTGCGCGCCACGCCGCCGCTACACCTCGTTCGTGCCTGGCCTTTCCTCGTTTTGACCTTGCCGATTGCCCAATCCGCCCCCTCCGCGCGCCCCACTTCCAGCCAAATCTAACGATTACGAAGCAGCGGCCAGCTGCCTGCCTCCTCTCTTCTCTTGTCTTCACCCTATTACGCTTGGGCCCAGTGCGCGCACCGGCGACCCTTCCGTCTCGAGCTCGTTTGTCCAGTGCTTTCCACCTCCTCGTCCTCGAAACTCAGCTGCGAAACCAACGTTTATCTTCGGCCTTTCGGTCTCGCGCCGCCACCGACTCTCGGCCGACGTTTCACAATTAACTCGCGCCGGCATTCCGCAGGCCCACTCCGTTCCCATTGTGCGTACCCCCGCCGCGAACCTGGTCTCCGGTTGCCGGCACCCGGGGACCGATCGTCAGCCTGCAACGACGACCAACTGGTCCAACTCCAAACGGACGCGCGCTGCCCGTCGTGAAAACAGTTGACTCGCGACGAGCAGCCCCTGCACGAGAGGTTTCGTAATAACGGAAACTGAGTGGATTTGTCAAATAAAAATGTAATTTCCAAAAGAACTTGAGATTGACATGGTGGCTTACGTATGCATTTACATGAATGCTATATGTACAACATTAAGATAAGTATAGAGCATCACACAGCTTGCTAGGTGTACGTACAATGTTGCTTATAGTAGAACTCAAGCTTCGCCTCTTGCTTTTATCCTAGTAATGAGATAGCGATAATGCGATAGTTGTTTTGGTAATGCTACGCTGCTGGAGTAGCACTGGTCGTGGTTATTATTTACAAGTGATGCCAAGCTAATCGACGGACGCACAACGAGAGGCTCGCAACGGCGATTCTATACAGATATTCATCGCTGGCAACGTATGTACAAGGCGGGATTCATTCCGCTCGACCTGGTCGTCCGCAAGAGCCACTGCTATTTACAAGGTTCGGAGGGAAAGCACCGCCTAGCAGATGGGGTCCGCCATGGGCTGCGCCGGTCCGTACGGCGATGCCCACTGGTTGACGGGGTGCGCCGGGTGGCCGTGCCTCAGGCCCGCCACGCCCGCCGGGCTGAGCAGGCCGGGCGCGGCGGCCTCCAGGCTGGACACGGCCGAGCGCTCGAGGCCCGCGGCCGCCGAGTGCTCGAGGCTGCCCACCGCCGAGCCGGCGCCGTGGTCGACGCTCGGCGCCTGGTAGGCCACCTTGGTCAACGCCTCCGCCTGCAGAGACAGCATCAGCCGGTTGGCCGCCTGGCGCTCGGCCTCGCGCTCCTCTGCGGTCTGCCGCCTGCAACACAAGAAGCCCCGACGGCGACGACGGCGGCGACGGCGCCGCCCGCGCGGGGTCCTCATCAGTCGGGAGCGAGAGCGGGGCGGGAGCGGGGCGGCAGCGGGGCGGCAGCGGGGCGGCAGCGGGGCGGCAGCGGGGCGGCAGCGGGGCGGCAGCGGGGCGGCAGCGGGGCGGCAGCGGGGAGGAAAGCGCGAGTGGCGCGCAGTCGGGGCGGAAGAGAGCGACGCACGGAACGGAACAAACGCAATAAAGTTAATCCGATTCGTCGGCCGTTGCTGCCACGGCGAGAGAGAGACAGGCGTCTGCTTCGTAGCGCGAGGCTCGTTAGAGCGGCAGTCGCGCTGCAGCGGGCGGACGCCGCCAAATCGCCGACCGATTAATCGAGGAGAGCGAGCGCGCGGTCGGAGGTAGCAGGGGAGCCATCGACAGGCCGGTGAATGTAATCGGCGCGGCGCCCTCGATTATTAACCGCTGAGCGAGCTCGTGGCCACGCCTCTGGCAGGTCGCGAGAGGCTCGTGGATCGAGCCGGGCGACCGCTCGGCGAGCCACCGGTCTTGGCCGCGCCGCGGCCCAAACCAGTTTCGGCGCGTCGCCGAGGTCGCGCGCGGGCCGCGCCGCAGCCCTGCCGCTGGAGGCTGGCGCGCCAGACGCAGCCGGCGGCAATCTGGATATTGGCAAATCGAGTTTCTTTTGGCGAATCGGACGCGTCAAAGTCTGGCTGCTGGTCCATATTTCATGCGCGTCTGGCGCGTCTGTCGAAGCGCAGGGCGCGGGGCGAGGGGCGAGGGCGGCAGGCGAGAGCCAAGAGCGCGAGAAAGAGTCTACTTAGGCAAAGAGAGCTATACGTGTAGAGCGTGTCGGAGCATTTACGGGCGTGGTTGTATACACGGGCCGGCCTGAATAATTGAAGGCCCGAGGCAGGGAATAGCGCGCGAGCTGCTTGCCACTGGATCTACGTGGCGCGCTCGGGCTCGATCGAAGCCATTCAAAGGCCGGATTGGAATCCGTTTGACAGTTTAAAAGCCAAGAAGCGCGCGCGAGCGCCGGGGAGGGGAAGGCGGCCGACCTGGCGCTGCCTCGGCGCTGCCTCGGCGCCACCGCCGCCGCCGCCGCCGCCGCCGCCGCCGCCACTGCTGCATTATGTAGGGGACAAGGCTAAGCTGTTAGCCTGCTGAATTATTGAGCGCCAGCAGCGCCACACCAGCCGCCCTGTTATCTCATCTGCGTGTACCTACACTCATCTCGTTACTTTAAACTCCGGCAAAGTCAGCCGGCAATTTCGGCCCGCCCTGCCCCGACGCGTCGCCGTTTCTTTGCCGTCGCAGGCAGCTGCTCCGGGCGCGCTCCTCGCTCTCGCCGCGCGACCGATCTCGATCAGCTGCCGCCGAGAGCGCCTCGCCTTATCGATAACGGACCGGGCCGCGCTGCTCGCATTCCTCCCGATCGACCGCGGCCACCTCGCTCTTTTCCCAATTTCGGCCTCTCTATGCTTGTTCGCCCGCCGCGCGTCGCATTCTTTCCCGATGTTTCACTTGCAGCCCTCCTACTCCGCTTCTATCGGCTCTTCCTCCGATGCCTCCTTATCGTTGACGAAACTTGCCCTCTCGAACTGCTCCGAGTCTCGCGCTCCTCTTTACGGCATTGGTTTTCGAGTTGCAGCCGAACGCGCGCGGCAACTTCCAGCGCCAATTGACCATCGAACTCGCGCGATCGCTCATTTCCCGTTTGACGGCTGCATCGGTTTGCCCACTTTTTCTGGCGCGCAGACTTACAGCTAGGATCCCGGCATCCGTCGATTGTCCGCGGCTCGTAGCGTCTCTTACGCTCAATTAGCGAGCTGCTCTCGCCTTGTAGGAGCTTTCCAACGGCTTCGGAACGAGATAACCGACATTTTATCAGCTGATCTTATCGAAAAAGCCCCTTCGAATTTAAGTTATTTTTTGCTGATCGATCGCAACTGCTTCCACTGTTTACATTAAAATGTCTCGTTTAGCTTGAGTAACGGGTTGCCTATTGACCGTAGGCGTTTGTAGGCGCACACGCCACCTGAAACCTCGCTCGCAGTTGCTCCTACGCAAAAGTATATAGCGTTAAACGTCCAGTTGAGTTCGTTCCAAGTTCAACGCGACATGCCGGCAACATCCCAAAGCGAGAAACCTCAAAGCTACAGATCTTTGCACTCTTGCTTGTGGTCGGAGATATGCTAAGTGAAGTAGTGCCAAGGGAACGAAGCCGTGAAGCGAATCTTATTTCTATCCGTCGCACCGCTATATTTATTAGGGATAAGACTGGAACACCGAAAGATACCTGGTTCGTTAATCGCTTTTTGCATGCTGAATTTAGCAAGGTTCCGTGCATCGTTAACGCTTTTTCACCATGTCCAGCCATACTACGTTGTCGCGGGTTAGTACGCGTCAGTAAGCGGGAAAGAAACGAAGGCGACTTTGAGCGAGTTGAATAAAATTACTTTTCGTGCCTTCGTTCGCAGCACCAAAACTGTCAGAACTGTCTTAGTCTCCTAGTCTAGTCGGCGGCCACCACCACTTGAACGCGCTAATCAAAGATTGACGCGAAAGTATCTCCGAGATTCATGTTTTACCGTCACGATTACCGTAGGTGCGCGCATTTTATAATAATTATTTGGAGAAGATTGAAAATTGCACGGGCACTATATTGGACACTTTTTTCCCAAGCCGACGCAGAGAATGTCGCTTTACGAAATATCGGAATGGGCGGTATGGGTATCGCTTACCCGCTTGCCTGCCGATTATTCATGTACGGCACGGCAACGTTGGGATTTTGAAAAAACGACGCAATAACTTTTTAGTAGGCGTGTAGCTTGCCTCAAATCGATTTTGGCCTGTTCGATACCAGTCATTTTGCACGCGAACCGCTCCCCGCGCGAATGTCCCCAATGTCTTTTGCATCGCTCGCTGGTCAATCGCGCACCTCTCTCTGCTGCATCAAAGTGTGATCACTGAAAAATACAGTCGCAATCGGACACTCAAGGCTTATCTCGATACTCGCGAGCGTTTCGCTTTCGACGTTGTTGCTTTCTAGATTCGGAGTATCGGCGGGAAGGACAGCGTTGCGTGGCTACGCGTACGTCGCGAGAGAACGATTGATTGTTTGCATGCGTCCGCCAGTAAAATCCGGGCAACACCGTCGGCCTCCAACTCGATGTAAAACGCAGGGGTGACTAATTGATAAACAGACATCGAACGTCGTGAAAAAGGACGAGCCACTCGGGTAAACAAATTGACGAGGGCGCAAGGCGTAGACGAATTGCGGCTGAAATGGTGGTGTCGACATCGCCGACACTCGTACAGGGCCACGGGTTCGGCGGCGGCGTCGTTGCGCAGTCCCGTGGATTTGCGCAGCGCGTGCGTTACGTAATTAGAGGGCGCGCTAGGCGCGCTCGGCGCGCAACGGCTGGCTGCTGGAAAGCGAGCGCGCGAACGCCCGGATGCTCGGCGTCGGTGCTCGGAGCGCGGCAGGGAAAGGGCGACAGCGGGTGCGTACCTCCACTTGGTGCGTCGGTTCTGAAACCAGGTCTTGACCTGCGCGTCGGTCATCTTGAGGGTCTTGGCGAGCGCAGCCCTCTCGGCGGAGGCCAGGTACTTCTGCTTGTGGAAGCGCTTCTCGAGCTCGGCGATCTGCAGCCTGGTGAAGCTGGTGCGCGGCTTCTTCCTCTTGGGCGGGGTCCTGTTCTGGTAGGGGTGGCCGATCCGCCGCGGGAAGCTGCCCGCCACTGCGCACATAAAGCCATCGGCGAGAGCTGTTAGCGGCTCTCCATCGGGCGGCAGGCGACGTCGAGGGGGCGCGAGCAGCGGCGCGCGCTCAAATTTACGCGGAAAGAGGCCGGCAGCCGGGGAGCGCGAGAAAATATAGGTGGGCTCGCTTATTAAGCTGATAATCGGCACTCGTAACGCTGCCGCTCTCCCCGCCGCCCGCCGCCCGCCGCCCGACAGGCCAGTTAATGGCCTTCCGCGAAGCGGATGTACGCTCGATAAAGCCACTTCAAAGAAGGCGATTAGCCCGCGAAAGTCCAATTTTGCCTGGCCGGAGCGCGCCGCTGCAGGAGCTGGCGCGACTCCCGCGGCGCCGACCTCGCCGCCTGGTCGGCAGTCCGTGCAGAGGGCGAGTCGCGGCGACCGAGGCGACCGAGGCGACCGGAGGCTGCGCCGCGGACGCGCGCACGGCTCGCTGACCCAGTGAGCTTGGAACGTAACCTTAGTCGTGACTCGCGCGTTGCGCAACGGCGCCGACGTCGCCGGAGAGCGGCGGTGCTTGCGCAAGCGGGCCCGAAGGTCACTCGACACCTGCAGTCCGAGGGCGCGCCGGGAGAGGGGCCGCCTCCTCGGGCAGCGCTCGGGCAGCACTCGGGCCCGCGCCGTTGGCGCGCAGGCATTCGACCGGCGCGGCCGCGGCGTTACGTAGTCGCTCGGGTTTTTGCCGGCTGTTATCAATTGCGGGCGCGCGCTCGGGTTCCGAGTGCGCGGCGCAACCGCCTTTTAAACGGGACATAAACGTTTCCAGCGAAGCGCCGCTTTACGAGTTCCCGGCCGGAGAGCCGTTGGCTGCATTCTCGCGTGCGGCCCGCCGCCCATGCAACAGCCCATGCAATATGCATGCGCGCGGGCATCCGCAGGCGCAGCCGACGGGCGCCGGGCCTAACGATCCTCCGGACGAACGCCTCGGGGAACGGAGGAAAGTCGCCGAATGGCTTTTCTCGGGAGCCGCGCGGCGGAAGCGGCCGAGCTCGCTGGATGCGCGCACTGGCGGTCGTGGGAACGCGCGCGCTCCCGCGGCCGCGCGGATACTCACCGGCCAGCCGGTCCTTCAGGTGGGGGTGCGCCTGCAGCGGGTGCGCCGCCAGGTTGGCCAGGAAGCGGGCCGTCTGGTAGCCCGCCGCGGCCGCGGCCACGGCCGCCTGCTGCTGCTGCGGCGAGCCGGCGGCGGCCAGCCCCCAGGGCGCCGGCAGCAGCGCCGAGCCCGGCGGCCGGTGCGCCGGCACGCGGATCACGCCGTTGGCGTAGACGGCCCCGGGGAACAGGCGGAAGGGCGCGAGCAGCTCGGCGCCCGCGCGGCCCGCGGCCGCCTCCTCGAGCCGCTGCTGCTGCTGCAGCCGGCGGCGCTGCAGCTCGCGCCGCTGGCGCTCCTCGTCCTCCTCCTCGTCGTCGTCCTTCTCGGAGGAGCGGTCCTCGGGCTCGTCGGGCGGCTCGGCGGCCCAGGCGCCCGCGGGCTGCGGCCCGTCGGCGGGCGAGGCGCAGGCGCTGCGCGCCCGCGGCTCCCCGGCCGCCGGCGCCGGCTGCTGCACGGCCAGCAGCCGGCTGATGCTGAACGGGTGGCTGCGCTGGCTGGCCGCCGGCAGCCGCGGGCCGCGCGCCGCCCGCGACACCTTGGTCAGGCCGTCGCTGGCGCAGCTGCGCGAGTCCGAGTCGTCGTCCACGTTGATCTCCTCGGCCTGCTCGCTGGCCGGGCTGGCCGGCGGCGGCGGGTCCGCGTCGGCGCGCGCCGACATGCCGCGTCACTGGGCCGCGCCGCACACACTGCGGCCGCGCGGCTAGGCTGCGCTCGCGAGCCCCGGCAGCTGGCGGCCCGTCGCGGCCCCGGGCCGGGGCATCGTCGCGCACCACTCGCGGGTCGGCGGCAGGCGCGAGCCGGAGCCGGAGCCGAGCCGGAGCCGGGCCGGGCCGGGCCGGGCCGGGGCCGGGCCGGAGCGGAGCGAGCGGGAGCGGAGAGAAGCACTGCACTGGCTCTGCGGGACGTCGCGCTGCTCGACCGGATCGGCGGGCTGCTGCTGCTCGAGTGCGCGCCGCCGCGCGCCGCCGCGCGCCGGTCCGCCGAGCGCGCGCCTGGCCGCGGCGGCGGAGCCTCCCCGCGCGCGCCCGGCCAATCGCGCCGCGGCCGTCCCGCCCCCGGCGCAGCCCATTGGCCGCCTGCAAATTGATACCTATTTAGCATTTGCGCCGGCGATCAGTTTCTCTCTCAGGAGCGGCGCGCGCTATTATTCATTACGAGTCGGCCGCTCGCTCGCTGCCCGCGCAGGACGCCCGGACTTAATTACGCGGCCGGACGCGGGCACCGCGCGCCCGCCGCCCCAGCGGGCCCGCGCGCAAAATGGCGAGCGCGACCCGCGGGCCGCGGCCCGCGCAGCGCCCGCGACCGATCCGCCGATAGTGCAGAGTCAATATTGCAGGCGCTAATTATAGCGGGGCGCGCTCGCAGTTCCATGACCCGCTGCGCCGGGACGGCGTTGTTCTTTCGGTGCGGGGCGGCGGCGGCGACGCGCGCCCGTGTGCCCGGCTGCGCGCAAACTTAAAAATACAGGAGGCAGCGGCGCGCGTCGCCGAGCAGCCCGACGCTCGCGATCCGAGATCAATTGTCGAGTGTCAGGCGTCGGCGCGTCACTTAGGCGTTTTCAGCGCGCCGCGAATAATTGATGCTCGTCTTTGGAGCAAGCAGTGCCGCGCGCTCGCCTCGGCGAGGCTCAGCTTTGACCGCTTTCCCGCGCGGCGGACGTGCCGATGAGAGCGGCTCATTGCTTATTCAGCGGAGCGCGCGGCGGAGAGATTTTTCGGCTCGCGGCGCGGCGCGGAGCGGCGCGCGCTCGCCTGCAGCTGGCTGCGGCCGGCTGCCTTGAGAAATAATGAGAAATAGTTAGGTCGAGGCTCGCGGCTAATTTGCCAGTTTCGAGCCGCGCGATTAGCCGCTCGGCCGCACGCGGAGGCGCGCGGCAAATGACTCGGCTCGCGGCCGCGAGCTTCGCGAGCGATACATTCGTCTCGGCTGTCACTTTCCGCGGGCACCGCTCGCCACTCCAATCTTCCGCCGCCGAATCTCATTTTCAGTCGCGGGCGAGCGCGGCCCGGCGTCGGCCGGCGGGCGTCCGCGGGAAAGCCGGCGCGCGTCACGGCTTTTCGGATGAGCGAATTCCCGTCGGTCCCCGTTGGGAATCGCGCCCCAGCCTCGCGCGTGCGAGCCCCGCGCTCCGCGTCCGTGCTGCGCCGTCGGGGGGCTCGCGAACAAATGTGCCGTGCCGATTTCTGAGCTCGGATCCAATCGAGTCGTAGCCAGTCGCACCGGCATGACTCGTAGGCGCGGTTGTCCGGAAAATCGATCGAGCACAGTAGCAGCTTGCTCGTTGCTTCAAATTTTATAGCTAGATGCATCGGAAATGGAGGTCAAGTACGTGGCACGGATAAACGTTCCACGCAGCCAGTCACAATACGGTATTATCGAGCGAGCTCTCCAACTTTGGAATGAACGATCGTTCGATCGGTAGACTTGTACAGTTCGAATCGAAATGACGTCTTGCCTTGCATTCTGCGTATTCGTCGGCGCTCGAAATACGATAGGTGAGACACGGTCCATTTGTCATCGATACAAAATTATTCTGCTCGGTCAGATCCACTGTAGGTAGTCGTAGTTTGCGAACACGGGCGAAGATGCAGATTTTTCACGCTGAAAGAGCAATGATTTAGATGTACATGTCGAAAAATGTCAAATCATATCCTTCGGTAAGACCATCGACAGACAAGCTCAGCTTTGACCCTTCGAAGTAATATTTCATCAGCAGTTTCTGAAAAAAACGCGTCTTTTTTATGAAAGAAAGTAAGCTTCGAATAAACATTGCGATTTGACTGCAACTGCATCGCCATAGCATCGTACGTTAGGCTTTGTGCAAAGCAATTGTCGACGATCCAAATTAAATACGTAGTACTTGTTTACGAGTTCGAGTACGTCTTTTTTTGGACTCGTAAGTACGTAGAACAATGGCAAAGTTTGCTTACAATTATTCAGCTATTTCACAGAAAATTGAAATTCGCTCTCGGAGAAAGCGTCCATTATCGATGTGATTTTGTTTCTCGGTGAATCTCTCGTTCGTGAAATAAAAATAAAAATTGCTGATAATCTTTGTATCGGGTCTCTCACGATACGCACGTACAAAACTTGGAAATATCTTTTTCAAAGAAATGTGGACCCAAGCTACGTATATCCGATTGTTAGACCTTAAGAAAACGTTGGAGAGGCACTTGGTCCGCGCTCAAGTTTACTTGTTCATCGTTGCATTAGGTCAAAATGTACGTAATTTTCTGTACGTCGAAAGTTTTATGAAAAACAACGATTGTTAATCCGAAAAGCCTGCTTCAATCGTAATTGTCACAGAATAAAAATATTACGACGATAGAAGCCCGTGCCCCTGAAGTTCCAATTTCGGAGATACTAAGTGGTTCGGTTTTACCACGAAAAACCTCAGACAGTCAATCGGAGTTTCGTGTGGTTAAGCTTCGCGTGGTTGCCAAAAATGAGAAAAACCTCAAATCTTCAGGTGGCATATTTTGACAAAAGTTGGCTTCTCTGTGGAAAAGACAATTGATTTGGCGAGCGACCGTGGAATGGTAAATTTGCGAACGGCAAAGGGCGTTGCAGAAATGGAGGTGCCAGGGAGCAGAGCAACGGCAGTCGAGCGAGGGACACGGCGTCGAGGAAGGTGTGCGCACGAGGCGAGTCTCCGCGACAGTCGATCGCCGGCGCTAATGAAAAGTGAGGGGCCGGGGCCGGGGCCGGGGCCGGGGCCGAGAGCGCGAGGAGCGCCGAGAGCGGCCAAGGGGGTGGCGTAAGAACGCGAGCGGAATTGATCGAGCGACGCTGCAGCGCGCAGAAGCGAGCGGCCGAGTGACAGAGCGAGCGGAGAGGAAGAATACAAAGCGCGCTGCGGCATGCGCCCGCGCGGCAGCCAAGTGGCGCAATAAAGTATTAACGCTCGCTCCCTTCGCGATCGCAATCAAGCATCGAAGGCTGGATGCGCTGCGCGCGCGCGCCCGCTCCCCCGGCGCACTTTTCCGCTCGCAGGCGTATTTTGTCGGGCGCGCTGTCCCGCCGGGAGCCGGGAGCCGGGAGCCGGGAGCCGCGCGCCGCTTCGCCTGGGAATCGGCCGAGTTGGCGGCGCGCGGCTAATCGCGGCCGCCTACCGCGCGCCTCTCGCTGCCCGCCGACCGGCTCTCGTGCGAAATCCCGCTGCAATTAGGCAAACTACGTTGCCAGACGTTGCCAGACGTTGCCAGAGGACGTTTATCGAAATGGCCGCTCGGCATACCGCCGCTCGACCTCGTCCTTTTTTCCCCTGCCGCGCTCGCGGAGAAAGGATTAACCTAGATAGGCGCGCGCCCGAGCGAGCTAGCCTCGCGCGAGATTTCGCAGCGCCGAGGATTTAGGGCCGGGCCGGCGCGCCAGATTTCGCGAGGCGCCCGTAGCGACCTGGCCGCTCGGACGCGCGGACGCGCGGACCAACTTTCGGAGTGCTGCAACATTCACTGCGCCGGGCTGAGATATAAAAAGCCCGGGCGCAGCCGCAGCGGCTCAAACTTTCATTCGGCGCCCTGGGACTACGGCACCTCCGCTAACTTTATTATGGCCCCAGGCCAGGCCGCCCGACGCCAGCCTCCTTTCATAAGCTTTTCATTAATTACATCTGCCGAGCAAGTGGAATGCAATTAGCCGCGCGCGTTCGGCTGATTGATTAAAAAGCCAAGCAGAGCGGGAAAAAGGCGGCCGCGGATTGCCGGAGTTTATTAATGGAGGGCAGCGCGCAGCCGAATAGCGGAATAGCAGGTGAACAAGTATATTAAGTAGAATTTAATCGGGGCGAGCTGGTCAAGAGGAGGCGCGCGCGAGAGAGCGAGAGAGCGAGAGAGCGAGAGAGCGAAAGCGAGCACTTTGGCCTATTGGAGTTTGATTTATCCGAGTGGGAGCCGGCTGCGAGCGGGGGGCCGGGGGCCCGCGGGGAGCGCTACAATTTCATTCTATTCCATTGTGTTTCTATTAAGTCTCGCTGTTGGACCTGCGATTCTCGCCCTCGCGGCTGCGGCGGCTGCGGCGGCTGCCGCTGCTGCTGCTGCTGCTGCTCCCCTTGCGCGCAGCCGAGCGTCTGCTTTTCGTTATTCTTCTCGGCGCGCGCGCGCGCGCCGTCGCTTCAATAATCGAGTGCCGAACGGCACGCACCTGCATTCCGATGCTCCGTGGCCCCGAGACGCAGACGCCGGCCCGAGGGCGACGCTCGCCGCGGCAGCGAAGCCGCCATGTTTTCATTAGACCGCCTAATGTCCGGTACTCCATCAGCGTGTCGCGAGCCGAGCCGCGCTGATTTTTCACCGAGCTCGGCGCGTCCTCCGCGGGCCCCCAATTCGATTACCCGCTCCCCGGCCGCCGCCCTCCGCGCGCAGCCACTTTGCGCGATTGTTCGCCGCCAGCGCCGCCAGCGCCGCCTGCGCCGCCGCCACCGCCGTCTCGCCGGCCGCGCTGCGGATTTTTCGGCCAAGTGGTCGTCGCGCGACCGAGTATCGCTCGATCGTCGGCCATTACGGTCGCTCCTTGCCGAGCCTCGCCAGCGGGCTGCAGCCCTTCCTCCTCCCTGTGCGCGTCTCTTCGCGCCTCCTCGTTTACCATCCGCAGCTCGCCAATTGCGCCGCCTCTCCTCTGCTTCGCTCTCCCCTGGCATTGCTTCAATTAGGCTGCTGCACGCCGCGCGATCTCTCACCCCGGGCGCCCGTCTCCAGAAACGCACTCGCGCGCGCTTTCTCAAGCATCCCACTGCAGCTGCAGCCTTATTACGTCATTATATCGCGTGCAATTACACGTCCAATCACTTATTCGCCATAACGTACGCTCGTGCCTAATTGTGCCGACCATCACTCTTTCCTCCCATCGCCTTTCGACGGACACCCATTTTATTCGAGTCGTTTCGAACCGAGCCGCGCCCCACGCGCACGTATCCCGCACTT